TATTCCTTCGTGTGACGTTACTGTTTAAACATAAAAACTGCCAGATTTCAAATATCCACGGTGTTTCATAACGATAATAATAAATGATCTTTATTGGTCAAGTAATTGCAAAATGAAATAGCAAAACGCAGAATTAAAAAAATATATAGTAGAAGGAAGGAAAACTTGATAATTTAATGTGAAAAACTGTGGCCTGGAAAGGTTTCCATAATACAAGAAGGAGCCTGTAAAGTGTCAGCTTTAACAGTGGGAAAAGCATTTCTAAAATTTGTGTTTAGGAATTCGAAAGTGGACAGTGGAAAGCCTAATTAGTTCGTTAGATAAATATGTGGGTGCATTTAACGTGATAATTTTGAGAAAATGATGCTTACGACGATCCTACATATATTCATAGTCATATTTGAGCAATCCAATGCATTAAAAAGGTTGTCTATACGATGTCACGACAAAGAAAATGTAAAAGAACTAAAGATTCGTATACCATGTTTTAAATATTTTTATTAAGAAAACTTCGGCTTGCGAATCTTCAATTTTTAAATAGCTTCACTCCCAAATTGTTAACACAAGTTTGTTGGATTATTGGTATATTATTAATCCTTATATCCAAGTTATTTATTTTACTAGAATTTTGTTTTGAGCAGTTGGATGCCGAGTTGCTGCAGGTATTTCTTGAGATGAATTGTTTATCTTCCCCATATGATGATGAACAACATTCACGTCGTTTAATGTTAGTGTTTCATATTCAATAGTAAATTACGATTATTTATTATGTAACTCTAACGATTAAATAAAATATTTATTGCCTTTTAATTTTTTCGCTGCAAATCTCGTGACACAAACCCGAAAGATCGTTTTTACTAAGAACTGAATGGCGATAAAAAAAATTGAACAATGCAGGGGCGTATCTTTTTTTTTTTTCGTGCTTATCCGGACTCCAGAAAGTAGAAAAATAATTTCCATAAAAAAGCAAAGTCAGGAAACCCCATTTTTATTTAAATTTCAAAACCCTGTAGATAACGTACATGATATATACGGTTTTTTTTTCTTAATATCATCTACGGAATCATGCCCTTAATCAGCTACAAGAAACGCCCTTATTTTTATTGAACAAACTAAGAAGAAAAAGCGATATTATCATCTTACAGCATCTAAAAAACCAATTTGATTTTAGATATCTCCTCCTACTCTTGAGATTTTACCTTTTTTTAATATTTAAAAACGTCATTCGAAATCCCTGCATATGCATTGCCTTGAGTGCATGCCGCCCTTTTTCTTCTTTTGTTATATAATTATTTTTATATAAATAAATTAATGCAAATATTTGACTTTACTAATTAAGAATTAACAAATAAATAGTATACGGCAGTTGTAGTTTAAGTGAGGAAGTGTAACTTGAATTTCGCCTCTTGTGATGTATTGCAATAAAGCGATATCATAATAATAATAATAATAAATAAGAAGAATAACCTGAAAATGATGTGGCTGTGTCACCTTGTCGATGAGAAAAAGAAACCAGACCGTACGACATTTAGGACCCTGACGAGAGATTTTAATGTAATTCGGCAACGTCGAACCTGTGTGTCCCACGTCGTTTTTTTCGAAACGACCTCACCTAAAAATGAATTCGGAGGTGGCGCGCAATTTCGTCTAACTCGCCGAACGCGGCGACAAATCGTGGAAACTGGCAACGCGGTGAATCCTACCACTACTACTCCCGATACGCGTCGCGAATAATCTCAAACGATTCGCGGTCGCGGTTGGAGCAAGTCGATTCAGTTCTCGGCGAACTTTATTTGCTGACGGTCGTACATACATATATATAGAGATATACGTTATTACACGTTTATTGTTTGGATCGGCGATTATTTGTTTTCCCCGACAAAAGAAGAGAGACAGTGACCTCAATTCCACGGCGTGCGACAAATTCGAATTCGCCCCCATTCAAAATCGATATAGTTCGTCGGGTGAGTTCGAATAACTATTATTTGTTATTTATTTGTTATTAAATCGAACGACGACGGTTCCGCTCCATAAATATTCGTCGCTGCCCGTCTACAGTTATTTCCACTTAATTCGGTTTTCGCGCGTTGAACAGCGACGCAACAATAGTAAATCCGTTGTATAATTTAATAGCGATTGCTTCATTGTATCTATGATACATCGCGTCGTACCGTTAATGAGTAATGCGGCATTATACGGTTAAATCATCGCGATCGGCTTTTGTTTTCTGCGTTTTCGAGATATATATTTCGCCGCTTAAGCCTCGATAGCGCACTGTCGCGCATGTAAACAAAAGAGTTCGCCCGATTCATTGCGCAATTGCCTACGACATTATGCAACGAAACTGGAACGGTTCTAGCCGTGATTCGAGTGTTGTAGGTCACTGAGTTCCACTAGCCTAGATTCGCTGCGATGCTCTCGCCAGAGATCTTGTCCCGCCTCCTCACTCCTGAAACATGTCCGCGTATTTCCGCTTTGCGCTTCGACACTTCGTTTACCGAATGAATCATAGGAAATGCCGGGCTCTCTCGCGTTGTCGTGGCGGCCCATTTTTCCACGTCGACGATATTTATAACAGATAATGCAATAATTATCGGGGCAACATTTTATAAGTGTAACGGATCCGCTGTTGCGGAACAACAATAAAGTCGAGGAACGCAACAAGTACGTTGCGGCGCGTGCACGTGTCTGGGTAATAAAAAAAAAGAAATTGAAAAAAGACGAGACGACGTCGCCGCGACGTAGGCGTCCGTTAACGGTAAAAACCGTCCAGGTCGCTTAAACGTATTCGGTTTTGCAATTTATAAACAAATTCGTTACCGCTATCGTTCTCAAACGGGCGCATTTTTAATGCCGCTTGTCCGTTATTATTATACCGACTATAAGAATTTGACACCGTTGCTTTTCATTATTTGCTTAATATTATGTGACCCGTGGTTGCGTGTTGCGATACACCGTGGCTCGCTAAAGTTTATATACGCGATTTTATCGGAAATATCCAGCGAAAAATCCGAATCCCCTCGAGGCAATGACTGATTTCCGCGTCAAACGATGCGGAAATCTCGTTACACTTTTTCCATAGAAAAATCGTGATGGGTACACGTGAGCCAATTTCTCAAGGTGGTTCACATTCCGCGAAATCTATTTTTATTAGAATCGGTGGCGTGGTAAGTGTGACTGTTTCCTTCAACGTGTATTAAATTTGTTAGACATTAATGGTCAACGAAACGAAAAAATTAAGAAAAATGCAATAGAAATTATAATAATGGCCATTATTGGAAAAACTTTAATCGGATGTTCCGTCTTCTTCTAAAATCGCCTATCCGTTTCGGATATTGGCGATAAGCAAAGCGATTTGAACTTGACAGGCTGCTTTTCTATATAATCCTTGTGTAGATGCGGTTTTTCAACCAGTACATTCTGCGGGCGTCTGCCTAAGACCTCTCTGAAGCAGACCCCACTATGTGTCCCAAATATTCTAATTTGCGTTTTTAAATAATGTCCATTGTCGTGGTCTCTTTTTCAAGCACTTTTAAACCGCTCTTGTTCGTTTTGTTCGGTTTGGTAATGAAGATATACACTATCAAACAGATTTCACATTCTAACGAAGTTATTGCTTTCTTTCGAGCGGCCTCACTGCTCATTAATAACCTATTATATAATGAACAAAACAGGAAAAAAAAGAATATAAGAAAGTACGCTAAAAAATATTATATAAAATTAACAATAAAAATGGAAAAATGACAGAAAAACCGAATCCAAGTCATTTTTATCAATATTAGAGCATATTTTTATACTTCTACGAAACATATCCTGTCATGATAACACGAAATAATCTCTATATTGATTTTATAGTTTATTGACTAAGATACAGTTAACCCGTAAACCCTAGTTTCACTGCGAAAAAATATTTTTTCTTTGAGATTCGGCGTAGTGGACCTTTGTAAGAATTTATAAATAAACTCCAAATACGAATGCTTAATTCGTTGATTTTTTTCCTTTTTCCTTAAGCCATATACAAAGCGACAACGATTGTTGAATTTATTTCTTGAAGACAAGGCAATATGTTAAATATACATAGGACGTATGATTCGCACAGTCATTTCCTAACCTTAAAGTTTAACACGTTTACACAACTTATAAATATATATTGTTGAGTCTTAACGTAGTAAAAATCAACGGTTCTCCGTTTACCTCAAAACAAAAATATCATGTATTTTATTTTTTTATAAATTACCATTACATATGGTGTGGGATTATAACCATTATTAATGCAAATTTGTCCATTCTTATTTATTTACTGACACAGTCTTTGGTTCGCTCCATGGTGTCCCTGTTTTTTAGCAGGATTTTAGCAATTGGTTTTACTTGGTTTTCCACGTTTCTCTCTTTTCTGTCTTTTTGCTTCCCATACATGTTTTGCCTGTCTTGCACTTGCCAATCTTGTTGTAGTGTGTGTGTACGTATGCTTTCCCGATTTTCGTGTTTTTCATTTTATCCATTTTTGTAATTGTTTTAACCCTTACTTATTTATTACTTACTTATATTTTACTTATTCATTGCAACGATTTTATCACGAAAAAGTGTTTCAATAGGGTAGTTGGCGAAACGTCGTCAAGGGAAGACTTGTAAATAGTACTTTTTAATTACCTCTCTGATTTTAGTTTAACATTTTGTACGTTGAACAGTGAACACTCCTACGTGGTTGACACTTGCGCCTGCTAGATCAATACATCCAATTCTTTGGGTTTGTTCGTAATTTATATTTATGTAATAAAATGTGCAAAAATGATTCGAGGACACGCTGTACGCTTATAACGTTCCGGCGTCCCTCGGCGTCGACCGAACGAACACGTGGTCGAACACGTTGCCTTAATACAATAATAGACGCGCACCGTAGACAATCACATTTAGCCACAATGTTACGTAAACAAATTACGGTCACGTTTTTAGCCCGTTCCGACACCGGCGTTAACGTCCTTCCTTCTCTCTTGTTTCAGATGTATTAAAACAACATATAATGGTTGCGGAATTCGTTGGACGCGGACAAAGTGGATCCCCCGTAAACGGTGAAGTTCCTCAGCTCAATTCGAACATGCCGGCCAGTCACGGACGCGAAATGTTACCGACGTCGACCACTCCCGGATCGGACCATTACGCGATGTCGGCGGTGAAACACAAAGAGCTCTTCTCCCAAAGGAAACAACGGGAATTCACGCCCGAGAACAAGAAAGACGACAACTATTGGGACAGGAGGCGAAGAAACAACGAGGCGGCGAAGAGGTCGCGCGAAAAGCGCCGATTCAACGACATGGTGCTCGAACAGAGGGTCGTCGAATTGACCAAAGAGAACGCTATACTGAAGGCACAGCTGGAAGCGATCAGGGAAGAATACGGGATTTGCGGCGAGAACGTGGTTTGCGTCGAGAAAGTTTTGGCCAATTTACCGACCAGCGAGCAAGTTCTCAGCTTAACCAAAAGGCAAAAGTTGACGCACCCGCCGCCGATTCTTTTCGGGCCGCAAAGTCCGATTCCCACGCCGGTGATTCACCAACCGGTGTTGGGTTCTCCTTCGCCGCAGCCCATGCAGCACGCGCACAACATCTTGCATCCGCCGGCGCATATCGAGCCCGCGTACAGAGAACACCCGGAATACCATCATCCTTATCCCCTGTCTTACCACGCCCCGGTCCATTACGACTCCAACAACGTGCTGAACTTGTCGAACAGGTCCCGATCTAGAGGAGCGCAGTCCCCCCATTCGCCGTTCGAGATATCCAGCAACTCCGGCGATGAAAGCAGCGCTCCCGTGGCGCTCACCACGTGCGAAACCAACAACAGTCTTCCGCTGAAGTTGCGTCACAAGTCCCATCTGGGCGACAAAGATGCCGCTACCGCCCTCCTGGCCCTCCAAAACATTAAACAGGAGCCCGGTCCGCGTGCCAGCCCGCCGTGGGACGGCGAAGGGTCCAGCGACGAGCGCGACTCTGGTATTTCGCTGGGCGCCGAATGGTCGGCTTCGCAGGCCGCCGCCACCCTTCAAACCCTTCAGAAACAGTCCCAGCTCCAAGCTATACAGGAGGCGGTCGACGGAGGCGGCACCGTTGCCAGCAACCACAAACTGCACTCGCAAATCGTCAGACTTACAACGGAGGTGGAACAACTGAAATCGAGGATGAAGGAGAAAGAGTCCGGGCATCGCCATTAGTGGATTTGTCGAAAGATAAGAGTGGCGGCGGCAGCATCCTGTCGCGGTTTTTGTGATTTCTCGTATTGGAGATGGACATATCATGCTCCGAGCGGGGCATATTTATTCTAGTGTTAGTAATTTATTTGTTAGTTTATACGAGGTTAATTTGAACGTCCGACGTCGTCCGGAAGACGTGCATGAATTTTTCTACGGATCGCACAAGTATCATAAAGGACGCTTTCTTTTGCCAGTGTATCCTCTTTTCCTTTTTGTTGTTGTCTCGTTTATTTTTTAACAGTAATATTATCGTATCGTGTATTATTGGCGCTTTTAATAGCTATGACTTAATAATGCGTTATCTATCGTATGCCGCATATGTGTTATTGTATAATTATCATCACGGTTGTTTTCACCCCTCCGTCATTTCGTTATTACCATCATAGGAAAAAAAATTAACGTACCTTTATATTTTCTAGCTGATACAATTACGTGTGATTTTTGTAAACTATATTACAGGCTATCATTTATGTATAAATTGTATGTAATTTTGTTACTTGCCAGCTAAATCTGGCTATTAGTTATCTCCATTCACTTGTATATTTAAAATTATAAATATTTATGATTAAGATTGATGCCGATGGACGTTTACCTCATTTCGAATGATTTTTTCCCGGGCTACGTGGTCTCTCCGGCAGATAGATTCGGCGACAACTATGAGAATGAAAATATGGTATATTTTCGTATTACCGTTTCATGTATCCTAATTATATATAAATAAATATTTGCATCGTTTTTCAGCACGTTGTTTTATTTACGCTGGAAACCAGATTATTATTCACGCGAAATTCGTAAACACGTTATATTACGATACCAGGAAATAATTCATTGAAAACGATAACCGAATATTTTAGATGGAATCTATTCTCAATAACATATTTACGAATAAGAAAACAAATATGTATGGGTTTTACTGCTTCTTGAAATTGTTTTTTTTTATAAATCGGATCGAAATTCGATCGAAAAATGCCATGCGCTTCCCGCAGGCGAGCCATGTTGTTTCTCTCAAATCTAGAAGCGTTACATAACGTTGAGAGTGGCCATGGTCGCGTCGCGTGGTTTCTGCCGTGTAAGCGGCCGTTTCGCGTCAAAAATCTGACGTTGCCGCTACGCCGTATTTCCCTCGCGGCGGGGGGGAAAACACACTTGCGAAGTTCTCCTCTCGACGTGGATAAATTTAGATTTCGCGACGAACCGACAACGCAGATATTTGTAAACACTCCGTAATGCGCATTAATAAGGTATATAGGCAGTTATTTTAGAAAGTGCGACGAAATGGTAACAAAAAATATAGATGATCTAGTTGACGATGCACATACAATGTCATCCCTAAAGTTGGCCTCATTTGGGAACATTTTTTATTAACGAATTTCGAGCCTGAGGATAGGTAGCATCAAAAATAAGACACATCAATTTACGAAAACTTTTTAGTTTTTATAATAGAACATTAATAAGTTATTTAAAAAAAAATCGAAATATTCTATTGGAAAAACCTGTTTTTTTTTTTCACGTTTTTCCAACTGAACTTTTTTGCTACATCCTAATTCAAAGAAATAGAAATCAATTTAAATGGACTATCCCGAATGCCTCAATAAAATGTTTGCCTTAAATTTCCCTTAAACAATCGTTTTCCAATAAAATCTTCAAATGCACCCATAGCGTCACAATTGAAACAAATCGGGTTGATTTCCTGCACGTGTCGATAGTATCGAAAAAAATATTTTTAAAATATAGGTAGGCGAAGCGGAAATAAAACCACGTGAATCGTTTGTAAACACAACGTGTACGTATTTTAATCGCCCCAGTTAAAAGCGTTTTTGTTGTTACACGCGCAAGACATTTAATAATTTGCCGCGCTTTTTTTTTAATTGAAATATGCGAAATTTTCAAAATCTACCGACGACGTGTACCTTCTCATTTTCCGAAGTCATTGCGCAGTAATTTGAACAAATTTCGCGAGTTCGTTGACCGCCTTTGTTTACACTTGCAATGAAATAATTCCGACGTCACCGCCATTGGGATTGTGGGCCGATTAAATTGACGCAATCTTTTCATAATTTTCAAATTTTGCGTAACGTTAGAACGCAATACAAAAAAAAAACAATAAACAAGCGACAAATTTTATCGTTCTTATTACGATGGATCGATCCTAGAAAATGTTACAAACAAAACCTAAGCCTAAATTTAATCGGAATCGACGCCCCGGGAATTATTGGCGAACATTTTTTCATCGATGTGTTTCAATTATATTAATAAAAGATGATTCGGTAGCGTGTAATGTCTATACTGACCGAATAGCGGATGTTTTGAAATCGAGTTTATGAAATTGCTTTGTAAAATATTAAGCAATAGATTGTTTCTGCTACGAGGCAGGGTGGGAGAGGGTCAATTGTTAAATGCCGCAATATTTTATTGAAAGCCAGAATTTTGCGTCCGTTTTGTTTTCGTTAAACAAACGGACAAATATGTTTTCGAGCACGGGGTATCGCGTATTCGGTTTGTTACTGACTATTCAGGTAAATAATGTGTTTTGATCGCTTTTGCTGTGTCGCGTATACAGCGTCGTCGCTTCATAAATAAAATGCGCAAATTTCAAGTCAAAAACAACTGCAATAATCTCCGGTCGTTTAGATAAACTTTACGTAATACCTGTTATTTATTTAATAGAAAAACACGGTAATGGTTTTTTCCAAACGAGCGCCTTATTGTTTTTTTTAGATAACCGACTTAAAGGGGCCCATTACGCAAAATCAAGCCCTACACATATGCGAAGAAAATACGTAAGTATCTAAGGGAGATATTGTGAAACGAACTCAAATAAATGCATTTTTTAAGGCGTCAATTATTAAGCTTACTCACCCTCGCGTGTTTAAATGCCGGCGGCGCGGCCGTAAGGGCGTGCGTGGACCGGCTTAGTTTCGCCGTAAGGGCTAATAACAATCAACCTTCGATAAGTGCCCTGTCACTCGTAGCTGAGCAATTTTTTAGAAACACGCGGTATGACGAATGCGCCGATATCATCGCGGTAAGTCTGAAACGAGACAGTTATGCACTTATGGTCTGTTCGTAGATATAAGAAAGTGACCAATTGCTTTTGAATGGGATGGGTGGTCATTAACATACAACGCAACAAGATTATTACCGAAAGTTTCGGAATTTAAATTCAGGTAAAATAATCTTACTTCATGTGTTTAATATTCTTTGCTTTGGTATACTACTTAGTTTAAGTTTATTAGTAATCATTCTTATTTCGTGTGTAATACAGCGTGTGCAAAATATGTGCGAGTCTAGTGTATCTCAGGAGATGCTCCCTCCCAAATGTAGAAAACACTATTCTATTGAGACCAAAGAAGTTATAAACAATGTTTATTTGACTCTCATCGAACGTAGTGCCAGCTAGCAAGCATCTTTAGAAGGAACGGCCACATTGGCGAAAATTACAACATCAACTGTATGGAAAATTGTGAATAATCCCATTTCAGCGAGGAAAAAAAGAAGCGATGATGACATTTTATCGAGTGTAGATGAAAGTGATCTAGATATAATACGGCGTATAATTTACGGGGAACAAAGCGTGCCTACATTAGATATCTTAATTAGGAGGCTTGAAAAAGATGAAACCGGTTTTAAATGTGGCAGAACTACCTTATGGAAGTGTATTCAACACATGGGTTTTAGATTTAAAAAAATTGACAAAAGGCAAGTTTTAGTGGTATCTTTTAGAATTCGGAAATGGCGACTGGAATATCTAGAAAAATTAGGATTTACAGAGAACAACAAAGGCCAATTATTTACTCGCATGAAACCTGGTTCGACACTTATGATACCCCGGAGAAGGGTTGGGTTGACTCAACTGATAAGTGTAAAACAAACGCGCCATCAAAAAGAGGTAAAAGAATAACTATTTTGCATGCTGGCTCTAAAGATGGTTCGATTCCAAATGGACTTTCTCTGTCTGCGAAAAATATTAAAGATTCTTCTCCGGATTACCATGAAGACACCACCGCAGATTTATTTGAAAGTTGGTTTAAAAACAAACTAGTTCTCAACATTCCCCCTAATAGCCACTTATGATACCCCGGAAAAGGGTTTGGTTGACTCAACTGATCAGTGTAAAACAAACGCGCCATCAAAAAGAGGTAAAAGAAGAACTATTTTGCATGCTGGCTCTAAAGATGGTTGGATTCCAAATGGACTTTCTCTGTCTGCGAAAAATATTAAAGATTCTTCTCTGGATTACCATGAAGACACCACCGCCGATTTATTTGAAAGTTGGTTTAAAAACAAATTAGTTCCCAACATTCCCCCTAATAGCGTCATTGTAATGGACAATGCAAATTATCAGAGTAGACAGTTGACTAAAACCCCTTCCTCATGTGACACAAAAGTAACAATCCAAAACTACATGTATAATAACGACATTTATTTTCACGAAGATTATACCAAAAAGCTACAAAGCTTGAACCTACAAAAGGATAATTATGCAAAAAATCTAGGGCATACAGTTTTAAGGCTTCCACCTTACCACTGTATATTTAATCCCATTGAACATGCTTGGCACCAACTGAAATCTGCCATTCGTCGTAACAATGTTTTTCCCCGTGATAACCCGAATGTAATCAAACTTACAGAAACCGAAGTTTTTAACATCCCTCCACAAAGTTGGTCAAATTCTGTTAAACATATTGAAAAACTAGAACAACGGTATTTCCATTTTGCAAATAATATAGAACAAATAACAATTAAAACAGGCGATGATAGCGATATTGACACTGATATATTATGTGAATAATTTTAAGTCATTTAAGTAGGTAATAAAAATAATTTGTAATTTTATTTTAGATTTAAACATAAATACATACATAAATAAATAAATATTGTTCAGTATCTTTCCTAACAAAACCCCAAATAATTAAATTTTAAGCAAGGTACGGACCTGTTCGGCCATATTTCATTCTTACAGCTTGCCCGGGTCTTTCCTTAATTCGTATCAGTTAGTTACTTTCTTATATCTATGAACAGACTTTACCACCAAATTAAATGACGTGGGTGGTTTTAGGGTGCGACGGAGACGTTAAACGGACAATGCGTTTCGGGATATTGTGGATTTGTGCGCTGCATAAGACGTATTAATTCAGATAAATTGGTAATTGGTAAATTGCACATATACACAAAGTGACAAAAACAATTAACAAAAGAATTCAAGAATCTTCCACAACAATTTTGGATTATTATAATTATATTATAATATATGCGCAAATAATTTAAATATTAATCAAGTAAGAAGCAATAAAGTAACAATAAATAAATTGTAATAAAAAATATCTACTGTTTACAACATTTGTAAATTTTAATCATTATGTTCCGAGTAGTCAGATAAACGATAGTTGTTGCAGTCCAGGGAAATAATAAGGGACTCTATACTGTTTCCTAGCAAGTTATCAGCTTCCCGCATTCTTGCTTCTATTTCAATCACATGTTCGACGCACTTACTCCATTTTTCACAATCCACTGTCTTTATTCCCTCTTGCAAGTGGGTTTCAACGTCCTTTATTTTAAAAGTGCTGTTATGCCTTGCCACAACTTTTACTTACGCCCATACCAAGTCTATGGGGTTTAATTCACAGAAGGAAATATCGTCATTTGCTGGAATGTCTTCATAATAGTCTCCAGTCCGGTTTGGTTGTAATAACAGTAAGATTCCACCGATAAATACATTTTTGCTACCATTGTGAGCAATTATTTATCTTTTACCTTTTCCTGAGTATGCTTTTATTCCTGCGAACCTTCTATGAAAGCTTCATTTAATCCAGTTCCATCCAAATAATAAATATTCCTGTTTTCATTCCACGTGGGTGCAATGAAATCTTGCTTTTTCATTTTGCACATTATTTTGTCCGAGGTAGGTATTTTTTCATGAAACGAGGGTATTATTCTTCTAATTGCAGTCTTTTCATCCTCATTTATTGCAGTTTCATTTCTTCCTCGACTTCTCTTTGGTAAAACGACGGGGCGCGATTATCCTCGCGAACAATATTATTGACTGTCTAACTTGCGAACAACTGACGAAATGTAACTATAATTCTAACCAACACCCCAAGCCACAAGTAGGTCAACTACCTGCCACTCTCGGGACCCATAACAATCACCATAATGATTTACAATTCTATCAAGCTGAGAAATAGAGCATCCAAATCAAGGAGAGCTGCATCGGTTGCTGTCGAATCGAATTTGGTGAAGTTTCGCCAATCATCCTGCTGGCCTCTTAACTATTACCAATAAGTTAAGCTCTGAAGGGGCCAGCAGGAAGAATCCAAAAGGTTTGGAAATAGTGTGCTGTGCTAGAAAATTAGCTGAAAAGTTGGCGATTTTGAAAGAAACTAATAACAGATATCAGGAATATACAGATCGTTGAAAAACACCTATGAAAGGACGATAGCCCTTGAACTTCAACTTTATAGTTTATCAGGTCACCATTAAATTTTAGAAGGTAAACCACACGTTTACAATATCAGCAGATCTTTCTACAGAAAATAAAAGCTGCATTGGATTGCGGCCACCCCGGGGGGTTGCACAACCACGTGTTAGCAATTCACGCGTCTAAATGATTATTTTTCAAAATTATTTACGGTCTAATCAAACTATTCAGATAATTACAGGCAAAGTTCAAATACAGAGCCGTCTAATGAACCGCGTAATAGATAAGCTAGAAATTCGCTTGAATTGCTAAACTATTTAATTACATAATGATAAGTTTGATAAAAGACGAAATTCGACAATTAGAAAAATTAAGAAAAACTAATTTTCCAGATAGCGGACTGTTTTAACCAAGCGAGCGAAGACAACCCGGCCCAGTTAGAAGAAGAACAAGTAATTCTGTTCAAGAACATCACATCCTGCATATTGGCGATGAGTAGATGTTCGGCTATCAACCCGATAACAGGACAAAGACAGGAAAATACGTTTTCCACGACGACGTTCAATAATCCATTGGGAAAACCTGTTACTACTACAGTTCCGTTGTACAACGCTCTACAAATAAACCAAGCGGGCGATTTGCGAGTCATAGCATTTCCTGGGACAATCGCGATCCAAAGATATTTTTGCCCATACGAATTTAATTTGAGACAGTCATCCTGGCTGACTTATAATTGTTAAGACTACCGAAATATACGTATTATTATCGATATTATTCTATGACGCATTTATACTAATTAGTAAATATTGCACCAAGAATGGAAAATTTGCTAATGGTGTTTTCCACGAAGTCAGCGAATGAGCGTTTCTGGGTTCCTAAAAGTTTGAACGACGCGTCTGTTAAACTTAAAATCTGCACCGTCGCGCCCTCTATCGAAGAATAGCGGAGTTCAAAGGGAAGGCGCTCTTCCACACGAACATTTATAAGTAAACAGGAACCTATTTGACCAACTCGCATTTCACACATACACCTTTTTACCACATATTGTAAATGTTTTGTGATCGAAGGAGCAGCTGTTGCAAAATAAGTTTAAAAGTTAACGAGTGTGTAGAAAAACACGCGATCTCGATTCAAATATGAGCGACCAGTCAAAAAAAGTTAAAAATACGTTATTCAGTGCATCGGTTACGGGGGGAACCTTTGAAGATTTTTCTCAAAATGCCGTTTTACACCCCGCAATGGAAAAACCAGCGTTACCCGTGGTAACTGTCAATTCAGGTGTGTAATTTTTACGTAACTGAATCATCACTCAAAACGATTTAAATATTGAGGTTATGTTAAACGTCAAATAGTATTGATAGTCGTCGAAATACCTGCCAATTTTGCGTGAATTGTAAGTAAATAACGCATATTTATTGAAAAAAATAATATAAAGGAAAATCCGCATTAAGATCTACTAGAATCGGAGCCTGAAACATCAGATTCAATCGCCAAATTGCTCCACAAATCTAAACGATTTTGTTCGTTAATGATTAAATTCAGTAATTGTCATATTCCTCCCCCTCGATACGTGGGTAAATCGTAGCTCTCTTTTTGTTTCTTCCACCTCACCACCAGCCACACTATTAGGACAATCAGCAGTATAAACAAAATAATGCCAAGTACCAAGGCGGCTATGGCACCGGGGCTCCATCTTGCGTCTAAAAAGATAGCATTAATTATTACATATTCCTTCACATTTTTATACGTACGATATGCGTTGACTGTGTAAATACGTCTGTTATTTAAACGGTCTATGGCAATTATTTTCAAGTTTGGGTTGCAACAGCTATCGCTGTAGAACCCTTTTACAGCTTCTGTGGTGCCCGCTGTATAAGAATTCGGGACGTATAAACCTTTCGGTATCGTATTTAATTGCAAAAGGCCTAGAAAAAAAGCAAAAACATAATTTTTTTCGAAATTAAAAAAGCGTTTTTGTACCCGAATCCAGATCCTGGGCCGTTATTTCAATCGTCCAAGTTCCTTTTTCGCATTTAGAAAAAATTACGTCCGTACAATCGCTGGTATATGAGTAATCAATTCGTGGTTCGGTATCGTCAAAATAATTGAAAGAATCAACGTCGACCAAAATTTTTTTCTGCACAAAAACAGATCCCGCTTTGGCTGAGAACGTTATTTCGTCCTGATAAACTCCACCTTTCGTGTTGAGCGTGAGCGTCACTATCGTACTTTCTAAAGGGCTTAATACCTTCCTATGAAATAAAAAACCAAAGCTAAATAGCGGTATGTTGTAGCGACCAACAAGGCTGACCTATAAGTTGACAACGATTGCAATATATACTTCTGATCGCTACACGTAAACGTTACTGTAACGACATCGTTGCCTTGGTTTGTCACTTCAAAAAACACCTGAGGGCGACTCTGCCCTTTCGTTATTAATTCCGATCCCACTCCAACATCAACAGTTAAGGGATCAGACGGAAAGAGACCTCTGTGATTGCCGACGTAACCTAGACGCTCGAAAGTATGTCCTACAAGTTTCTGAAATTTAAATTCGGCCCCACGCAAACATCTACGACCCTACCTTGAGCATCTTTCCCCTTAATAAGCGCATACAAAGGAAGTTGGATGTTCGGATTTTTGTCGATTTCAATATTGACGTGTTGGGTTTTGTTATCTCCGGCGACATACTTTTCACTTTCGTTAAACTTGTAAGTAAAGTTACTTGCTGAATGTCCGATATTATCAACAAAAAAGATGTCGGTGATCTCACGCACATTCCCTGATACGCCCAATTTCACAATATCCTTCGGAAATTTATAATCTGAAACTTTTTTGGAAATTATCTATACGTTGCTAAATTGTATATTTAATTGCGAATGCGAATTGTTAGTGTTTACAAAGTTCGTGGTACTTGTCAATATTATTAGATGCCGCCATATTTGCACGGGAGAAAACGCGGGAATTAAAAAAAAACGTTACGTCATAAATAACATAGTTCCTCAATTCTGGAATAATAACAAATCAGTAAACACGCACCCGAGGTCACGATACTTTCATATTTTGTTGACTAGAGCGTTAAATCATGAGCTTGTCCAAAGTCCAAATTCCTTAATTTCATACCAAACTCTCTTGCTGTTTGTACGAGACTTTTGTGCTTAGTGATTTTAAGGATTTTACCCCATAATATGTAAGTAGGCACACCTCAGAGTTTTATTTAAAAAAAAACCTTATAATACACATTTATTTTTCATACCTATCTTTTTATCGATAAATGCTTGGGCTACGATACTAGTGAAACCAAATACGGCAACGTTATATAACCAATCGGCACCCTCCACTGCGATTTTCCAAACACCCGTGGTGCTTAGTTTCCCGGAGAAATTCAAGTGTACTTCCAAAACGTCTTCTTGGTATTCGGAAAACGATTGGGTCGAAAATTTCTTGGCGTCATCTCCGATCGCATTTTTGGAAAAATACATTTTAAGCCCTAAAACGTACGATTAATTTAATAACACCGGATAGTGGGTTTTTTATAAAAATTACCTCCGGCAGACGAAAGAACGACACTCGCAGTATTAATGGGATCAACGATGATATTTAGCCCCGTAACGTCCGAGTCCACCGCAAATGAAACATCCTCTTCCTTGCCTTGGAGGTTTTTCTTCAGAAAAATAGTGCTCTAAAATAGGTTAACGGTAAAATAGACTTATAAAATAACGACGTCGCGCTCTACCATTTGAAAATTCATTTCTACGGGAGTTTCAGGATTTCGAAACTTCGATTCTGGCAAAGCAAATATACCGCCATCGGACTTTATACTAAGCTCTTTTAATAAACCATTCAGCGTATTTGGGCTTTTATCCCAAACGATATTTACCTAGAACCAAAAAATATACACCGCCACATGGAAAGAAAATTTGGCAAACAGGTGCTTACAGATATGTGTTTTTTTAAAACAAAATCCCGAGCCAATCCAGCCAAACGCTCATCGACCTGGTTTTCTGCGTCCGTAAAAAGTATTATCGAACTATTTGTCGGCAAAATCTGAGCAGCGTGAAGTATGGCGAAAAACGGTAGAGAATTAGTATTTGACGTTGATTTCTCGACGCCCCGAAATTTCAGTGCCTTTTGAACGTTTCGCGTGTCATTGAGGCTGGTTTCCAAAATAGTGGTCACACCTTCAAATCCATCGTATAATTAAAAGTCCCGTGCGGTGTTTTTACATCAACTTACCAGACGAATTGAACTTCATGAGGGAAAACTGTACGTCTATGTCCGACACTTCACTGGCAAAATCGAACGCGGTTTGAATACACTCGGGGGTATCTTCTACTAGCATTACTGCATGCTTATTTTTTAAAAGATTTGAAAACAGTTTATAGCTTTCAGACAAACTTGGGGTGTTGATTACAATATTCAAAGAGTGCGTTAAAACGCATCCCAAAAAAATGACCCAAAATACACACGCACGCATTTTGCCAATTCGATTGGAAAATACGCAGGTGAACTGATAATATTTACGGTTTATAAGCCTTTTGTAGTCAAATATGACAAATTTGGGCTAGGTCGGAAGTCGTTTAACATTTCTGCACGAGATTATACTTAACTATTCGAAATTTCTACTGATAACACTTGTATGTGCCAAGTTCGTTGAAACCAACGGCACCAATATGTAGTTCCCACCTTATAGAAATAGTTTGAAATGATGTATCACATCACACTGTTCATCAGTCCTAGGGTTATAAAAATAACATATGTTTTGACAGTCCATTTATGGCTACAACGTGAACTTCGTAGCAATGATTGTCCTTGCTGACAAATGCAATGACAGTGACAGTATTCAAGTAATTATTAAATACTGAAAATTTTGTTTGAAACATTTAAAGTCTTTTCAGTTTTGAATAAATAATAAATTTAATACTAGTTCGGTGTATGCGGTCTATATATGGACCGCCAAAACTTTTTATTTTGCCGAACGTTCCTCGATAGCGATCGCAAAAGTCAAATTTTGCTTTTGTGATACATCAGTGAAAAACATTTGAGAGTATTGATGGAAGATTATGTCAGTTGATTCCTTTTATGTGATTTAAAGATGAGACTGTTTATAAAACTTTTCAAAGTGATAAGTCAATAGAATACAATTAATAATAAAGCAATTACAATAATGAATATTCTTTAATATAGTTTCCATGAACCAAGATCCTTTAAAATATATCAACTACAATCAGCTTTATTGTCAATTATATTAAAAAATGAATATATTTTATATATTCTTAAAAGATTCCTAATTGTGCATGTGACCAAAAAGTTGTGCTGAGTATATATAATCCTTCCAATCCAATCCAATCTCCTTAAACGTAAAAGTCCATTTTAAGCCCATCGAACTTCTCAATTTAATTTATCAAATGAATTTTCTCTTCTAGAAACATTGCTTCAAGGCAGTACCGCACCTCCACAGAACACTCAAGAAACGTCAGCTTTCTTGAATCCGATTGAATCCGCTGTACCTCCGCAGGTTGCGAGCAATTATTTTCAACAACCGCCATTACAACAGTCAACGAATATCAATTTCAACGTTTACGGTACCAAACCAGCCGACACCGAACAAGAAACTTCTAATATTACTTCGATCTTATCTTCGTTTTCAAATTATTTAAAACTAAATTCGGGCGGTAATCAAAAACAAGATTTCGATTCTTCAGTGGCGGCCCCGGCGGGGTTGGATAGCGTTATCGGCCAGAGCAATCCCGATGCTCCGCCGGTACCCTTGTTTCCACCAAGCGGTTTGCCAGAGCAACCTGACGTTGTAAAACCACCACCAACAGGTATCAATTTGTAATATTAAAGGCTACTCATAGATATAAGAAGTGACTAAATGATACGAATTAAGGAAAGACTCGGGCAAGCTGTAAGAATGAAATATGGCCGAACAGGTCCGTACTTTGCTTAGAATTTAATTATTTGGGGTTTTTTTAGGAAAGATACTAAATATTTATTGATTTATGTCTGTATTTATGTTAAAATCTAAAATAAAATTACAAATTATTAATAAAATATTACATAATATATCAGTATCGCTATTGCTATCATCGCCTGTTCTAATTATTATTTGTTCTATATTATTTGCAATATGGATATACGATTGTTCTGCCTTTTCTATATTCTGTTTAACAGAATTTGCCCAACTTTGTGGAGGGATGTTAAAAACTTCGGTTTCTATAAGTTTTGAGGACATTGAAGTTAACACGGGGAAAAACATTGTTACGAAGAATGACAGATTTCAGTTGGTGCCTTAAATCTATATGCCCTAGATTTTTTGCATAATTGTCACAGACGTATTCCTTTTGTAGGTTCAAGCTTTGTAGAACTTCAATTAATTGCTTTTTAGTATAATCTTCGTGAAAATAAATGTCGTTATTATACATGTAGTTTTGGATTCTTGCTTTTGTGTCACACGAGGAAGGGGTTTTAGTCAACTGTCGACTGTGATAACTTGCATTGTCCATTACAATGACGCTATTAGGAGGAATGTTTGGATCTAGTTTGTTTTTAAACCAACTTTCAAATAAATCAGCCTTGGTGTCTTCATGGTAATCTAGAGAAGGATCTTTAATATTTTTCGCAGACAGAGAAAGTCCATTTGGAATCCAACCATGTTTAGAGCCAGCATGCAAAATAGTTCTTCTTTTACCTCTTTTTGTTTTACACTTATCAGTTGAGTCAACCAAACCCTTTTCCGGGGTATCATAAATGTCGAACCAGGTTTCATCCAAGTAAATAATTGGCCTTTGTTGTAAATCCTAATTTTGCTAGATATTCCAGTCGCCATTTCCGAATTCTAAAAGATACCACTAAAACTTGCCTTTTGTCAATTTTTTTAAATCTAAAACCCATGTGTTGAATACACTTCCATAAGGTAGTTCTGCCACATTCAACACCGGTTTCATCTTTTTCAAGCCTCCTAATTAAGATATCAAATGTAGGCACGCTTTGTTCCTCGTATAACTGGTAAATGTTACACCGTGTTATATCTTGATCACTTTCATCTACACTCGAGCAAATGTCAGCATCGCTTCTTTTTTTCCTCGCTGAAATGGGATTATTCACAATTTTTCGTCAATGTGGCCGTTTATTCTAAAGAAGCTTGCTTGCTGGCACCACGTTCAATGAGAGTCACATAAACATTGTTTATAACTTCCTTAGTCTCAATAGAATAGTGTTTTCTACATTTGGACGGGAGCATCTCCTGAGATACACTAGACTCGCACACATTTTGCATAATTCGCACACGATTCAACACACGGTGTATTACGGACGAAATAAGAATGATTACTAATAAACTTAAACTAAGTAGTATACCAAAGCAAAGAATATTAAACACAGGAAGTAAAATTATTTAATTTAATAATCTTGTTGCATTGTATTACCACCCTTGGATAATCCCATTCAAAAGCAATTGGTCACTTTCTTATATCTATGAACAAACCATACCCATCCTATTAGCAATAAACAATTTTAGGGCCCCAAAATTCATTCAGGAGACCCGGTCTAAAACGTCCGGTTTACGCGCCGGTACCCGGACTCACTAGTGCACCTATATTTAACCCTCAACAGCCCCCGACTCAGGTAACCTTTTTGCAACCACCGACGTCTGCTTCACCGGCTAGTTCTACATCTTCAATACAGGAAGCCACGTTTAATTTACCAAATCAGTTTAAACCTATTTCGCCGACACCCGTGAGTTTCCCGAACTTCCCTCCCCAAATTCCCCACCCCCAGCATTACCAAGGACCCGTCATGGACGCCATACCTGCAAGCGAGGCTTTAGAAGAACAACCCGATTCTGTATTATTAAATTACTCGGCCTCTAACGATTTTGCGGCAAATACGGTGAGTAGAAAGCTATACAGGGTGTCGTACTTCGTTCATCTCGTAGCAAAAATTGGAAAATCCGGGTAGTCTACTTATTTTAAATTGAACACCCTATATATTATTGCTTTTTTGCCATTTTCAACAGATAATTGAAACAAAATTTCAAAGGATTCTGTATGGGAAAGAGGTACAGTACAGTACAAACGAAATTTATGACATAAATATGTCTAGAATTTTCAGGGGAATTCAAAAAAGCAATAACATAGAGCATTCCATTTAAAATTAATATTTTAATTCAAATTCTTATTACTTATAGTTTTCTCATTAAATATCGATGATGTTCACGGACACTCTGTAGTTAAGCGCAATAATCCGATCAAGTTATGCCGCTTATTTTAATTTCAGACGAATCAGGCTTATCGCCCGGTATATCGACACTGGTTTTTCAAAAAAGAAATCGAAAGCAAAGTAATATGGCAACCATTTTCAATGATTGACTCGCTCGCGCTGGAACATGCTTTTACCTCTAGTATATATAAAAATATTTCCCATCGTTTATCATGTTCTTAATAATATCCTTTACAGACGAGTTGGATCCCGATAAAGTAATATCAACCGACGGCGGCAGATTCGACGTGAACATTTTAAGGCGTCAGAGAATGCCCGTTTATTGGAAAGGAAAGATCTCCGAAGTCAGACGTTGTTCCTGGTTTTATAAAAACAGTAGCGACGGCCGCTACGTTCCGTACGAAGAAAATATTGCCAACAAATTAGAAGAAGAATTCAGGATAGCTTTTGAATCAAATCAATGGCATAGGAAAGTGGAATTAGCTAGTGGGGAGACTATCGTTTTCCACGGGCCCGATGTGCTTGTATTGTTTCCCACTACTCAAGTGCCGGACGCTTGGGGAAATACTCCAGTAAGTGATCCCAATAAACCACTTATCCCACTATAACACTCCCACAAAACGCAAAAAGCACGCAAATCGCTCACAGTTTACAATTTACAGAATCAGCCAAAACCGAGAGTAGTTAAACGAGGCATGGATGAATTTGACATCGACGACGGTGAGCCAGCCGAAGTAGACCATTTACTGTTCATGGTGCATGGAATCGGTGCAGTATGTGACCTCAAATTTCGAACTATCGAGGAAGTTGGTAAGCTGGGTTGGTTCAAGGTTAAATAGTTGTCTGCACGGTTTTTATTTTCAGTTGACGAATTTCGCAGCATTTCTCTTCAGCTAATTCAATCGCATTATCGTTCGTCATGCGAAAAGGGTATCGTCAACAGGATAGAAGTTCTCCCTATAGGCTGGTATGAAAAATTGCACTCTGAAGAGACCGGGGTCGATAAACAGTTGAAAAGCATTACATTGGAGAGCATACCGCGACTTCGAGACTTCACAAATGGCACTTTGCTAGATGTGTTATTTTATACCAGCCCCATGTACTGCCAGACGATTATGTCTTCGGTCGGAGATGAACTGAACTCCATGTTTGACTTGTTTAAACGAAGGAACCCCACGTTTAAGGGTCAAGTTTCCCTTAGCGGCCACAGTTTGGGTTCCGTGATATTGTTTGACTTGCTGGCTCACCAACCTACCGAATCCGAATCTAATCAAACAGGTGAAGCTGCGAATGCTAACGGCGAAAATAAATCCGACCCCGACGATCGGAAAATAACACGAAGGATAAGTTACTTGATGGGAACTGTAGGCGGCGCCCAACCTAGAATATCGTACCCAAAACTGACATTCAATCCTAAAGCTCTTTTTGCTCTCGGCTCGCCCATTGGTATCTAATTTGTTTTTACATCACTGCGCGCGATCTATTTTTGTTTTTTTAGGAATGTTCATTACTGTCAGAGGGCTGGATAAATTAGGAGAAAAATTCTCTCTTCCGACATGTCCGGCTTTCTATAATATATTTCATCCGTATGACCCTGTGGCCTATCGACTGGAAGCGCTAATCAACCCCGAACTGGCTAAGATTAAACCAGTCTTGATTCCTCATCATAAAGGGCGCAAAAGAATGCATTTAGGTACAATTTTACAAAGATATTGGAGCGAAAATAAATGTATATTTTACAGAATTGAAGGAAACAATGGCAAGGGTGGGTGCGGATCTAAAACAAAAAGTTTTCGAGTCGATGAAAAGTACTTGGAATTCCTTCTATCAACTTGCGATGTTTCACAGACAAGATCAACCCGCTTTAGAAGCTGAAGTAAACAAGACGATTCAGAAACGATTGGAAACGACCACCGAAGAGGACGACGATCAGGAACCAGTTGAAGAGCATACCGACATTCCATTGGGAAATCTTAATGGAGGTCGCAGAATCGATTTTGTACTTCAAGAAGCCCCTCTCGAGTTTTTTAATGAATACATTTTCGCATTAACCAGTCACGTGTGTTACTGGGATTCCGAAGACACCATCTTAATGGTGCTTAAAGAAATATACAGTTCCATGAATATATCAACAGATGATAAGATTCCGCAACAGACTATGACTATTGAAAGACAACCCGCGTCTTTAAATCTAAGCAGTGCTGCAGCTGCAGACTCCGCAAGTAGCATACAAGTGAATTTAAATTTACAAGCTCCGCCCAAAAGTGGTTTCGTGAAGAGAACATAGTATATGCTCTATGAGCGGGTGTTTCGCCCCATAGCTGCCAGATACGCTCCCTATTTATTACACCAACATTGTGTTTATAAGAAAAAGGTGTCTATGTGAATCACTGAGCCTCAAAACACTGTGATTATTCTCTTGCAATTGCTAGAGCTTGCAAAGAATATTTTTGATACATTTTTGTTGAATTTATTCACTATATATGTTAAACAAATGTAAAATTTTTATGTAGTCGTTACCAATAAATAAACGTTATTATTAACAATAATCAAATTTAATTTTAAGAAATTAAATGCGTAATATATTGTAAATATTTAGAAATTCAATTGATTGATAGGGAAACTAATGGAACTAAATGGAACATTTCTTATCATTTATTTCTATAGTTGCGAATATCATTCAAAAAAATTAAATCTATATAAGAATAAAAATTTTGGAAGAGTGTATTTTTTCCAAGTTCAGCCAGATCCGACGAGTTACGGCGTTAATATGCATATTAAAACTTGAAACGAATCCTCGAATTTAGAAAACTGTCAAATATTCCAGAAATTAACGCAGGCTATCGTTCGAATATTAAACCACAGATGGCAACACAGTAAAATTCTATGAAATTCGAATCGTAGGACGAAACGCTTTTAAAGTACCAAATTGTAGATGGCGTATCGATCGATTCAAGTGAAGCTCATACGAAAACCGGCCGAAACTATTTGCTTCAAATATTGAGTCGAGGAACAATTCTCACAGAAGAACATCTTCGTCTAGTCGAAAGGTTAATTAAGTGTATTTGACCGTCTGGTCGCTCAAAAAATAATCGCCGCAGATTGGATGTCTATTCAACTTTGCACTTTTTATTACAATAGATCTCAGGAATAAAAAGAGTTGCCAATTGATAATACGTCTGGATAAAAATACAATCGTCACATTATTCCAATTTTGGCGTTTTGGGAATTGATTAAGATGTTTGTTTTCACTCCCTTTTTACGGTTCAAGCAATTTGACCTGAGTAAATGGAAACAACAAGCGCAGCTAGTATATAAATCGAGGAAAGAGCAATAATTAAAGGACGCGGTTTCGATTGACCGTTAGTGATGTCGGCTTAAAAGAGCATCGAGAGTGAGAGAGAGGGAAATTTTGGCCAAACAAACAAAAATAAAAGCGATAAAGGAGCCTTTTATCGACCCCTCGAGGCAACATTCGGGGCGAAACGAGATAAAACTCGTCTTCGTGATGTGACAGGTCAAATATTTGTTTCGGAACTGATAATTCGGTTACCATATCGGTAAAAAAAAAGTATCTTCAAAAATAAAAGTCAAAAACACATCGGAAATGGCAATCGTTAAACGTCCTAGTTTCTTAGACGTCGAAAAAAACTTTCTCTCGATTATTAAAAACAAGATTTATTTATAATAACCTAATGTGCGCTCTTAATTTCACCTCACTTTCATGCAGGGACTGCGATATGGCGGTTGATTCGCTAAGAAATTTTGAATAATGAATAAAGAAACGATAATTAATGTTTGGAGGTGAAATCCCATCGAATGAGTGTGTACCACACAGGTATTCAATCCACCGCTTCGCAATAATATTTTGAGACAGTCAGTATATTAATATCGTCGCAGTGAAGATCAAGTTGTGCCAAAATTCAAAGGTCAAAAAAATTAAGAACCCGCCTCAAGCTAATAGACAATATCTAAACTAGTCCCGACAATAGAATAATAATAGGAAATTAAAACACAAACGCACAACATGGAAGGGACAGAAAAAGTGTACCTGTTCCCTTTTCGAGCAGATGTTTGCTCGAATACGAGTCGCTTTTTGTGCTCGTCATAGATCACAAGCGTAGTCACCGAAAAATTTGAAAGGCGTCGATAATTTTTTTTTTTATTATTTTATATTCTTTCGCGCGCCATTGTCGGCGTTGGCAAATGCGAGTATAAACAAACGGTTTCGCCGATCAAATTTGGCAGATCTTCATAATTAATTCAGCGTGCGTGAATGCGACGAAGTTTTGACGACGATCTTTTCGTGTATCGCGAATTCGTTTGGGGAATATAAATTTTTCCACGTTCTAGCGGACGTTCGTTAAGAGAAAGTCTTCCTACGAGCTTTTTCTAACTGGTCGACTAGGTTAAACAAAATCCCACACCGTTTCTTTTTACATAAGATACCGATTTAAGAGATCGTTCGATCGATTTCGTGTAGAGACTTAGAGAAGTCAAGGACACCGATGGCGTTTTAGATAAACGTCTTAATATTTAGGTAAGAGGGAGTGGATGCGCGAAAAGCAACCCCCCTTCCCGCCAGATTTGCGTACGAAAACGAGTTGACCAACGACCGGGGGCTAATTTTTCGAATAAGTTGTCAAATCGATTCTCGGAACGGTCAATTAAATTTGCATTGTTCTGCGGCTCCGTCGGGTGTTTGAAAATTTTAAGGCAGGAGGCCCCCTTCGGATGTTCCCACCAATCGAGCAGTCGGTAAACTGACGTCCTCGAACGGCAGTCGCGGTTGTAGTCGGTCGCGCCGCTGCCATAGTATCACAGCCGCATTTAGTCGCTTTCAATTCTGGCTTCGGCAATACCGTCGTATCGTCTGCGTTTGACGGTGGTGTAGCATCGGTGTCGGTGTCGTCACCGCGTTTTGTTTTCATCCGAACACTGTCACCTTCACCGATCATCCGCGCCGTCTCGATTACACCACTTTTCCTTTTATTTTTCGGACGTCGGTCGCTCCTTGAACCGAAGAGGGAAACCGGCTTTACAGTGCTCCGGTTCTACCCCGTTCGTCAAACGTCAAAACAATCGATTAATCCCGTTTTATTTTCATCTTCGACCGGGAAAACACGACATCTATACGGAGCTGGTGCGTGACGTCAGGTGAGAGATTCTATTCGACGTGTGCGATATCGAAAATATACACCGGGTCGTCCGAACGGCGGAAGATTGACCTCGTCAAGTTTTATTTTTTGCACTTTCGCCTTCCATGTCTCGCGGTCTTAAGGATAATCGCGGCGGGAGCACAGGGCATGATGCGTCCCGCGATGTTGCCGCGTCATCGCGAAATTCCTATTTTTGCCACGAATCCAACCCGCCTCTCCCCCTTGCCGCGCCGTCAAATAGACTAAACAATTAAGGGCAATCATTGCATCACCGCTAACCCAGATTGGATCGATTTAAACTCGATTTCGTTAATTGACATTCGAGATGACGTCGTTTCAAAACGCGATTCGGGTTAATGGATGGCGTTTTCGTTGCTTATTTGTTTACAAACCGATCGGGCGACGTGGCAACGCGGCCACGTGTGCGTCGTGCGCGCGCACACGCGATCGCCGACCAATTTTTTTCGGCCCACATAATTCGAGACCGAAAATGTTGCGTCTCGATTGGATTTTTCGAGGAAAATTATCGATTCCGAAAGTCGAATCGTTTGCGCGCGTCCCGCGATTTGTCTATTTACGGCCATGTTGTTGTTTTTATTTATAAACACGTTCGGAACGGTTAGTAAATCGTTTCCGACGAAAAACAAAAATAAACACGCTCTCGTTTAGCGGCGTTACGAAAACAAACGCTAACTCTTGGGGACACGCATTTAAAATATTACGAGGATATTTGGAAAAAATATTACGAGGATATTTGGAATTACCGACGCACGCAAACTATCAACCCCGTCGGAACCCTCGAAAACCTTGATTTCTCGGTGCAATGAAACCTAATGTCTACGCCGGCAAAGGTATTAGATACGAGTGCAGTTATCTTCGGCACCGGTAAATATTTAATAATGAAAATAACCCATTGTTTTTGTAAATACAAATAATAAGTTTGTTATCAATAAGCAAACAAAAAGTACTCTCGTCGTCGGTTTAGAATGACGCGATACTCGTAAAGGTAGCGTAAAAATTGCGTGTTCATTTTCGTGTATCAATGAGAAAGTGTTACGCTACGTTTATAGATTTTTGGAAATCCCGTATTTACAAGGAACTGGTTTTATATTCGCAATAATGGCGGCCATAATCGCAGACAGATAGCGATGGGCTCAAAAGGAGGTAATGAACTTAGTTTTAGGTGGTGGTCATCCGATGATACTTGCCATTTTGTTTTGTTGTAAGCACTAACTGAACTGGTCGAGGAACAGTTCGATGCGTATTATACACAGATATACCACGAAGAAAGTGCAATAAATTACATATTACGAGTTCGAAACAATAGTTAATTGGCAGTTTTTATTAAGCAACAATTAGGATTAATAACCCATATACGTATGCTAAATTAACGAACCCACGTGAAAGTTTAAGCAAAAACTTCACTTTTAACCGTTTTGTCCGTATTCTTATCGAATCGATTAATTAATAGTCGTGCAAAACATGTTTTTATTTTTATTCTATGTATTGCGTACAGTATTTTTGAAGTTGGACGTTTCGAAGGCAATCTACAAATTGCTTCGATACAACTTGAAAGGGTCAAAACGACAGCGCAATTGTGCTGATTTGTCCGTTGTTATATTCTGTTTTCACGTAAAGAATTCGATATCAATCGTAAATCAAAAACGTAGGCCACACAATTAAGTCGCTTTAAAATCGTGAAACGTGAAAACTTTAGAAATACTCCATTAAGATATAGTAAAACCAAAAACAAGTTTAGGACGCCTATTCCACAGTAATCGACAGTTGGACGAACTAAGCAAGTCGTTACCTACCGTGAACTACTGGCGAAACGGTGAAAAGTGAAGTTTTTGGTTCACTTTCACGTGGATTATCTCGTATATTACGGATTATTAATTCTAATTGTTCGATACTAAAAGGCGCGAATCGGCAATTGTTTCAAGCACAATTGAAATGTTAATATATTATTTATTTCACTTTCTTCGAGGGGCACTCATATCGGTCGACATATTCTTCGATTATTTTTTGTTAGTCGTGTTAGTATCTGGTACATTTATTATTCCGAACTTAATTTTATTGTGTGCTACATGAAAGTTGATAAAAAAAGGTCAACCGATACGCCGTCCTCTGTCGTCATACATTCCGCCTCGTCTTCTCGTTTCTCCACTAAGTCGTTTTATAATAAAGTTTTTAAAATCTAATAAAATATTTATATGACCCAAAATAGAGCTCCCAAATTTATTCTTTTGCGTTTTCTTTATAAACTTTATTTAAATTTGGTAACCAAATATCGTATTCAAGGTTAAAAAAGCTGGTTATATTAGACGGAGACGGAGAGAGACTTAAATTATTAGAAACACGTTCCCTAGTAACGCTTGCATTTTTTAACAAGCGATACAATAGAAAATCGAGATACCAAACAAATCTGGTTTATTGCTATTTTCGGACGCCCGCAAAAAATACCAATTTGCCACCAGCGAATGGTCTGCTAATTTTGACGTGTTCAGTAGCACTATTTCTACTGAAATTATCTGCGATTGCTGCACCAACGTAGAAAGAACAACCTCCCGCCCTTAAAGCTGTAGTCGAGTCAATGATAAACTAGATAAACCGAAAACCCTAACGTGGAAATTGAAAATTTAATTTTATGAACTTCTACAAAGTTCTACAAAATTATCACTGAAGAAAACGTTGCCGATGACTATTAACTTAACTACAGGCATGTAAGGTATAAGCCGCTTTTAAAAACATATTGATCTTGGAAACCAAGCATTTCCGGACGTACGTTTATATATTTTTTTCTATAACGAATCTCTAGTCGATCATGGGCGTTTTTTTTAAAGATCACGTATAACTTAATAAAATAGCCTGAAGAACCTGTATAAACTTGACCAACTTTGCAGAAAACGAATAACTTGAGTAATAAATTATAATATGCCTTGGAAACAACGGTTATAAAATAACCTCAACACTCTGCTACAAGACAACGAATAGCTTCTTAGCTGTCATTCATTACACGTAACTTTCCGAAAACATCTCTACAACGTCTCAAATGTTACGCGACATTTTTTTTTCGCCTCCGTAACCCAAAGCAACGCGTTTTCGTTTCGAACGAACATAAAAACTTAATAACACCTAATATAATAATAAATATACAATATACAAGCGCTTATGAATTTTTCTTTACCAGCCAAAATCTGAGAAAATCCACGTTCCGTTGGAAGGTCAATGACTTGGGCCGATATCCGAAGTCACTTAGCACATTACCACCCATCGTATACACGAAATAAAGATTTACGTGCGATATTTAAAATCAAATTTGCGAAATAACTCAGCGAAACATACGTAGGTCTCTGCAAACTGTCAAAGGCGAAGGGTACGTCATAGCAGGCACGGATAACCGGATGCGATACGTGTTTTTATTTTGACAAATCAAGGCCGCCTTTTTTCTTTAAAGTATTTAAAGCGGAAGGTTTTCCAATCTAAGGGTACGTCATAGCAGGCACGGATAACCGGATGCGACGTTACTTATTACCTATTTAAAAAAAAAGTATTTAAAACAGACGATTGTTTTCTTCTCCGTTTGGCTATCTGGAGCATTTATCAATTGTCTTCGTCAATTAAGCCGCAGCATAAAGAATTTAATAGGGCTTAAGTAGATAAAACGATTCTAGGAAACGCAAAGTTTCTAATCCAAGAGCAGGGTTACGATATGCATTAACGAAATAAACAAAAAAAACTCCTGCTTTTGCATAATTAACCGTATGAATTAATTTAAATTTAAAGCGATAGTTACATTGTGGGAGCAGAAAACCACTGACACTCAAATTCGCTCCTAACTGATATATAAAAATCAAAATGCACTCTGCGTTCTGCATTCAGTGCACTAATATAATAATAATAAACATTATTAATATAATATGAATTAATAAAACCGTTCATATACGCAACAAACATCTAATTTACTTTAGAGGTCCTGACGGCTTTGAAAGACAAATTACGCCCAGGGCAGTACTTTTTAAAGAGTTGTTCAAAAATAGTTTTACCGAAGTTTAACAATTTGTTCGTACATTATTTATTTATACATTATTTTTTTGGAGTACCAGCCTTTTTTTACAGGGTGAGGTTGTTAGACCGGCGAGAATGACTTTTGGGCCACACTGAGTGTAGGCAATCGTCATTCCAGGCGGAGTTAAAAGGTCTTATTAAATAATGTAATGTAATATAATTATTTTATATTAATATTTTTAATCAATTAATATTTGTGTAGGCGAATCAAAATGAGATACACTGCAAAGTCTATTATTAGTTTTCACTTAAAAAGGATTAATGAATAAATAGCACCGCAAAACCGATACGTGAGTGAACGATATATACGTATGTATTTCTAACGCGTATTGTTCAGAACGCCGTGTTCCTGGTTTCGACGTTTTCAAAATATTTTATGCGTAGAAGTGTTGTAACAGTATAAGAAAAGGCTATTTGAGTATTGACGGCACGTCGTCTCCACACTTTATACTATTGCCATTATTCCTATATAAATACAGTTAAAAATAATAGGTACGCGAAGACGAGGTCTGCACATTTCTAAACTTCCAAGGATCGCTGGCGTTGGAATTTAATTTTTTTATACCGGGCTTCCTAGAAACTACAGGGTCATAACGGATAAAATTGGACCAAAAGGACTCCAAGTTTACCAAAATGAATTGCTATCATTCTTGCTATGTACGACGCGATTGCGATTGCTTACATTGCTTTCCAGGTGGCGTTTTCTTACATAATCTCAGAATAGTTAATATAAATATGATCAAATAAGGACTCGGCAACTCAGTGAAAACCGCATCTCAATATTTTTATGGAGGCCTACAATGAACTCAACGTTAAAAAAAAGTTGGATTTTGGGGAAAATTTCCACATTGCGAATTGTTATTATTTCGTTTTTATCTTTTACTTTTTCTACAACACCTTTGGTTCCGACAAAATTGCCCAGAGAGCTGGCACCATTTGGTTTTGATATCCTTGACTATTTTCAATTAATGTATTATAATCGCATTAGATTTAGTGAACTAACCAAAACTAATAAATTGTTGAAGACTAACCAATTGATCAAATAGTCAATATTTTTCTTTGTCCCATTACGATGAGTTTCAATAAGACATTTTTAATACAGGAAATATTTCACAAACTTAAAGTAATGATAAAGATACAACGACATGAAAGGTGCGTAGCGATTGGTCAGATAAAAACCAAATTTGTTTTCATAGCACTCTTGATGACAAAAATGAAGTTTGATTAATTTTGTAGATGGCTTTACACATTTTATTTATTTATTAAATTAAAAATAGTGCTAAATATTTGAAAACAGCTTAGCATGTCAAAATGTAGTAATGTCAACTAACGAATAATTCGCAAACAGCAGTTTTAGAACAATTACTCATTTTCTCTTGGGCAATTTACGTAATTCTTGGAACACCCGGTATATACCAAAATCTCCGTCGAAATAACCGTTTTATCTTTGCAATTTGAACCTCGGAGAACCGAGAATTTGGCCAACTTCTTATTAAAGGTGCGAATCAATCTCGACACGCGTAAGTACATTGCACTTTATTTAACGTTATTTATGAATTTATTGAACGATCCCATCTATAGACAGAGGAAAAAAAATGTTCTACAAAAGCGTTGCGTGGTTAAGTATATAATTGTACTTTAAACAAAAGCGAATATGTAGGTCGTTATTTTTATTTAACACATGTCAATAACCTTTGATTTTTTCATAAAATATATTTTTCAGTTTTGTAATCGATGCGGATGAGGCAACGTCGCAATAATCGGATGAGTAGAAGGAACCGATCGAGCGTTATCTGATAGCCACGTGTTTGGACGGTCAATAGAACTGGGTCGTTAGACTTAATATTCCTACTTTAATTTATGTAAAAAATGCGTCAATTCACGTGTAGTTACGTAGGTTCACCCTAAACTGGCATCAAATAAAATGTCTGCTCCGTAGAAAAAAAACATCGTTCGCTGCAAAATATTCGGTATTTCTCTCTTGGTCGATTTAACCCATTTACATTAATTTTAAGCCGTTGACGTATTCGATTACGGCCCGTAATAAAATAATAAGCTTTACGACCACCATCATTTAAAAAAATCTATTTTATATGCGCGCTGTATATATGTTGCGCAATCCCGCATCGTCGAATTGATGTTAATTATTATATTTGATTATTAATAATGATAGCTTTTTAAGGTATAGCAGCGAAATATGTTTTTTCTTTCATTCCAGAAAGAAAGTAAGACATCACATGTGAGTGAACGAAGCATCACACAATCGACTGATAACCTATCAACTGCCCACCGAATACCTCAAAAAATGACCGAAAGGGATAGCTATATGATGTCTGACAAAGTCAGTAACAATAACAAGCCTCACATCGAAGCCCCGGAAGAGCTCAACCCCTTGCAAAATGGCGTCAAGGAAACCAGCGATTCCGCGGACGAACAAACCGCCCTGACAACATACGACGACCACAACAACCACCAGAAACAGACGCACCAACTTAACGGTGATCTAACGAACGAATCCATTGATATAGAAGACGGTGATAGCGATACCGAATGCGGGTGGGGCGTCTGTTCACCAAAATGGTCCAATATGTTCGCGTCGAAGCAAGCGTTTCTCGCGGTATTTTGCGTGGGGTGGGTATTGCAAGGGATGTATCACACGTACCTCGTGAGTGCGATCACCACTATAGAAAAACTCTTTCAAATACAATCGAAAATCACAGGGATTATAATGAGCGCGACCGAAATAGGGGAGATTGGGTCCTGTTTGCTCCTCACCTATTACGGAGGGCAAGGACATAGGCCTAAGTGGATCGCTTGGGGTATGGTCCTTTTCGCTGTATCGTCTTTCACCTGTTCCCTACCTCATTTTATATACGGTAAACAACTAATTACGGCGAACGATCTGACTGGGATTATTCGGTAAGTCGTCCTTCATATGTAATTTTGTCCAATCGCGGCGGATTAATGTAGGTCAACAGATTTAAGGAGGAGTCGCCGGATTTTGTACGCGTGGGGACCGCTTCTTACAGGCGCCTCGAAATCGTTGACTCCGCCCCCGATCCGCTGACCTACATTAATCGATCGTGATTGGTCAAAACTGTGAAACAAGGGCAACTCTCCTCATATCGGTTATTCTGATAATTGGATAATATTTTTCACTCACAGGGACCAATATCAGAAATTAATGCCCATTTAGTCATTAAATCAAACTTTTCGACTAGGTGATATTTTTATTATCAGGGAGCCGAACATTTGCAAAGCACCGAATGGGAATTCGACGGATTATTTTCGAAATATTTTCAATGCCACGGAATACTCGGAGCAGATGCCGGATATAATACAAACGTGTTACGAAGATGTGGTGCCCAGTCACCAAATTCATCCGAGTGTGACCAACATCGTCCTTGCGATATTTTTCATAAGTTTATTGGGAGTCGGGCTCGGGCAAACTTCTGTTTACACATTGGGAATTCCCTACATCGATGACAACGTCGCCAGTAAAGAATCTCCGTTGTATTTCGGTAATTTTAATTGTACTTATCCGTCACACTTAATTAAGTATGTGTACAGCAAGGGCCATTTAAACATTTGAAAAGCCACAGGTGATGTCTATACAAACACGCCCATTTACATAAGCAAATTGAAAAGGCGATAAATCGAATACGAATAGCGATTTCTAACGGTTCTGCACTTTTGATTTTAAGCTTTAGCATATTTTTATACGTTTTTTTTTTTGCTTATTTTAATGAAGGAGGATTGTGTTGAGACTACGTCAGGTTTTAAAATATTAAAATGGCGAGACAATTTAATTGCGTCGGAATCCATGATGCCAGATAAAACCTTATCTCGACCAGATATAATACCCACTTGCATTTTGTTACTTTAGGTTAGTTACGAAAACAAAATTCTCGATGTCATTGATAATTTTCAAAATGCATTCCTTATATACGTTTCTCTACAGGATGGCCTGGCGAAAAAAAAAAACGATTTTTCCTGCCTAGACCTTGCTGACGTTTCGCCGGTCATCCTATTGACTTCAGTTAAGATTTGAAGAACCCAACAGGATAAAATGCTGTGATTGTTTCAGCAATCACAATCGGAGTTCGAATATTGGGTCCAGCGTTCGGATTCATAGTGGGATCTCTTTGTACTAGCGTCTATGCCGATCTATCTGTCGATCCCAAAATCGATTCTTCAGACCCAAGATGGGTGGGCGCGTGGTGGTTAGGTTTAGTTATCATCTCAGGGTTGCTTATACTAGCTTCGATAGCGATGTTCGCTTTCCCAAAAAGACTTCCGAAAGCTAAGCCAATACACCGAATTAGAAAGATAGAAAGCGCGGACAAGAAACAACATCCTAGTATAAGAGGTAAATTATACAATTAGATTTAATATCTGCTGGAATATAATTTTTTTTTCAGATTTTCCTAAGACTGTCAAAAGACTTTTGAAAAACGATATTCTGATGTTTAGAACCGCAAGTAGCGTTTTACATATACTTCCAATAGCGGGCTTGTATACATTTTTACCTAAATACTTGGAATCTCAATTCAGACTGCCCACGCCGACAGCTAACATGATTTCAGGTGCAAAAATATTCGAAAAATTTATAAACTAAAATTTTAACCTAACAAAATAGTGTGATATGTCTACACTTCGGCTTACTCACTGTAGCCTCCAAAATATTTCCTTCAAATTTACGAGAACGGACAATGACTATGGCTCATTCTTTTTTAGGTGTTGGCGGGATTCTGGTCATGGGTGTAGGCATCATTCTAAGTGGAATTTTCATTTTAAGAGTCAAACCAAACGCACGCTTTGTCGCGGGCTGGATTGCATTTACCGCCATCGTTTATTCGTTGGGGATGGGTCTCTTAATGTTTATCGGTTGTCCTACGAATGACGTAGCCGGATTACAACAAACGGAAGGGTAAGAATTTAGATGAAAAGCGGCGACATTACTCGCAACGACGATGTTCAAAGGTTCGATCCCGTGCTGCTAAATAGCTGCAACAAAACCAGCTGCAATTGCAACAAAGACAAATTTCAACCGATATGCGGGCAAGACGGCAAAACGTATTTATCTCCGTGTCATGCTGGTTGCCAGAATTATACGAAAAGAGACGGCAAAATCATCGAATATTCCGAATGTATGTGCTTGGAGAAGTTAAATGTGACGTTCGAAGACGACGAGGAGTGGGGCAAAGCGACAATCGGATACTGCGACCTGGAATGTTCCAATTTTATTTTATACATCGTGTTATTTTCCGTATTTGTTTTTATTCATTCGACATCGGAAGTGGGATCTATGCTGCTGATTTTACGATGCGTCGATCCTGTAGACAAAGCGATGGCTTTAGGGCTAATTCAGTTCGCGATCGGATTATTTGGGAACGTTCCTTGTCCCATAATTTATGGGGCTGTGGTGGATTCCGCATGCCTAATATGGAAAATGGCTTGCGGAGAGAAAGGAGCTTGTGGGCTATACGATGCCTACACTTTTAGGATGTTCTACCACGGTAAGTAAAACTCACGTTTAAATTGTAAGAACACTTGCGAAATTGAAAAACACGACCAGTGATTTTTCACTATCGAGATGCATTCCACCTGTGCCGTGTAGGCAGCAAATGTGCACCTGTTGCGTCCCACAACTATCTCTACCCGAATAACATTTTCTTGCGTAATCCGAAAGTGGAATGGTATGATATTTCAGGTACAACGGGAGCTCTGCTTTTGTGCGCGTTCCTGGTGGATCTGATAGTGTGGTATAAAGCTACCGAGATTAGATTTGTGGACGACCAAACACCTGGATGAGAGCCGTTTACTAAACGAGCCCGCTTCTGCTTTTCTTTATTAAACAGTACCTAACTGAGTTTTACTTTAGGTGTTACGAATATTCTGCATTTTAGCTGAGGTTATATAATTGAGTCGTAGGACGCTCAATTCTTTCTTTGACTGAAATTAATCGATGTTTTTTGGGACTAGACGATCCAATCGATGTTTTTACCGTAGAACTCCGATAATTCACAAATCTCGAATTATTGAAGTAACGAAAAATTATCATTTTTCTCTAATGTAATTTATTTGTAGGTCCTTTATTTTAGAAATTAAGCGGTAAATGTAATTATCGGGATTTTACTGTATCATTAAATTCCTTGTAGTAGGTCATTTCAGGGAAAGTCCGATTTCGGCTGCCTTATTTAGATAATTCTTTTAATTCTAATTTTTAATGACGTAATTGTTAATGAAAGAATTTAACACCACTACAGTGTGGATGACAAAAATTGAACATTTTGAAAACACTATATGAACTGTGATATTTAAATATATTTGTTACGCACCTTTCGAAAATGTTTGTAAACAATAATTCCAAGGTATTGTTGTACAAGGTTAGGATCAATTATTGTCTCGTATAATCAAAACGATAAAAAATGAGTGAATTTTAATTGCCATATTAATGAAGTAAGGGAAAAAATTTATCCTAACTGATGAATATTATCAAATTTCTCTTGTAATTATCTCTAAGCAAATGTGTGTAGTTAATCGATTGTATGTAGAGAATTAGATCCCTCTGTACATATTTAGGGTTTTTTTTATAGACTCTCTGTTAGACATGTTACATAAATGGTTATTGATTTAAACATTAACACAATTAGTTACCATTTAGATATACCGTAATATACAGCAGATTCATTTTTCGAAAAATAACGTTGTGCCATGTATTGAGTTTGTAGATACGATATAAATGAATATACCTCATTTTCCATATTATGGTGCTCAACAGTTTATACTTTTATATTAACATTTATAACTTTTCGTCACCCTTTTTTATCCTGGTTTAGTATAAACAAATTAAAAATCGCCGCGTTATTATTGCTCTTATCCTTAAAGCCTTCGGTAAAGAAATATATTACCATGCGCCTGCAGCTGGTTTTAATTGACTCGGAGGACATTATCAAACCCAATAATTATTGATCAAAGATGTATTTCAATCTAACAAACGTTTGTTTATCTACACAATTACAACTTGCCCCCTAGGGGGATAAAATAACAAATTAATTGGGAAAACTCAATGCAACTATTAGACTAATAACATTTGTTGGTAATTTGGAAAAATGTTTTGCAAAAGCGTTGCAAGGCATTTATTTAAATTTCTAAATTATGGAAAGCTTTCGGTGGATGTAATTGAAACAATATGGTGGACTTTAATAATTGACATGTTTACATTTACATAATGAAAAGAAGTCGGAGGTCAATATCAAATTTAAAGTAAATTCGAAGGCAAGAAAATCCGTAAGTGTAGGCCTATTGCTTTGTAGACCCAGACTCAAGATGTCCTTTGCCACGTTTCTATCTATATTTAGTTTCAATAAAATATAATAATAATAAACTAACCTTTAGTAACGACGGCCACGCGTTCAATTATCAGTCAAAAAATAATACATTTTTGTAATACTAATTCAACAACTCGTAACGGCAGACACGATTCTTTTACTTTTCGTTGCCATCGAGCTGGCAATAAAGGAGAAAAAAATCTACAAGCGAGAATAACTATTATTTAACGAGATTATAGAGAGAGAAAGAGAGAGAATGCTTCAAAAAGTAAAAGAAACTCATCTTCAGATGGATTTCCCTTCAAAAATCCACAGGGGAAACTGTTCAGTACCTGGAAATAAAAATGGTTGCTTCGAGATTTAAAAAAATATTAATTAATGAATTACCTGTAGTAATTTGGTTTAAAAGGACCGGCTTTGTTCAAGCCCATATACTTAGCCTGTTCATCTGTTAACTCTGTCAAATGGGCATCGAATGTAGGCAGATGCAAACTGGCAACGTACTCGTCTAAAACATAAGATTATGTCGGCAATCGAGTAAAGCGCATTTAAACAAGGCACGTACCCATCTTTTTAGGCAAAAGATAGACATCTGATTTGTATCTCCCAGGTGGAGCATTGAAAAGTTCTATTAATGCTAACGCCTGCGTTGCCGAGGTAATGGATACCACAAACGATGGCAAGCTTGAACAGCTTAAATTAACTAGTCTTCCCTCAGCTAACAGAATGATCCGCTTGCCGTCGGGCCAAATAACATGGTCCACCTGGGATCTAACTTTTTCCCATGTCAGATCGGGGGTTCGCAAACTATTCTGGAAAGGTAAACGTGAAAAATTGGCAAAGTAACGCAATACGATTTCGTACAATGTCTATCTCGGTATTCGAATGACCCATGTTGCACACAATACATCCGTTTTTCATTTTATCCATATGTTCTCTCATAACAACGTTTTTATTGCCGGTAGCGGTGATGACTATGTCGACATTACGTATCACTTCGTTTAATTTGACCACGCGAAATCCATCCATGCTACAGAAGAGGTTTTTATTTTAGGAATAAAAATACATTTATAACACACCTTGCCTGTAAAGCGCAGATAGGGTCAATTTCAGTGATATAAACAACGCAACCGAATCCTTTCAAAGCTTGAGAACAACCTTTCCCGACCTCGCCGTACCCACAGATGACCACCTGTTTCCCACCGAACATAACGTCCGTAGATCTTTTCAAGCTATCTATAATTGACTCTCGGCAACTATAAAGATTATCATATTTGGTCTTGGTTACCGAATCGTTAACATTCATCGCGGGAACGGTTAACTTTCCACCTTTGGAGAGTTGGTATAAACGATGAACACCGGTTACACTTTCTTCCACAATGCCTACGTATACAATATACCCATCAACGCAAGCCCTTTCTAATTGACTATTGTACCTTTAATCATTTTAAACATAGCGGGATACTTTTTCAGCATAAGATGAGTCGCATCTCCTCCGTCGTCCAAGATCATGTTCGGCTGCCAATTTTCTGCGCTGACGCATTTATCTATGCACCACCAAAAATCTTCCTCTGTTTCGCCGCGCCAAGCAAATACGGAAAAACCTGCCTCGGCCAAAGCTGCCGCAACTTCGTTCTGTTAGAAAAATTCAGAAAAACTCGCGAGAGTGAAGAAGAAAACGACCAAGTTGTACCTGAGTAGAATATATGTTGCAAGCAGCCCATCGAAGACTGGCACCTAAAGCTGCTAAAGTTTCAATTAATACTGCCGTTTGAGCATTTATATGAGTGCAGCCGACGATTTTTGCGTTTTTTAAGGGCTTGTCATCCGCTGCTCGTTTTCTTAGCGCCATTATTCCCGGCATTTCTATAGGAACAATTTGAAATTAAAGACGATGGCAAAAAATAGGAGCCTAAGGACCTTGTTCGGCAATTTCTATCTCACGCCTTCCAAATGCGTGTTGGCTAATATTCCTCACGCAAAAATCTGAACTGCCCGCGGAATTCTTCTGCACCTTTTCACGTGGAGATACGTCGTCGTCATCGGAGCTGCTGCCAGTACAAGACGCTACAAAACATTCGATAGTCCATTAGGACAAGATAAGCCTATCATTTTTAGGTCGGCGTAATTTAATCCGCGTAATACCTCTCTTATCGTGTTTGAAATTTTTGGTAACAAAAATTGTATAGACAAATATTCCCGTATGTAATATATATTACCTGAGCTGTATGAATCTGTGGAAGAAGCCGAAAGTGATCTGCTTCGATAGCGGCTGGACTTTTTCAGGGCACCTGCTTTATTCTCCTGAAAAGTACAAGTTCAAGCAAAAGAAAAATCGAAAATGCAAGAAAAAATGCAACGCAAACTAACGGCAGTCTGCATCTTTAAAGAATAACTTTAAAATGTTATTTAAATAAATAAACAAATGTTTTTAAAAGAAAACCCATATCGCTGGAAATATAAGAGAAGAACAAGAACAAAAATGCTTTTAAACTACTTAATTCCGTTATCAAATGTAAGCTAGGGGTCATCCCTAAACTACACCACGCACTTTAATTTGATTATATGGATTATGGATATAGTTTTATTTTCTAGTTACTTAATTGTCACTTTATATATTAGAAGAAAATAACAATATACAGGCTGTCCAAGATAAGGATCTTTTTCGTTGGGATATTGGAAACCATAAAAAATACGAAGATGGTTAAATTAGAAAAAAGTTGCGAATTTAAAGGTAAATATCGTGCTGTTGAGAAAACTAAAAAATTCCCCGCACTTCCGAAGATAAGCCAAAAAAAGAACGATATTTACACATTTCGTTCTTAGTTTTTTCTTATGTTATTATACTTAAAATTTCTCAACGCTATCTGGTAAAACTAAACATTGTTTAAATCTCCTTAAATAACGAAAAAAAATAAAAATAAAGTGATGAAATTTTTTGTTTTCTCAAAAACACGTAAATTTTGCAACTTTTTTATAATTTAACCATTTCCGTATGTCTTACGGTTTCCCATATCCCGATGATAGACATCCTTATTTTGGACGTACTGTATACGAGTGCCGCGAAGTGCTTAGTGAAAGAGAAAGGTAACGTTAGGACCGTGGTGGCCCTTCGCGCCTTGTTTATGTTGCGTGACGTAGTACGTTGGTACATGGACGACCCCTAAAATGTCTAAGTGTTTAACAACTAAAACGGACTGTATTGCACAAATCTTACCGCAAACAAAATACATTATGAAAAAGCTCAATCAAACGATTATGATTTTCAAAGAAAAGATACAAAACCGATATTAAAATAAATTAACTTGATATTACGGTAGAGTCCAAAATCTAATTGACTATGAATGTACCTTAACTTTTTAAATCAACCTCGTAATCGTGTTTAGAAGCATAGCACAAAATTGTGAAAACAAAGTGTTTTTAAGGACCTTAAGGAGGTAAAGCATACATTAGAACACATGTATATCTTACCAACTTAGATCTTTGGCAGACGAAGGCATTACTTCCCTCCAATCCCTAGAAATAAATTTTAGAAAATTGAATTTAAAATTAGAATAGTGCACACATTTTTCGCAAAATCCTTTCCTACTTTACGCTGTTGGACGTTAATAAGTTTTTAATTTTAATTGCGGCCACATGTATGCTTACCACAAAATAATTTATTAATACACAACTAAATATTAAGAATCTAATTAATTTGAAGCAAAGGGCATCATAAAGTCACACACCTTGGCACCTGCAGCAGGATCCGTAATAGGACTATCGGATACAGAGTTTATATTCCTATTCCCAATAATCGTCCTAATTTCTATATTTTCGGACATTTTTTTTATTTAAGTCAATTGAAATTCGGCCAATAATCTGCAGCCTTTGGCCGCGTAAAAATCACTAAGCAAAATTTCCCACTCCACCAACCAAACTTGGAAATTTAATGGGAACAAGAGCCATTAAACCAAACCACAATTTATTATTTGACACAAGACGACAGCCGACAGCTCCTCAGACCTTTACGGACAATTTTATTCTCACGTGGTTAAGGAGAGGGTGCGTGTAGTACCACGAAAAAGAGACAAAATGATGTTTAGGTAGGGTTCGGGAGCGTTCAGAAATAACGACATCTTAAATATATTTTCTTTATTTATTTTCTTAGTTTCAAATGGAAATTAATGACCATTAAAACTCGCTAACGGGAAATGGTGGACCGTCGGCCAGCAAACCGGAATATTTTATTTATGTCCGGAGTATTTCGTAATTTGTATTCTACTGCTCATGCCTCATGTCACAATTTTATTTGGGGGAAAACTGACGTGTGTTGAGAGTTTTGGTGTCGAAAGAGCGCATTTAGAAACGATAGTTTTTTTTTGTCGAATACTTATCCGCAGCCAAATTATTCATTTATTAACATTATGCATAGTAGACGAAAAATGAAATACCGCCTGGAAGACGTACATTTATAACCATTATTATTGTCAAACACATTTGTCTAAAGGTGTCCAATATCCCCTTTCAATAACAAGGTAGGTGTCTGTAAGTTATAAATAAAAACGGATTTTGAAACTCGCACACCACTGATTAATCTTGTTTTTTCTGCAGGACCCAATAAAAAGCCGAAAGAATGGCTCAAGTTGTGGGGCAGAAAAGACGGGGCATTAGTTGTAACGAAACATCCTCCAGTGGGCCTACCCAATTGTCAGCCCTGGGCTCGGCGCCTGGTACCCTTACAGATGAACTTGCTGCATTATTTGAATGTCCAGTATGTTTTGAAATAGTTTTACCACCAATAATGCAATGTCAGGTTGGGCATTTGGTCTGCGCCAGTTGCCGACCTAAATTATCCTGTTGCCCAACATGTCGTGGTACATTAGGAAATATAAGAAATCTAGCAATGGAAAAAGTAGCCAATAATTTGATGTTTCCCTGCAAACATAAGTCAACTGGATGCAGAATGTCATTAGGTTTAAATGAAAAGGCAGAACACGAAGAAGTTTGTGAATTTCGTCCTTATAGTTGCCCTTGTCCGGGTGCCTCCTGCTCCTGGCAAGGGCAATTAGATAAAGTGATGGTTCATTTACAACATTCCCATAAGAATATAACCACACTTAATGGTGAAGACATAGTTTTTTTAGCGACTGAAATTAATTTAGCCGGAGCGGTTGATTGGGTGATGATGCAGAGTTGCTTTGGTCATCATTTTATGTTAGTATTGGAGAAACAAGAGAAGAGCGATGGACACACACAGTTTTTCGCTATTGTTCAACTTATTGGGTCTCGAAAGCAAGCAGAAAGGTTTGCGTATAGGTAATTTTTATATCCAATTTGCAATATGAAAACGAATTACTGCATCAGATGGCTTGTTGCAGATTGGAATTAAACGGCAATCGACGTCGTTTAATTTGGGAAGCCATGCCGCGGTCCAGCCACGAGGGGGTCGCGTCGGCGATAATGGGATCTGATTGCCTGGTCTTTGACAACTCAATTGCCCAACATTTTGCGGATAATGGAAATTTGGGTATAAACGTTACCATTTCATTAGTGTGCTAAATAGTTTTGTCAAAAATTGGTTATTTATAAGACTTATTAGTTAGTTCTAGTTCGGTTGTATATATACATATATTTCTACTTATTTCAATACCTATGATACTGATTATATTTCCTTTATTGTGTTATATGTATTTTGAAATTTGATTTTTAAAAATTTACACTGTGTCCATGAATATAAACTGATCTAGGTTTTTACTGTCTGAGGAAAAACATCCTCCACGCAAAGCACTACGAAAGTGAAGCGACTATTTACAATTTCTGCGTATGTTTCTTTAAATTCCCTATTGTAAATACACTTAGAAATGCTTTGAGTGACGGATTGTTTAAAAAGAAAAGTTGCTTTTGCAAACTTGAAGATAATATAATATCTCAATTAGGTATTAACTAACAATTGTGATATAAAAGTACAGTTAACTGGTTCCATGTAACATAGTACCTACACTATCAAAAAGGATAATTTTTATTATTATTTGAGCTATATCGTTTAAAGCGCTGTTATGTCGATTGGTTCTTGGAATGACTCAACTGTCCACTATTAAGTGTGTTTTGTTGGTGGCAATCTAGCAGAATCTTTCAGGGATGACGTCCCAAAAAATTACAAATAGACTGATTTTATTATTTATAATTATATTGATGTTTCATGTGTATGGATATGTAATTATTGTAAGTATGAATGGAGGTGTTTGTAACAAAAAAGGTTTCTCCTTATATCAACTGAGATTAGCTGTCTATTGTTTTTAAGTATTCAATTTTCCCATTTTCCTACGAAGTCTGGGCTTACGAGAAAACTGGTGTACAAAAATCGCTTTAGCCTAGCTGGTGAATCTAGATTGCCGCTGGTTTGTCTTTATCGAATTAAAGGCTAATCAAAAAGTGCAGTTTAATTCATAGAAATAAGCCTTAAGCGTTGCTTCCACTTAAAAACCAAATAAAATTTTATGAACTACACTGCACTAGGTCTATTTTTTAGCTTAAGGAATTTATGTAATTGCGATAAATTAAAATTAAAGACAATTTAAAAAAAACTTGTTTATTTTCCGTACCTACCCCCCCCCCCCATTTAAACCTAGTTATTGTGAAAAAAATGGGTAAATAAAAAAAAGTGCTTCAGTGACGTTAGCGAAATCTAGGCAGCTAGGCATCGACGATCATTTTTTGTGCTCGCGTATCAGTCGTCCCTTTTTATGAAAGCCTAAAAAATTTATTACCTGTCAACACTTTTAGTGGTAGACTAAAAAAATGATGATTTACGAGCGTCGTTATTTGAAATTGAGATGTGAAATAATATTTACCATTTTTTATGTTACAGAGAACACCTGGTCAAAACTGTTACAGGACTTTTGATATTTAATTTTGTTGAGAAAAATGTTTAACAAAAAATTTAAATAATTTTCCCGTAATGGTACATACCAACTTTTAGAGCTGGTTTCTGTTTCACTCCCCACTGAAATGCTCTTGTACAGGATGGCCAATATAATGTAACTTTATACCTTATATTAGAATATACAGGGTGTACAAAAATATTAAATACAAAAGTTATCTGGTATTATCCTATATATTATTATATTTTTGGATTCTACTCAAGTTTCTAGCAAAATTTCATATATAATGTTCTATACCTGTGTCTAATGGTTTTTGACAAGTTTTTATCTCAAATATGTCATTTGCAGGCCCCAAGAAAAATACCGTTTTTTCCTAAAAGAAAATCTTTATTTTTTAATTTGAGTTTAATACCTTGTTGACAAGAATCTACTTTAATAGAATTTTTATATTTTGATAACTAATAATACAGGGTTTTCAAAAAGTAATAGTAAATACTAAACTGAGAAAAGGTCCAAAAATCATTATTTTTTAATTGGAAACCCCCAAATTTAATAGTTTTATCTTATTTGCCATTAAAAATAAAGGTAAGTTAGTATAACGTTGTGTATGCTGAAAATATTTAATTTTCGAAAGATTGACCAATTAATATTCTTATATGAGTTTCAAGCTTTGTTATGTCTATCCTCAGTTTGCTATGACAGCGTTTAAAGTCAATTATATTCGCTAAATGCCGGTCGTATTAAAAATAGCTTCATCGGTCCACAATAATTTTTCAGATACATTGGATTCAAAGTAACGGTCTTCATTAGAGCGTTAAATGTTGCTGTTGCATCCTAATCATCAGCTGTCAAAGCGTTTGGTCAGCTATTTGGACCAAAGTGTAGAATACCACTTGGTATAATTTGGTCGTTGGCCAACGAGCCGTAATTTTGTCGTACAGAAATCAAATTGCCACACCTGTGATTAGGTTTTCTTTGTCTAAGGTTTAGACGTTGGCGTTTTTTGTCAACACATTGATCCAACTAATACCAAAAACCGACACCATTTGGTTTGCCGGTAACGCCCAAGTTACGCCAATGTGTACAACAACCTTTGATAGAGCATTTTAATTTTTTCGACTTGGTCTGCGGAGATGTTAATTTTGTTTTTCATTAGCAAAAACCGCTCCTAAAATGCTAAGGTAAATTTTCGAAGAAAATAATGACACCGCGCCATCTAGTGATGGAACTTGCAACTTACATCCCAAAAGATTAAAGTAGAAAAAACGAAAACTGTACGGGCAGAAATTCCAAAATTATTGTGGACGGATCCGCCCCCTTTTTTCATAAAAAAAGCGTTTAGTTAGATCATTTTGTGGCCTGTCAATTTGTTGAATTAATTTTACGCTCAATTTTTAAATGTTCGAGGGTTCTAAATCGTCAGTTTAGTTTTGTTAGTGATCGAGGGAGCATATTACGAGAACGTCGATATGTTAAAGCGGGTCGGTAAATGTTACTTTCCTGTGTGTTTTTAACCAATAACACTTGTTTACGTTTTTTGTTAATCGTGCTATGTGCCTTTCAGCTCCCGCTGTAAATAATATTAATTTTAAATTGGCATGATTAATTTATCATGATGAGAGTTGACTTTAACGATTATTTTTGGGTAAGTAGTTAAACTAACGTTTTCCTTTATGTTCAACATTTCTTGCTAGACCGTTTCAAAGTCCAAGACTTAATGTGGTTGCGGCACTCGTAATTTGGTGTCGTCAAAAACTAGCAACCCATGCGGTTTCAGTGAAACCTGCGAATCGCCACTCTTCATTATCAAATAATGATGGCAGGTCGTGAATTTGCAATCTCAACTTGCTGGGAAGTACAATCAACCCTCCACGACAAGAAGGGTCACTTTCCGTCTATGCTTTCTTCCGCTTAGATCAAATCGTTTGCCGATATGCGGCTAACAATTTGAGTATTTTAATTTATGCTGGGTGCGTGGGAGTGCCAGAAACTAAATTCTAAGAATTTTATTACACTAATGTGCTTATGGATCTCATAGATAAATACTTCACTTCCTTACAGGAAGACATTTATCGTATATTTTGATTGTCGGACCTAGGACCATCAGGTCATTACACTGGATACTGAGTATTGGATTAATACATAATTTTTTTAAATTTTATCTGGCATCTCCGTTTAATTTTAAGGCGTCTGTGTTTCATATTCCTCGATTTGTTATCATTTGCTATTTAAATATTTAAAGTTGGACGCATTTAAATGGTGCTGCGCCGAATTTTATGATTTTTATTATGGAATTTATGTCAATATTGGAACATTTTTTCTATTAGGGTGAGAAAAACAATGGGTTCGACGTACTGTACCATAATATGAAGTTCGGCTTAGCCGCTAGCAAGGACTTTGCAGAATTTCTCAAGGAGAGGTACTTCCAATTTGATTTTAAATTTGAAAAAAATGCAAGCAATGATTTTCTTAGATCAAACATAGAAGAGAATACGTCGAAATCTCTTGGTAAATTAGCTGTCAAAGCTGGTAATTGCTGCTCGCAGGGTACATTTTCACCGTTATGGCAAGTGCTCAAAGCCTCTTCAGAAAAACTCTCCTCATTACACTTCCAAATGATGCAAAAGCTATCGGAATTAGTAAAGGAAATCAGTAAATATGCCGAAGAACTACACAAAAAACATAAATCTGTAAGTGTGAAAAAACGTTTTATTTAAATTGAAACTTTCATTTTTGCTTGCAAAGATGGAAATAAATGTACATCGAGTTTTATCACAATGTAATTATTGCCTCATTAATTCGCGTATATACAAACAAATAAAACTGAGATTATGCCAAGGTTTCTAAAAATATTTAACGTATTTTTTTTTCTTAATGCGTCAAGGTTAAGGAAGAAGAGTCCGGAACATTGGAAATAGTCCAAGTAATGCAAAATGTTACTGTAAATGTACAAAAATCAAAAGATGTATATAATCAACGATTCTTAGAGTTGGATCGCTTGCGCAAGGAAAGTACGTCCGCGAAAGACATAGAGAAAGCAGAACAAAAACTCAAAAAGGCCCAGGAAGACTACAAAAATTATGTGGAAAAATACAGTTTAGTAAAAGAGGAATTCCAAAAAAAAATGTCTCTCAGCGTAAAAAACTTTCAAGAACTGGAAGTTGTTCACTTGCAACATATGAAAGAATTCTTAAATTCGTTTGCCGATGTAGTTGAGTGGACGCACGGTGAAATGGGAAAAGTACACAAAGAGTTCAGAGAACAGTGTCTGGAATTGACCATTGACCAACTTCTCGAGCAATTCGTTAGGAACAAGTCCACTGGACTTGAAAAACCAGGTTGGCCGCAAACATTTTTTTCCTTTTTATATCGAAATACTGACAAATTTCTTGGTCCGTGCATTTTTGTTTTTAATCGTTTTTATTGAAGGTCGTCATCTCTTGATCCATTTGTTTCCCGATTTTATTTTAGTATTTCGACTAAATCGTTTTATGGTCAGAAAATAGAATGTTTGAGTTTGGTTTATGCACTGTTACTTTACCATCTTTTATTTGTAAAGAAATTGTCAGTAGAGCTCTTATTGCTAATGAAACTCTAAATAAAAAGGAAACAATTTTAGGCGTGTTAGACGTTGAAGAGCCAGTAATGTCTCCTAGTCAGGAAACGGAACTTTCGACGGGTGCGAAAACAAAGAGAGAAGGTAACAGTTCTAGCGAGCAGACAGTGCCAACACATGCCAAACCTTCCCGTCGAACAACTTCCCTATTAAATCTCTTCATGTCTAATTCACAGGGTACGTTTAAAGTACACCATTTACCCGGTAAAAATATATATATATATATATATATATATATATATATATATATATATAAATATCATCGAGCCATTCATCCTATAATTAGGCGGCCCTTTTTGATTTTTTATCGTTCTGGCAACAACAAGAAATGTTCGTCTTAAATTTACGCGAACCATACCCCAAAAACAAAACTACTATACCCACCCGGTAACGCAAATTCTTCAATTTAAAATAAAATTCGAGGCGCAAATATATTCCGAGGACAGTCATTTTCGCAATATCGGGCGTCCAATGTATTTTAGCTACACTAGATCATCAAAAATCAAAATGGAGACCCAGTAAGTGTTCCTCGATATTCGGTAAGCAAATGGCTCAAGAAAGGAGATAATAATAAGGTTCCAGTAATTATCCCTGAAGTGATTGTAGGCACCGTCTTGAGACATTTGGGCTTGGGCTATTTTTTTAGGTTCTCGCGAGGGCCGCGCTGGCCCGTGCAGTGCCCCATCGAGCCCCACCAGTCCAGAAGGTGATGAACAATTGACAAGACATTCACAGCGCGGATCCAAGTGTAAATCATCTAAATATCTATCTCACACTTTGTTCTCTACTCTGTCACTGGTTATTTTTGTTTCTTTATTGTCTTGTGTGTGTGTTCGGGAATCTAAAAAACTGTTTTGTTTAGATTCCTTCTGCACACGAATAACACTTGAAAAGTTATTTATTTAGTAAATATATAGAGTGCATGTGTACAAAATTTCTTAAATCTGGGCTGGTTGTGTTTCGTTTAATCAGGGACGTAGCAAACAATTTTTGTGTTTCTCGAAAACAACGTAAAAACTGTTTACTAATAAATTCCCAAAAACAATTGTTAAGTTAAATAATTTATTTATGAATGTGTACCTAATAACCATGATCTATGTGTAAGACCCGGCGAAATGTGACTCAGGTCTTACAAACCATTTTGCTGCGTCCCTATCTTTAATGGTGTTTGCTGTTATGTTGATTACCCCTTAAAATCTTACAGATGTAGTATCATTTGCTTCTACATTTTCTGATTTACGTGCCGTAACTATGGAATTCAATTTCATTTTTTATTCGGCGTTGTGTTGGCAAGTGTCTCCCTTATTTTAGCACAATGTAATGTAAATTTACGCTTTTCACACATTGAACACAGTGTCCTGTGTATTTTTCCATTACGGAAAAGAATATATGAAAATATCTTTTAGGGTTTTTGCGCAGTCGAAGGGACAAAGCAAAGCAAAAGAAATCCAAAAAGAAACAAGCTAAAGACAGTATCGATAACCAAAGCAACAAGGAAGAAAAATCTGACATGTGAGAAACGATTTGCCTCCCCTTTATTTGTGAAATCAGATATTTTTCTAGGGAGGAAAAAGACGATTCTCAAAAAAGCGATAAACCTGTTGTATCCTCGAATCCTACTGGACCTGAATTAGACGAAGACGGCTACGTTATTAGACCTACAGTACCACATACATGGAACGAAAAAAGCAGTTTTTATTCTTCTTCCGACTCTGACTCGGGTAACAGTTTGCTGGCAACTTTTTTTTTACGATTAAAGATTAAAACTCCAAGGTTTTTAAATGTTAAGATTTTGGTTTGCGTTAAGAACCATTAAAATGGATGTTAAATATAGGTGTATCCACACAAGATTGTTTGGTCCTATTATACAATTTATTGAAGTAGGAAAAAAAATTAACAATGTAATGTGTTTGTGAATTGAGCCTTCTTAATATAATAGCCGTAATTCTTTAACAGTTTATGCGCGTCGTTATCGAGATGTGGGGTTTAAAGCCGTTTTTCATCCAACATTATCACGTGAGGAAACTCTATACTCTGTTTGTAGATGACGAACGCGAAAGAAAAATTCACGTGGAAATAAAACCTCTGAACAATGGATCTGCGCCCATGTCCGCTTCTGTAGATGAACTAAGAGCAACCGTGGAAAATATTTATCTGTCACCTACCGGCGGATTTGGAAGACGAGGTTCCAATTTGGAAGGAGATGTATCAATGAAACGATCACAGTCAGTGTCGCAACAAATCGGAAAACCTAGTAGCGATTTGCTAGGCCTAAATCTAGTGCAAAGCCCTACAGCTTCCAACGCTTCCACACCTACAAGCTCCCATCCTTACGCGCCCTTACAGAGCCCGTCGCAATTGGCTTTGAATTCACCCACATTATCTGCTGGATCAAAATATGCAGGTACAAAATACATCGCAAAAATTTAGATCGGGAATAGTAATTTTTTGCTTTCCGCGAAAGAATTGGGAGACTTTTTTTCTGAAGATGGAGAACTGCCTCAACCACCTTCCAAACAAGTGAGACAGACCCCGACACCCACGTCTGGGTACATGTCAATTCCAAGACCACCTTCCAGAAGATCGGATCCGAATAGAATCCTTATGCAACAGGCTACCAATATTTCCAGAGCAGACAGTATTAACAGTTTAGAATTCAGAACGGCCAGTGTCCCGATAGGAGTATCTCGAGGACCGTCCCCGCTGACCATAGGAATGGCTGATACTATACCCCTGGCGGTTGCCTTCCACGAAATTGTACACTCCTACTTTAGAGGTTCCGACGAATCCAGGTGAGAAGTAAAACAATGGAGGTTTGCAACTGATGTAAATTGGAATAACTTTCAGATGTCAAGTGAAAATGTCTGGAGAAATGATGCTCTCATTTCCCGCGGGCATAGTTACAATCCTAGCTAACAATCCCAACCCTGCAAAGTTGATATTTAAAGTAAAGAATACTCAAAGATTAATAAGTGTTATGCCAAATAAGCAACTAGTTTTACTGTAAGTCCGGAATAAGCATTTTTAAAGTGTCGCTTAATCTGCAAAATATTTTTACAGGGATTCGAAACAATCATCTCCAGATTTCATCGGCGTCGAATTTAATATGAACGCCTTGAGTTCCTTGCTAAAGAAACAGTCTGAACAAAATCCCAGTGCTTCATATTTCAATGTAGAAATTTTAAAGTATCAGGTAAGCTTCGCAAAATTACTCCGTCGGTCCTCCAGTAAATTTTATTGAAGATCAAGCCAAATCACGGTGCCACTTCGTGTCCCTTGCAATTAGTAGCCTATTGGAAATGCACCCATACCCATACAGATTTAAAAATCGACTACAAATACAATATGCATGCTATGAGCTCCTCGAGTCCTTTGCTAAATGTCGCAGTAGCAGTTCCCATCGAAAGTACCGTCAAGAACATGCAAACAAAACCGCAAGCTCAATGGTGCGTTCCTTTCATTTAATATTTAACTTGGTTTGTTATCAACCTGTGTCGTAGGCCTAGCGAAAACAAGCGTCTTATCTGGAAGTTCACAGAACTCTCTCAGCATACGGAAAACAACGGCGTTGGTTCGATGCTGGCTAGATATGATTTAGAATCTGGACCGTGCGTTCCATCTACAATATCGGCCCAATTCAATTGTGAGGGAACCACCCTTTCGGGAATAGATTTTCAGTTAGTGGGGCCTGGGTACAGATTGTCTCTTATCAAACGGCGATTTATTTCGGGTAAATACATCTGCGACGGTGAGCAGAAATATGGGTCTAGTATTGGCAGCCATCCATCGTCTGCTGCCACCAGTACGGTTTCTTCGACTGGGGAACCTAATTGCTAGCATTCCTCACATATCATATGTGCAATATTCATATTAATTGTCTCTTATATGTTTGTATGTCAACACTTTTATTTATGACAATTCCATGTTACATAGCCTATGATATGATATATAGTTTATGATTGCTATTTTATAAATAACAATAAAAAAAGTACTCCAAAATTCCTCATTTTATTTCATGATCACGAAAACGTTATACCCGAAGTCAAGTGAAATATTTAATCGATACGGGGATGGTAGAAGAATAAGAAATCATAAAAAAAATGTAAGGTATTTATTTTGAGTCCCGCTTTAAAAAAAAAAAAAAAAAAAAAAAAAAACAATAAAATGGTACAATGTGTTTATTAAATAACTGGCAGTAGTGATACCATTATTTACAGACTTAACTAAAAGAAACATACAATCTATTCCTAGTCTTATTCACATTTAAGTACTCTGGAATAATAATCCAAGAATACTACGTTTTCCGTATCAAACTTGACGAAAAAAAATGACAACATTGAAATATACATTATCAGTCAAGTAGAAGTTTATTTTAATTTGGGGGTAAACACGTATAAAAGCTTTGGTGTTACTGTTTAGGGAAATAATGAAACAGTCGCGAGAGAACACTCTCATGCAATAGACGCATCGATCGATGAAATATCAAATCAACCATCTAATCCCAATGCCGTGTCGAAGTGCAGGAGCATTCATGAATCTTAAAATTTCTCGGTGCGTGTATGCAGTCAGTTTTGCAAAAAATAAGGACGATCGTTAATAGAATAGCCCAGTTTTTTTTCACGGGTGAAGCAAAAGTCAAATAAAATTTGACAAACAAAACTCAGGAAAAATAATTGTAACATATTAGCGCTAAAAAAATAGACTATAACATAAATATAATAAAAGATAACAACGTAATTAATAGCAATTATTAAGTTAAAACCTATAACAATATAAGTAAAGAGAATGTATCACCAATAAAAGAAAAAAAATACTTTGCCACTTTCAATGTATAGTCGAAAGCACGAGTCTAGAATTAAAAAATGCAATTAAAAACATCAAAAACCGTACTGTATGTTCAAGAACAGTGCATGCGACTATACAGGGAAGGCTCCGCTTAATTTCGAAACCATAGCATATTTAATTAAGTGTTTTCCAAATTACTTTGGGTATTCTGAAATTGTCCTTTCCGGTAATAAGACACTTAACTTTTTTTTAAGAAACTAATTTCAAAGATTGCCAATTGTGCTTCAAATAACATAGAAACTTAAAGTTAGAAGCATAGAGTAAAATCTAGCAGATTTAGAAATTCGTTTTTTTAATATTTCCGTATAACTAAAGTTAGATAAGGTATTAATTGGACAATTTTGTTCACTAACGAAGAAAATAAGTTAAAGGACCCAATTGTTCCCTTATCGAAAAACTTCACTTATTAATTTGCGCCTTTTTATATCAAAAACTGGAATAGTATAATTAATTTACCTAATTTTCATAATTTGCTACTCTATATACAGTTGTACTAATTCCGAATCAATTGAAGATGTATTTACAAATGTTTTTTAAAGAAACAATTTTAAATTATAAAATAAATAAATTAAATGCTATTCCAATAATTTAGAAGCGTGATGAGATGATTTTCAGGCAGTGTTCGTTTCGAATAAAATTATTATTCCCACTTTGTTTACACTTACGCGCATGTGATATAAATATAAATCGTTAATTGAAAAGTTATGCACAAGGTGTCCCAGCTGGTTTTAAATTTACGAAAATGTGAAAAAAAATACCTCCTCCCCTAGTCCCAAAAAAAAATTAATGAAATTTATACCACATCGTAAACTAAACCAGGTAAATAATTCTATTTGGTTAAGTTTTCATAAAAACTCTAAAATCCGCAGAGGAACTATTATCGTCCACAAAGATTTTACCGTTTTACAATATTATCTCCAAAATGACTTTATACAGGTAGAGAGAGACAAACACTTTGTACTATTTTGCTTTCATAAAAAAAAACTTATATCAATAAAAAAAATTGTCTAAGCATCCCTCCCTACCTATACAACACGAGTGATAAAAAACCTAAAACGCCAATTAAATATATTGAACACAAAACTTACAGTCGATCGGTATACTTGCAGCTGATGCAAATGCAACCGCAAATACCTAAAACCACTTGCTAAATTGTTAGCAAAGTTAGCGAATTTTTGCAAATTCAATATGAACAGTCGTTTCTATATTTTGCACTATATCGAGAAATTGCATAGGAAAATACAAAAATATTACGTATGATTTTTATCTAAGCAAGAAATAAAAACGATTGAAAAAATGGTAGAAAACCTTAGTAAGTGTTGCAATTATAAAAAAATACGCTTAATATTAAATAATAGTCAATTAAATAACAGTCATTAAAATGTAAAACAAGAAATAAAAAATTGTTAATTTTCCGCCGCAACTTGTTAGATATGATGCAAAATATCTTTTAAAAATCTGTACGTATATAATTATATGATACATATTGCGAGAAAATCTTTACTCATACAGGTGGATATGAAAAACTACCTGTTTTTACCAAACATCTTATCGCTACAACTCTTAGACAAGACAAGGTTATAAAATTTTTGGTGGCAATAGGGCCAAAATAACTAGCAAATAAAAACAACACACATCACCACTCGTTCGTTTGATAAATATACAAGTCTAAAAGTAATATGGGTATGGATAATACCATCCTGACATTTGCTGTGTGAAATCGGCGCACAACTGTCCATAATAATAATCCATCAAAAAGGGTCAATTTTTCCAGTTGTACGGATCATGTGACCTACTCCATTCATTGCCTAACAATTGGGAGTTGCTGTGGACGTCACTGTTGTGGTTGATGTGATCCCGGTTCCAATCCCAGTCCTTACCCTTAGGCCTAAACCTGTCTTTAATAGGTTCGGTTCTTTCTTCGGCGACCTTCGCCCATTCGTCATCCCTCCAATGTTCCCGGTAATAAAACTTTTTCTTAAAATGGGTGTCAGGTTTTTTCTTGTCCTCTGGGTACCTTTGGTACTTTAGCAACGCTGGGTTTAGCCTGGTAGGGCTTTTTTCTACGGGAATTGGCTCGGGACTGAAATGAATATTGTAGGGATTGGGTGAAGTGGGTGACGGTGTCCTAGGAGGTCCCAAATCGTCGGCGGTTTGATCAAGAATGGGTGGTGAATCAAGATATGTTTTGCTGATGGGCATTTTAAACAGTGTAGGTTTGGAATTGGGATTTAACTTGATAGCATGTTTAGGAGGCACCACTACAGAATGTGGTATATCACTATGTCCATGGCCAATGCCGGAATCTGGAGAAGTGTTACAGCTATCACTACCCTCGGTTGATCTTCTTCTTTTATCTAACTCCGTGGAGGCAAAGGCGACCAAACGATCAAATCCTGAACTAATTTTATCTTGCCACTTTGCTTCTTCACCTTCTTCTTCGACCGCATCTACATCTACAAAAACGGAGGGAAATTAATCAATACAACAAAAAAAATGGGTAGCTTTATTTTATGTTAATAACCCCACAAACACATCCGTCAATTTAAAATGATCGAACACGGAAATGAATAGGTAAAATAAAAACCATCACCCAAAAAGAAAAAGAAAACCGCCCAGCAAATTAAAAAATATATATATATATAGAAAAGAGCGCAAAGCTACTTACCACCTATTTAAATCTAGTACGGAAGGGATATTATGCATGCACTACATTGTGAGTAATGTGTGTTTGTGCATACCTGAACACGCTGTCCCCTATTTAATTTAAACAAACTACGTAAATAATAAAACAAATACTATAGAAAGGTAGACATAAAGGGGTTTAGATTAGGTCCACTTTTGCTTTATAAATTACACAACTCGAAAAATAAAAGAAAAATTTCGTAAATCATAATTTACTACCAGTTTTGCCGGAGTAAAGGTAAGCTCGCAGCAAATTAAATTAAAAAAAAAAAGTGCATCACGCTAAATGCAATTAAATATGAAAAACACGCTTAACGGAAAAAACAACATGCATAAAGTAATTAAAAAAAAGAAACAAAAACTGGTATTAAGTAAATCAACTGCTTATTTGGGAATAAACAGTGGGTTGAAGTAATGAAGGGCCTATCAAGGGGTAACTAATAAATTAATCAAATTCGTTGGACTATTTGACTATTGCTTAATCAACAAAATGCTGCAGCAATACTACAATGTTGACGTGATTATAAAACTAGCTATATCAAATTTTTACCCAAAACCACCACACACTTATAATAAATAAAATTCGGCTCACCATCTTCGTTGCACTTTCGCAGTTTAATGCTTTCCTGGATCTCTCCGGAATTAGGCCCCGTGCGATTTGAAACTGATTGATCCGCGTGGTGAGTACCGGCGGGAACATAAGGCGTCGACCTACGGTCATACGCATCTACTTCTTCTTTTATGGGCGGAGCTAATACCCGCGCTTGCAAACTTGCGGCTAATCCTTCAGCAACAAAACCGGTTCGGTGCTCCGTTTCGATCACAGACGATGTAATTGGCGGCTTGATGTCACTAAAGTATGACTCGTGGTATGGTTTTATGTCGGCCCTAGGCAAGGGTGTGTACATCTCGTTTGATGGATATACTGGATTTATAGAACGCTGCTGTGGAGCGAATAGTACCGTAGTTCTTGGAGAATATTGTTGTCTTGGAGACGGCTGGGGAGGGGGGATGTATTGATGCGAGCTTGGCTTGATGTGATTATGCATATAAGCCAATCCTTCTAGACCTCCTTCAGCCGATGAAGGCCTTGAAATGGGGCTATAAACTTGCCTAGGCGGTTCAGTATTAGGTTCCTTGGAAGTAGGTGGATTACTGATCTCAGGAGTATTTGGTACTTTCACGTTTACTCTCTCAGGTCTGGGAGGAATATTATTGTTAACAACAGACCTTGGTGTGACAGTTGTACTCTGAATGTCACTCATATCTACAGCAGCGTTAATAATTGACTGATTTGAAATTTCTAGCGTTCTCTCTATTTCTCCAGAAACCAAGTCACCAATGGTTCTTGTAGCCACCATTCCATCTGGAGCATTAAAAGTTGAATGCTGATTTGTCAACTTTTCTTGAGACAAATGCCGCCTTAAAGCCAATTTTGCAGGGGAGACTTGGGTGTAATCAGGTTGATCTGGACCTATCTGCTTAGTGGGGGGTACATGCGGAGAAACTTTTGGAGTTGCGGATAAGTCTTCGCGATAACATTCCATAACACCAGCTAAGCCTTCTTGATGGGGAGGGGGATAATGTCTCTCTTCCAGTTGTCTTACCACAGTTTCACTCCTTGCATATTTTGCTGGATACTTTCTCTTATCTTCTTGCTTTGTTGGAAAATTATTGGGATATACATAGGAGGATTGAGATCCATAATTAACAGTTGGCTGCATTTGTTGGGCCGATGTGTTTGTCATGTGTACGTTCATGTTGTACTGCATCTGATTTACCTGAGCTTGACCTTGTTTTGTTCTATTTTGTTGGTCTTCATTAAGAACAGATGTGATTATACTCTTCAAACGATCTTCGAAATTAGCAATCCTAGGCGCTTCTTGGGGTTTCTGAGGATTGCCACTACCATTAGACATGTTGTTAACTGGATTACTGTTACCAACAGGTAGTGAATAATTGTGCCCCGTCTTTTGCCTCTTGACTGGCAATGGTGCTGGCATATTGTTCCTAACCAATTGTTTCTGACCAGTTGAGGCATTTTTGTTGGAAGGAAGGGAAGAAATCTTACTAGAAACGCCTGAAAGTTTGCTTGCTTCAATTTTCCTACCAGTCTCAAGTATCTTTTGCGCCAAAATCTCCGGATTTTGCTCTTCAATTTTTGCAATGTCTGGAACATCTGGCCAATCTTGAGAGCGTGCTCTGTATTCCCTAGATTTTCGGGAAACCTTAGCTGGCGTTTGTTGCTGCCTAGGGGTCATTAGCACTTGGGATTGTTTTCTTTCCTCGCTGGTCTTTTGCAGAGATACAAGATCAGCCTCCAATTTTTGTACTTCACTTTGCAACTTCTTCCTATGAGATAAAGTTGATGAAATCTCCCTTAAAATGTATTCCTGGGCCAGACTAGGTGACAACTCATTTGAACTATCTAAGCCCACATATTTTTCATAAATTTCCGAAGATCTTTGCATTGCAAGATTATCCTTTTCATTTTCCAATTTGGCAACCTGCCCCTGTAGCTTGCTCGCCTTTGCTTGCAGTTCTTTGTGTCTACAGACAATTTCCTTTGCTTTAGCAAGCAAATCAACCGGAGAAGTTGCGTTAATTCCCAGTTCACTCATACGAGCCTTCAAGAGGGCAACGCTATCGTCAATGAGCACTTTAATTTGCTTTTCAAGCTGCGCAGCTCTGCTTCTAAGTTTTTTGTTCCTATCTCTCTCTTCTTCGATATGAACCTCTACTGTATTCTTGTAATTTGAATTTTTCATTTGCCCTAACATTTGCATATACTGAGCTCGGAACATATCCAGAAGCACTTGGAGCCCATATGGTGTCTCTGATGGGTCGGCAGGAATATCCAACTCATTATGTGTAATAACATCAGAGCTCAATGTTGTTAACTGCTGGTCTACACAACCTGGAGCTGGAGGCAGCTTCTTGCCTATAGCTTGAGGTGAAGTGCTCAATAGAGTTTCACTGTGGAGAAGATCCAAGCCATTGATCTTGATTGCCTTCTTTGGTTTGGCTTTCTTTACTCTGCCACGCCTGGGTTTAGCGGTTGCCTTCAGATTCTGTTTATCTTGCTGGTTTGGACCTTGCTTGCCCCTAATAATCTTTCGACGCAATTTCTTCGGTTGACGTTTGAACTGTTTAAAAAACTCAGTTATCAACCACAGTACTTAGAAAATGCAAAATCATTACCTTGGAGTTGGAACTTTCTTCCTCAGACTGACTACTTTTGCCTTTATTGGAGCAATAATCGGACCAAGCTTTCCTAGTGGTGGGACCATAGTTGCTATCCTGATCATCAAAATCCGAATCAGATGTTGAATCTGCCACCAGCTGTTTTGATAAATCCCGTTTTGCTTTTTCCCGAGCACCTCTGCCATTGTTGCTATTAGAGTTGGAGTTCTCATCTTCTCCATTCTAACAAAACAACACTTGAAATTAATAAAATTTAATTAAATAAAAATAAATTTATTTTACCTTAAGCTGTGGTTTTTTCAACCTCTGGAAGTAGCGTTCTAGCTTTGTACGATCTATTATATGCAGATAATAAGATACAGGCTTGCCAGTCCAGGAAACGGAACCTCTCATGGGAGACATTTCTGAGACATGCATGATGGTGCCAATATCGCTCAAGTTCCTGTCAGTTATTCTAAAATTCAATGGGCAAAAGCTTTTGGAAGACACTATCCTTGCTCCATCTTTCAAATCCGCAAATCGCTCTTTCAACTGATGATCCACAGACGGCCCAAACGCAAAGTTGTTCACAAATACTATAGTTGCCTGGTTAATTTTCTCGCGATGTTCCTCAGTCAGAAAATCCCCCTTGATGAGCTTGTAATCACCATACTTTTTACCATACCATTGCATCCAAGTACGAAAGTGTCTGTTCATCGCCTCAGCATAGCGACTTGGAACCTATAAAGCACGAATCATATATTGGACTCTATAAACTAATAAGCCCCATGACTATTCATATGCTCTTCATTACTTTTTTTGCAAGCCACTGACTAACTTTTTTCGTTTAAAAATGGCTACATGTTTGAAGTAATTGAAGAACGTATGGACGGGAATAATTCGGTCCAAAACTTACATGAGTTTCCTCCTCAAAAAAATTATAATTATAAATGTTAGCTAATTTTCTTATTTTATTAGGGCGAAAGGCAGTAAAATTACTTTTTAAGGACGTTTATATTTGTTTCGTACAAATTATGACAACTCATCAAAGAACGAAGATCTCCTAAATTCAATAATTATTGCAAGATTAGATCATATGGTCTTACTCAAACCCTGGATACTTCTCTGTGGTCGAAAGCGTTGTTTGGAGAAAACCATGACAAAACTCACCTCTGCTCTTTCTATGCCAAGGCAAATTTTGCAGGGCGTAGCTGCAGCCATTTGCAGTACGACCTGTCCCACTCCGGAACCCAAATCAATAAACACATCTTCTTTTGTGATGTCAATTTGGTCGATCATTTGGCAGACCAAATCGTAAGACGTTTCTCCGTAGACTTCGGGTGAAAACGGCTCATACTGATTTAATTTCTCGGGATCTGTTACAGCTGCGTTATATGTTTGTTGAAGTATGTGGCGAAGTAGACCTCTAGATGGATACTTGCTTAATCTTTGAGCTGGCAGTGACGTTCCCTTTTCCTTGAAAGGAAATTACCCGAAATTCAACAAACAGGCGACGATGTATTTGTTGCAACAAACAATATCGACTGATTCTTTAACTTTTGAACAAAAAGTGAACTGGTAAAAACTACTTACCCAATTTAACAGAACGGTCCTACACACTAAATACCATACTTACAGCCAAAATTTAACGAATCAGTGACAAAGTTCGAATCAACAGGTCGAAAATATTACATTATATTAAAACCACTGCATCAAAAATGTCAAAATTCACCGGAAACTATTAACTAACCCACCACACATTTATTATATACACAAAACTTTTATAGCTAAAATTATACGTACATATTATACAATCAGTGACTATTAATCGTATTCAACCATTACCCTAAAAATAATCTTACCAGGGCTACGACGCTATCAATGGCTCTGTTAAATCGATCGCACAGAGATTTCATACTTTCGTAGCTCCTTGTATCGTAATCACAGAGAATGTTGTTTTCCAAAGGCAGTTTTAGTTGAGGCAAATCTTCGCATACCCACCTATGGCAAACGTATTCCCGTTTTTTATTACCCGATATATTTTCGGCCATTCCGTACAACAACAAAAATACACATTCCGTATTTACGATAATTGACCACCCTGTATGTGCTCACATTACAGGAATTTATTACGCGTAATAAAAACCATAGGGGTTTAATTGCATAAAAATATGGACAGCTGCTTAAAGCACACCAATATATGTGTATGTTGGTTTCTCTTTTTTTTCCCAGTGCAAATTGATATGGAGTATCAAAACACATGTCGTGGACGGCAATAAAAACACGTCACACCATAGGGCAGCAGGTATAAACATTGTATTAAACCCATGGAAAAATTATTGGACATCGACGCAATTCGACAACAATGAAGTTTATTAATATTTTTAGAGAGGTCAGCGACAGTGTCCATTATTAGTCCACTGGTCGTCCTTCTGGAGTTCAATGTTTCAGAAATCAATCGTGACTAAGTCATCAGTTGGTGGTTTTAACAATGACGTCACGCAAAGAGCCACCGAATTGATGAAAAAAAAAAAAAAAAACAAGCGCGATAGAGGGTACATCGACGACATTGCAGCCGGCTCCATAAATATTTTATGATACCCGATGAGGAAACTTTCGATTAAATAAAGGCGTGCGCCGCTTAAAAATGAATAGCCTACGGTGGCTCATATGAAATATCGATTTTAGCTTTCTCTTGTGGCAGTTAAGCACAGCCAACTACTTCTGATATCGATGTTCGGCGATATGTTCCGTTTTTTATTCGATTTAATCCCGGAACCAGAAAGGGTGTCGCCTTAAAACGACCACCGACCTAAATAACAGAGGAATAAGATTAAATTATAATTTTTATCTGTTAACAGAAAAAAATGGACACTTAAACAATTTTAGAGCAAAGAAGAACAATTAAGAAAAACCTGTATTATTCCATTTGACATTCAATAGAAGATTTTTTTTTTTGTTTTCCTTAACTCAATTTTTTTAAATTTAAACACTTCTATTTATTTACGGCTTCAAGGGCGTTAACCGGGGATTGATAATAAAAAGTAATGTCATCCATTAGATGCGCTTCATGTAAATTCAGTTTAAAGCTACTTACACATCGTTGATAATTTGAAAGTAAGGAAATGTACCCCCAAAACTGGCAAAATTCGGGTTAACTTTGGATTTTTGCGACCCCAATTTGAAGGAGACATTTTAGTTTAGTTTAATGTTGCTTCATATGACACTTGCCGACTTAACATAACCAATACATTAGTTCGATAACTTGATTTTTTTTGTTTTGTTTCGGTGGTTCCGCTAGCAAAAAATATTTAAAAAACAAAACTCCAAATATGAAAACACTTCGGGGTGCTTCATATTATGACGCTTGCATAACATAACCAATAAATTAGTTCACTACCTTGGCTTTGCTGTAGATTTTGCCTTCTTTTTCTTGTTTTAGTGGTTTTACTAGTAAAGAAGATTTAAAAACAACCATCTAGCGCCTATTAAACAAGATTACTTTCGAAAAATCGTCAGTGGGCGTGGCATTGTATTTCAAAAAGGAGCCGGTTTCCGGTTTCTTGTCAAAAAAAGGACGCTTTGTTTTTCCATCGTGTTCCTGCGGACCACTATGGAACTTTCGCAAAATCGATGAAATCTGCTCCCTGTATTTAGTGACTTTCATGTCTTGCCGCACTTGAAAGTTACGGAAAACGTTGCTAAACATTAAAATTAATTTTTACGAATAATAGCGACTTCAAATATTTCGTGATAGACAAAAACTGAAACTCTCTTGCTACAACTATACTGCTTAAACCAAATTGGCCAATATTTTATGGTTTTTCATTAACGGCTAATAATTTACCCACAAAAACGGCAATTTTCAGGGACTTTTTCATTTTTTGCCAATAATTGACATATAATTGAAAAAAATTCGGAAATAGAGGTTATAACCCTGGATCTCCCACGTTTCCTGCTCCAAGAATTTTCCCAATTGGGCAACGAAAATGGAGATACTCTGGTGGGTTGGGCAGAGAGAAACCAACTTTTTCACGTTTTTGATGCTAAAGCCAAGGGCACCTACAGGTCCGCTGCGTGGAAGCAGGAATACAACCCTGATTTGTGCTTTGTGACAAGAGACCAGTACTATAAACCTGTACCAACTAGAAGAAAAGTGCTCGACAACTTCCCTCATAGCCAGCACAGACCCATTATTTACGAAATAGGTATCCAAGTTCCACTAATCACATCTGTCCCTCGACCACGCTGGAATTTTGGCAGAGCTAACTGGACCTCCTTTGCCATTGAGCTTGACAAGTGCCTCCGCTGGATTCCGCCGACGCTCAAAAATTACGATAGGTTCATTGGTGCCGTCATCTCTTCTGCTAAGAAACATGTTCCAAGGGGCTATCGCAAAGAGTACGTTCCTGGTTGGACAGCGGCGACGGTGAGATAGCAGATGAACTCCTCCACAGCCTGGACAAAGCTAGAAGGGATAAATGGACAAGCACAGTCGAGTCACTGGACTTCAAAAAATCGAGCCGCAAAGCGTGGTCTCTTTTAAGAAAACTAGGAGATGACGGCCCAACTGCCCGCCCTAACACTGATATCCACCCAAATAAAGTCGCCTCCCACATAGTCAATACTTCAAGGGGGAAAAGCATCAAGCAATTCACGACTAACATTAAGAAGCAGCTGAAGCACCTAAAACTGACCAGCCCGGAAGAATCAACATTCTCCTGCCCCTTTACTATAGAGGAAGTGAACACAGCAATCAAAGACACAAAGAGCGGCAAAGCACCTGGACTGGATGGCGTCCACCCAGAGTTCTTGATACACTGTGGAAAGTCAGCAAGAACATGGTTGTCGAATTTTTACACCAGTATATTACAATCAGGACAAATTCCAAAAAAGCTGAAACAAACCAACATAATTGCAATCCTAAAGCCTGGAAAAACTGCCGACAAGCCAGAAAGCTACCGCCCCATTGCACTGCTGAATGCAATATATAAACTTCTTGAACGACTTGTTCGGTACTGTCCTGCCACATCCCAATAGAGCAGGCAGGATTTCGACCAGGGCGCAGCACAACAGACCAAGTTTTAGCTCTTACAACTTACATAGAAGGTGGCTACCAAAGGAAACTGAAGACCTCAGTGGCATTTATAGACTTGACGACAGCATACGACACGGTCTGGAAGGATGGTCTGCTCTTCAAATTGCTAAAGGTAATCCCATGCAAAACAATATATCGACTAATGAACAACATGCTTAGTAGTAGATGCTTCGCGGTCTCCATGGGAAATGCAAAAAGCTCTAATAGGACCCTAATCAACGAACTTCCACAAGGATCTGTACTCGCCCCAACTTTATTTAACCTGTACATATCAGATATGCCACCTACCCAAAGTCAAAAATTCGGGTATGCGGATGATTGGGCAATCGCAACCAGGGACAAGTCAATGAAAACTACCGAGCGCGTACTCACAGAGGACCTTGCGACACTAGGGGACTTCTTTAGATCGTGGCGACTTAAGCCGAATCCGAACAAGACAGAGGTATACTGTTTCCACCTAAACACCAAAATGGCTCACAGGCAGCTCCAAGTCTATGCTGACAACCACCTGCTAACGCACAACACCACCCCAAAATATCTGGGAGTGACTCTAGACAGAACACTGTCTTTTAAACAACACCTCCAAAATACAGCAGCCAAATTAAGAACTAGGAACAACATAATCCACAAATTATGCGGAACAACATGGGGTTCAAATGCTTCCACACTGCGATGCTCGGCCCTGGGGCTTGTCTACTCAACTGCTGAATACTGTGCGCCAGTGTGGCTGAATGGTGCTCACACAAGACTTGTTGACACACAATTAAACACAACAATGCGGTTAATATCTGGTACAATAAAATCCACTCCGACCCAATGGCTTCCGCTACTAAGTTTTATACCACCTCCAGAATTACGACGGCAAAATGCCTTACTGAAAACCTTCAAGAAGATACAGAACAACCCTAACCTGCCAATCCAGAATGAAATTGCTGATGCCAACCGCAATCGCTTGCGTTCGAGAAACCCGCCAACGAGAACAGCCGAAGAACTGAGGGCAAACGACTTCCAGTTAAACAATCAGTGGAGCAACATACAGAACGAAGCCATCCCAGCTATCAGAGACATGCCCGGTATAAGTACTACCCCTCCGGGATTTGGCCTACCACGGAAGGTCTGGTCCACTCTAAACAGAATAAGAACTGGGCATGGAGACTGTGCAGACTTCCGGTATAAATGGGACCAAATCCAAAGTCCCGAATGTGACTGTGGTGCAGAGAGGCAAACAATGCAGCACATTACAACCGAATGTCCTATAAGAAGATACGACGGTGATCCAGAGGACTTCCTGTACGCTACTCCAGCAACGATTGAATACATCTATAATTTAGATATTAAATTGTGACTTAATTATGTACTGTGTATATTTGTGTCATACGCTAAATAAATAAATAATCCCAATTGGGCAAACGGTTTTGGTGAAAATATTTTTTTTCTGAAACAGTACACCGTAATACTAAATCACGTCATCGCATATAGACTGAGCCCGAGGAATAGTGATTTTCATATGATTTTTTTTTAAATATCTCGAGCAGCGTCTGCGATAGACGAAAACCGTAAATACAGAAATTGTAGCTCTCCATGCGGCCCTATCACACTATTTAAACTGATTAGGCATATTTTTTACGAATTTTGATTGACGACCAATAATTTATTCCCGAAAAGAACAACTTTCAAAATCTTTTAAATTTTTGTACAAAACTAAAACACCCTGTATATAATCGAAAAATGCATAAAACGAAAGTTTATAGCCACGGATCTCCAGCGTCTCACGGTTCCAAAATTTTGCCCATCGGGAGAATGGTTATGGAGGAAAACATTTTTCCGAAAGCCAAAACAACCAAAAAAAAAAAATTCCAAATGTTTTTAAAACATACTTGAAATTTGATTGCACCCAATTCCTATTGTTTAAATGTGGACACGGACATTTATTTCTCTGCTAAATTTGAAGTTGATATCTGCAAATTTAGGACACAACACATTTCTTATGTAGCGCGGAATATCGGAAACACCCTGTACAATGGGTGAAAATCTTAAATACAAAAGATTTAGCTTCTATACGGGCTATACCGTGATGTGGTATCTTTCAGTTAAAGCCAATTTTCAATAATAGCCAAAATTGTCAAGAATAAAAGTTTATGGAGCCGAATCGTCTGCGTCCTTTGTTAAAGAATTTTTTCCGATATGTAGACGGTTTTTGAAAAATGATCTCTTTCGTAGACTCGTGCACACGCGATTTTATTTTATTTTTTTAAATACTTCCCAACCCTCCAGCCCCCACAATTTCGGACACTTGTCGTGTTTCATAGCAGCAATGTCCAAAAAACAGTCGAAAATCGCGAAAAAAAAAAAGACGGATCCGGCGTTAGATCGAGGCCATTTCTTATAAGCTTATGTATCTCGTGGAGGGTTAAAAAGGAGGTGAATCTCAATTTCGTAGCCCAACCGGTTACAAAGTTATTCCGCAAAAGTCAAAAGACGAGAACGGAGAACGTCCAAACAGACAAAACAATTTTTTTTTCGGCGCTGATCATGTCTGTACCAACGACGGTCCCCTAGGACCTACCGTCACCGAGATATAATATTTTTATAAGAGTGTAGATACTATCGAAAAATGGTATGATCAATTTTGCTAGTTTTTGACGATTTCTCTGAGATATCCGTTAATTTTGGTAGGAGTTGATGAAATAAATCATTTTTATTAAACCAAATGTTAGGTTAGGGTTAGGATCTTCAACTGTTATGTTCGGATCAAAGATGGAAACTATACTATACCACGAAGAGACTAGATGTTAACTCTTGCAACTACAACTGAAATCTGATCCCTAGATGCTAGTCCTATTAGAGCCAAGTCCTAAATGGTGTCAATTTGCTTTAAGGTATATCAACCGTACAATACGTAATAAAATTATTCTCAGACTACGTTATTTAAAATAAGATATTTTTTTCCCACGTTTATTAAAAAGCCATAACAAATTTTATTGAACTTTTAAATGGTTATATACACAATTGTGGCAAGGCTTTTTAGGCTAAGTATTTTTGCGATAAATCAAAAATTAATGACGTCATCATCATACAAGACGCCGTTAAGAAAGTCTTTAAAAACGTGACGCTTAAGCCATGCGACCAGGTCAAGTCGTTTTAGTGGCATTCTCAGACTGAGTTATTAGGAGTTAAAGTTACGGCAGACGTGACAAACCCAACAAATAAACTTCAGAAATCGACAAGTAAAATCCGGTAAACATCCTATGAATATGTATACGATTCTCTGATTTTCGTATTGATTTTCTGTAATTTGCGGAAATATTATAAACCTACCATAAAAAAAGAAATAAAAACGTAACACACAACCACCTAGAAATTATTAAATGAACCTCGATTTTTTTCCGCTATGTTCATTGTGTGACTTTTTTTATTTAGGTCCATTCGTTGACACAAGACACAACAAGACACAAACGACCGACCAGCTGGTTGAAATACAAAATAAACAGCAGACAAGCAGGTTACTTTCGGTAACATTTTTAACTGTGACGTCATGGAATGCTCCGCTAACAAAATACTGATGGGCTTACTTTAGCTTATTTGTTATTTGAAGTAAAAGTATTAACGTCATCATATAACACAGTTTAGACACTTGAGAATCGCCACCTTAAGCTTGCATTACTAAAGCGCGAGACCTTGGCCGAGTGGTAGAGTAAATTTCCTTCAAGACATTTGAAACGGAACGCCTGGGAGCCTTAGCAGAATTTATTGACCTCTCATTGGTAATATACACCGACCAAAATACAACAAACAACCCATAACCCAATATAAAAAATGAAAAACAAAAAGAGCTTCGCTGTCTACGTGCCAACAATCAGGTTATTCAAGCCAATGTCATTGGCCTTTTTAGGACGAGAGCATATAGGCAGCGCAAGTTAGATGCAACCCCGATATCTAAGCGCCACCCCGTCTCGCCCCTTTGGAATCAGCAACCATCACCGAGATCTGGGGTCATGGTCAGAACTCGGGTCAGAACGACATGGAAAATCGATACAGCCTGTTTCTCCACCGCTTTCTCTTGCCTCCTGTCGCCATCCCTATTTCGGGCTGCGGTGTTGCCACGAACCCAGCATTTTCTTTTCAAATATAAAATTTATTTTACCACCACAAGCTATAAGGATTCTAATGTATCGAGAAAAATTAAAAACCACCTCACGAATATTTTATTCGAGCACCGCGACCTACACTGGTGGAAAAAAAACAACTGGCTATTTGATTATAGAAATTTAGTTTAAAAACTGTTGCCAGGGGGCACCACACCATGCAATCAATGATAAAATTCAATAATCTTTCTTCGATTTCAAAATTACTATACACATGGAACCTTGTAGGTACTGATTGGAAAACAAAATTATCTTATCAGAAAATCATTTAGTAATTGGGTCATTCTTTATTAGTTTTGCCTGAAATCTGAATTATACCTTCAAATGATGGCAATACAAATAATATGCAATCCAAAATGTTCGCATACAAAAAGCACAATTTAATTAAAAATTCAATCAAGTAAAAATTAACAAGCATAGCATTTGCTTATAAATTAACCTTGAAATTCCAATAAATGATTCACGGAATCGGTGCAAATTAGTTTTTTTTTTTGCTGCAGGAAGCTGAGAGGTGTCTGTATGATCAAAGAACAAACGAAAACATGAATGGCTGTTATATAATTAATGAACTTGACCTTAAATTTCGAGCTTTCATCGTTTCTGCACCGGCAATTGCATTTGCGGTTGTAACAACCAATAGGAGAGAAACTATTTTGTGTATCGGTTAGGAATGTGTATTTTCTTGCTGCTTCGATAATAACGATTATAGTTAAAATGGTAACTCATACCAGCGACGGAACTCACCTAATGGTTTCTACAATTTCAAGGGCTCCATCATGTTTATCCTGAAGTCAAAGAACTAAATTACCCAAAAGAGTGGGACCCAAACAAATAACAAAAAACTGACTGATTAAAAAATGATTTTGCACAGCACTACATTAATGTTTAACCATATCATTCACATCTAACAACCAAAATATTTTTTTACGAATACCCTTTCTCCACTGAATTGCTGCTTTTGAAAATATCAAAAACAAAGTACACATACTTAATATTAAAAAAAAAAGAACAGCAAAGCAATGCATTAAAAGCAAAAGGTGCATAAAAATATTTTTTAAACCGAATGAAAATAATACAGAAAATCATATATTTAATAAAAACATTTTTTCTCGTCAGCTGAGTACTTAACTATTCACTACAATTGACCTAGAAATTCCAACAAATACTGCACGTGCCTTAGGTTTGATCAAATAGTTTGTTCTCGAATTTAAAAATAGATCTCCGGTACCAACGCAGTTAATAAAAATAGAGACACACAGAATCTGCGCTTATCAAACTTAGAAAATAAACAACCCAAACATAACACAAAACAAACAGTGAGGTTATATAGTTAATTTAGGAATAATATATAAAATCCAATAAGTGTTTGTGACAGTTATTCTTATCGAGAAATGGGTATCGTAAATTTAAAAATACTTCGCTTGCATAGGTTTTTCTGCTATGACGAAAAATGAGCGCTAAACCTAGGAACGATTTCCAGTATGACTAAACCGAAATACCAGGAGAAATTACGAGTTTTTCTGTGAATGGGTTGTAAATTTTAAGAATAAACCAATGCTTGTTAGACGAGTCGTTTTACATCGTGAATTTAACAGATATTACCTCCAAAGTAATGAACGAATGACTGGCGAAATGAATCTACACGCTGACAAGAAAAAATATATTAATAAAATACTGTTTTTGTTATCTTTCTTACATTTCCTCGACCCGAGGTTAACGGCCAAGTATATAACACAGGCTCAGCGCCCGCTGGTGAATGTAGTTTTAACTCCATTTTGAGGAACCGAGGATGTGTTAACTATACCACAAATCGTCACTATAAACTTCCACCATTTGAAATATTATTCCGACAATTTTATATGAACATTTTGTCCCAATTGGGGATTTCACGCAGCAAAACACGCCATCACTGGAGCGTACACGTTGCGCGCGCAATGGTCTCCACAGAACTGCCACCATAAAGTTAACTTGAGGCCGATCAGTCCTAACAACTTGAAAGCCTTACGCCTATTGTCATTTTCTAACGATCCTGCACGCTTTGAAACATCAATATTAATTTCTCCACGTAGGCCTCGCTTAGGTGCATTTCCTATGCTCCGTAATCATAGTACAATGCAAGATGCAATTTTCTAGGACGTAATTATTGATGATCTTTTTTTAAATCGCCTTTAGGCCAAGGCCTTCCAGCTATATAAAAGTTTTCTGTTAAATTTATCTTTTAGCAACGCTTCTTTGCCTTAAATACTTCAACATTCGTGCTAAAAAATCCAATCAAAAACTAAATTTTTCCTAGAGAAAACAAAAAATTATATATTTAAATTTTTTTCTAACTTTTTTCAAAAGTGATGTTAAAACCACTAGCTATCTTCACACTATTTTTATCATAATTGACATTTCTAGCACCCTGTAAAACACATTTTTGGAAGATCTGCTCTAAACTTTATTTCGGCGTTTTGCAATGCTTAATATTTTTTTTACAACTTAATTAATAATTTAACTTCCCTTTAAAATAAATTACACGCAAAAACAGACTTTGTGTTCAAGCTGTATTTTATTAACTCCTTAACAAAAAAAAATTCGAATTTAATCATGGGGTTTATTTAAAAACCATCGCAACTAACCAGAATTAAACAAAGATAACCAATTTCCCCATATTCCACGGATTACCAATTTATCCCTTAACTGAAGTTTCGGTTTACCAATTTAACCCTAGAACACGAATGCGATGTACCCAATTGTATGTATGGCCTTGAAAATGAGTTTTCGTTGTATTTTATTCAATATGCAATGTGACGTCTTTCCTAAATGTAGTTGTGAACGTAATATTCAAGTTGTTAACGGAGGAGCTGCTTAATGTAACTAGAAAATAAAACATTTTGAATGTTATTTTAAATGTGTATTGAAAATACTCAGTGAATTTATCGAGCTTAGTTTACATCATTTTTTTTATCTTTGTCACATCAAAACATCAAAGGATATGACAGGATGCCGATGGAATAAATTGAAACAAACACTTGCATAAAGAGTAGCTTCTAAAAGCATTCTTTAAACAGCAAAAGAAAAATAGCGGCCAAAATAAGCTATGAAGGGTATTCAAAATATCTCCTCTAATATTGAAAGGACATTTGATAAGAGAGGAAATGAGATATTGACCAATCAATTTCATACCGCGTCAAACTCCAGTTTTGAAAGGTCGCCGCATTACGATAATAATGTAACACGGCATTCTAACTACCCAACACGGAATTTCCAAAATGTTCCACCGACATTGGGCAATACAACTGAGGGCTATGGCAAACCTCCAAGAATATTTCCTGAGATTGGAAACGAGGTAACGACTGGCAGCGTAGCAAATGCTAAGTTCCAAAGGAGATACAATCCAACCAGAACACTTTATTCGAGAAGTTACTCACATGTGCGCAGTGAACGAAGGCCTTCTAAGCCTAAAGGAACAGATATCGAACACTCATCCAGCAATTATGATCAATGTAGTTCAAGTAATGTTCCAGATAATCTCCAATATGAAGAAAAACACATAGATCCCCTAAAAGAGAAAGCTGATTTATTAATGAATGCAATTTTCAATCAGAAAGGTGTAAGGTCAAAATTGATTTTTGTTGAAGCAGATAAAAATCCAGTAGTGACATTATCTTCCACTTTGGATCATTTTGGTATTCCGCTCGATGTTGATGTAAACCAAAATGGGTCAGTTATATTTGTATCAGTTACAGCGATGTTTAATGATGTCGATTTGTAGCCAGTACATATTAAAAATTGACAGAGAAGAAGTTGCTACAGGAACATTTCCAAATAAACAAACAGCCAAAAACTCCTTATGCGCGGAAGCTTTGGATAAGTTAAGAAAAGACTGCTTTTACATCATTAAAGTATATGTTCATAATATTGCCATTTATGAAAATTTATTTTTTTTGGTTTCAGAAAAAAGTGTATCAAGATGTTGCAACACCTCAACAAAGTTCATCGCAGAGTCAGGAAAATCAACACAATTTAACAGGCAGTAAAGCTCATCAAATGATGTTAAAAATGGGTTGGGGTGGCAAAGGCTTGGGAGTAAATGAACAAGGATCTTCAAAAACCGTCGCAGAGTCTTTGGAGCAAATAAACATTTCCAAGCACGGCTTGGAAGCCAAGTCGAGGGCACTTGTTTTAAGTAAAATTAATACAGTTTTGGAGGGATTCGTCAAATCACCAAAAGTCGCAGTTCTAAGATTTGAACCAGATTTTTCAGTAGACGAAAGGGCTCACATTCATAAGTAAATATAATTGAAAGTCCACAACATTTGCCGTCAAATGAATATTGTTTTTTAGAATGGCGCGAAAAATTAATTTAAAGTCAAAAAGCGAAGGTCACGGGTTGGAGAGGCGGATCACGATTACCAAAAAGTTGTCGCGAAATCAATTAGTGCTGGACCTACTTCTTAACACATCAGACACCTCCCTTTATGAGCTGCAAGTTCCAGAAAATTTCAAACATTTATGGGATTAAGAAACTTTGTGCTAAATGCTTCCTTGGTTCATATAAATTTTGTTCATTGGTTGTAAAACAAGAGGAAGTTAGAAGTTTTGATAGCTCATTAATATAACCCTTGCAAAAGTTTTGTCGTTTTTTTTTATTTGGGGGAGGCTGATTATCAAATGTTTAAAAAATAAAACTTTATTATATCCCAAACATCAACAAATATTTCCACACAAAAGATGGTCATAGACGAGATCACCCTGTAGGACATATGACGCTTTTAAAAAAGTTGATCACATAGGGTTTCCTATACGGAGATATTTTAGTTGTTAAAAGTATGACAAATGTTTTTATAAACATCAGTCCCGAAATGCAGTTGTCATTTTTTCTTTAAATAAATATCTAAACAAATTGGTAGGAGCGTAAACAATCGTCTTAAGGAGATGCCATAAATAAAAACCTATTGGATTTAAGTCAGGAGAGCAAGGTGGCCAGTGAACTTGTCCACTTCTGTCAATTCAATTTTTAACAAAGGTCTTATTCAGAGGAATACTGACAGGTATACTAAAATGAGGAGCTCCATCGTGCATTTAGAGGAAGTTTTCTAACGGTACAGTAATTTTTGTTGAAGAAATTCCAAGTACGATTCGCCGTTTACACTTTAATCGCCATCCAAATATTAAGTTAGAAAAAAGGCAGTGGCGTACACTCTTTGTCAATAATATTCGCTCAGGCGCTCCCGGGATGTCACTGGAGTAACAACACACTGAATAATTTTCTCTTAGGGTTAAATTAGCCTCTTAATGCACCAAATAATTTTGCAAAATTTCAACAGAATGGAGTAATATTTATTTACATATTAATAAAAAAATCCGTTTAATACAGTGTATCTTCAAAATTCTGAACTTCCGAACTAATGTTAATATTTTTTAATGATTATTCGATTTTAATTGATCCCAAGAAGTTTGAAGATCTACGGTAAATTTTCAAAGATTCCATAAGTTAACTCAAGAATAGTAGAATCATTTTACTGCTACGGAAATTGCAGGAGAAGTTACATATTCGAGTCTTTTTCATTGACAAAAATAACACATTTTTTTCATTGTTCGATTAAAACGCATTAAAACTGCAATAATGGGAAAACCGCGATCAGCTTGAGAGCCTATGGTAATTGTGGATTTACAACAATGGCGTCACGAGGTTCGCACGTGGAAAGAAAAAAAATGTTTGTTTTATAAAATTTATTTGCGATTATGTGAAAAACACTGCGATGTTTTACAGATATACCGACTCCTGGAAAATCTAACACATTCAGATCCACGTTAAACGTGGAAAAATTTAACAAACAACCGAATCTGTGACGTATATATAAATAGGGCAACCGTTTTTACCTGTTTTATTTTTACTGGCTCACTTATCATGGCACATTTTAAAATTACTAAGTTCATTTGAAGAATAACTTAATTCGGCGGAATAAAAAAGATAAAAACGGCCGCTTGTATCAATTTGTTAATATGATACATAACAAAAATATAAATAATTGTTAATTATTTTTTATATTAAAAATACAAATGTAGTGATGCCCATGCGCAAAACCGAGTATACAAATAAATAATCACTAGCCGAAATGTATTTTTTTTTAACAACGGGATAAAAATTAAGTCGTTTTTGAAAAAATAGCATTCAGCCAATCTTCAATTCCATTATAGTTTCAAAAATTGATATTATTAAAGATTGGCGTTTCCGCTACCATCAAACGAACGAATTCGTAACAGCAATCCATTTTGCACATGGGCAATAAACAAATACAAGTGGATTTGCCACTAAAACTAGAGTAATAGAAAAAATTGCCAGTCTCATTTAAACGGCAGCGTGTCAAAGTATTAAAGAAAACAATGTTTAGAACAACAAGGAAAATATGTGTCAGAAATAAATACCTGGTGTGCCTATGTATAGGAAAAGAAGTAATCGTTATTTTTATCAAAAACTATACACCTCGTAGACTAAGTTAACATTAGAATGACCAATACAATTTCAGTACATTTAATCACACCAAGCATTTTAATCTGTAGCTTTGAACGCTGCCATTGCTGAATTAACGTAGCTTGAGTTCAATCAATCTGGGGACGGAGCTGAAACCGTGCCTGCTCAACCATAAACCAATACCAGTTCCCAAGATGACCGAAATGATGTTGGTCAAAAACAGGGTGCACAGCCCCTTTTTCGAAAAAATGCTATTCTTACCAACTCTTGCGTGACGAATGCTGAGCATGTCACGTGTGCGGCCAGATCTAAAGCTCCAGCTTTTAGGAGGCAGCTGATCTGGACGACTGCTCCAATCAGTCATCAAGTCAAAATCCTTAAAAAAAAACATTTTTTTAAAACTCCTACGTCCAACTAAACCAGACCGAATTGCTAATTACATTCTGTACCTCGCTAGTCTCTCTGGATTCGGAAGTCATCTCAGAATTCATGTAGTAAGTTTGCCATTCCAAATTAAGGGAAGATCCCTGAACTACCGGACTATTTGGGGGGGATTTAGGGCTGCTGCGGGGGGAAGTGCGTCGCGATCCGGCTAGCGAATCTCTAGCGGACGACTGAGTCGATTCTTGAGCTTCACGTAGTAAGCGTAAATAGTCTTCCACGATTAAATGTTGAGTAATCGATACCGGAGTGCCTCCATCTCGGGAGGATGAGCCAGTGCCGACCTCAACCCAGGATTCTACAAAATGCGGGAGATTTTCGCATGAAACTAAAAGTGATTAATGAAAATTATTAATACGTCGTGATAATCTACGTGCAAATTTAAGTTACGGAAGGTCAATTCATAGAATTTGACTCGTTAATGAAGAAATTCTAATAATAGCACTCGGCATTTTGGGGCAAGCAACCAAATATTTTGTCTCTTAAACACAATGTCTCGATGTCGTCAGAGCCAATTTTTTCCCGTTATTTATAAAACACATATGAAAACGCTTGGCGAAATAATTATCGTTAATGATTTGCAGGTAGTTAGTTTCCTGTTGGTTGTATAAAACCGAAACGATGCCTATTCTTATCAACACATCCGTTTGCTGTAATTTAAAATATTCTGCGATAGCAAAGCTTTGGAAATTTGCAAATCAATAAGCTTAACAAATTACTAACAATATACAAATTTTAAGATCATATCAAAGGTCGACCTAACCAGCTACTATTTAAATTTAAATAGATTGCAAATTTTGCAAGAGTATCTCGAGAAATGAGGATATGCAAAATGAAAAAGAAAAATACAAAATCTCGTGCAGTTGTGCCTACTTATAAAAAAACACTGAACTTTGCAGTGCCAATGAACTGTCACGAATAAAGAATGAAAAATAAATAGAAAAAATAATCTGGTTAGATTAAAAAAAATAGACATGATTGCGTTATATATTATATTCTATACTACTTGGAATACAAACCAAATACGAATAGTACGAAACTTTACGCCCACGTAGAAATTCAAAGAACCCAGTAAATACAACCCTGGTAAAAAATAAAATTGATTGGGAAGCAAATGTAAACAAAACAACAAATCATAATACGCAAATCGGGTCCTGACGACATTTCCACTGTCGCATATTTTTATTCTGCACGCAAATTACGCCCCAAAAATAATGCCGAGTAAGATTATTGTTGACGTTTGGGGTAAAAATAAATAAAACTAGCATATGCGAAGTATGGACGTAAACAAATTTGGTACTTACCTCCTAAGAGATCATCTGTTCCGGTGCTTAATTTGGAAGATGACATCTTGTAATAGTTTTAAATTTCGCACTAATGAATTGAAATATATCGAATTAATTATCGAAAGTCAATTCAACAATGTACAAAGATGATTTTTCACAAAACTGCGTACGTGACAACACACAACAAGCGTTGCTTGCTACGACTCCTATCGTTTGTTTTTGTCTTGCCAACGTCAGAGATCACGTGACTCTGTTTGCCAATCTCCGTTCACACAGATCATAACAAAGATGGTCCTGCAAAGAGCGCTAATATCAAAAAGTTTGTTCACCCAGCGTCCGCGACTGTTAAAGCCGTTCTCAACTAATTAATTAAAAAATTATAAATATAATACTTGCAAAATCGTCTGTTAAAAAAGTCTACAAAATATTTATCAGGAAGGAACTATAAATAGCACAACTGAAAAGTCAATGAAACCAGCAAACAAAAGGTGATAGATACACTTTGTTTACTTTTTGCCAGTAAAAAAAAAGAGGCCCTCAGTTTTTATATACTGCGCTCTTTGGGTTGGTGCAATAGCTTCATAATGAAAATGCCAGTTTTCTTTAATTAAATTTCATTTATTTGTGTAGTACAAAGAACAAAGAATTAACACGAGTGGTTGGCCACGACGGGCAAATAAAACACCGACGCAATCGCAGTTTTTTATTGCAGTAATTATATTGAAAATTTCAAGTAAGCCTTTTTTTTAATTATACAAAGGTTCGCATTCGACGCAAATACACAAGATAATGTTGGCTACATTCTTTAAAATTCTTAGAAATACAACATTAATCAATAGTAAATAACATAATGAAACATTTTATTCAAAAACAAACACTTTAAGGAACATAATATTATAAAAAGAGGGGTACCTTCGGAGATGTGCACCTGATTAAAATATATATATTTTAACTAGTAAAAAAATTAATTCTACGCAGGCAGATCTCAAGTCTTGTATCAAAACAACATTAAAAAAATGGAACCCGCATTTTTTGATAGTAAATTATGAATAGCACAGCCTAATATCAGAAAACAAAAATATATCTACCAAGGAAGTCCTCGGGGTTGAAAACGGGGAACTTCAAAAAATTCTTGAAAGAAATATTTACCAAACTGATGTTCGCGGGTCTAATTTACAAGTACAAAAATATTTACAAAAAACTTTTAATCTTGCAGTACCATCTGCTGGACCACACACGTTTCCATATTCGCTCATACTAAAGAAAAATAAAAAGCACGGCGTCCACGCTTGGTACGGTAGTTAAATTAAAATATAGAAACATGACTCTGGTGAGCAATGTGTGTATCTTGCGTTTTGAAAAAAAAAAAACATTTCCATCGGTTGTAGGTACACACAGTGAGCTCAAATTCTCGAATAACCTATCACCCGAAAACGGGCAACAAATAAAAATCTTAAAACAGATAAAACAAAAATAATTTTGAGGGATTTATGATAAGATCAAATCACACCTTAATAATATAAATGCGGGTTATGCGGAAAATAATTTTGTGTTACATTCACAGGAATGTCGATATTAATTAGTCTTATTAAAAAAAAAAGCGTTAAAGTTAGCGCAACATAACCTATTTTTAGAGGCTGCAATGAAAATAAAATAAATTAACAACTGCAAGTACAAAAAGTAATAAATAACAAACGTAAATAAAAAAATTAGTATACATGGTTCGATTTAATATTATCATGGTAGATCGCTATAATATAATTTTATTTTACTTTCTTTTCGTCGTCTGACGACTAAGTTGTTCCTCGGCAGCCATTTTTGCTTTATAATCATCTACGGTTTCCCTGGCCTTTTCAAGTGCTGGAACTGTGTTGTTGATGATTTCCTCCCATTTTCTGCAGTAAGCTGAAATTAAGTACATTATAATATAAAAAAATCAGGTTTACTACGCCAAACGGTGGTTCAGTATGCAAATTTTACTTCATCTATGGTAAAACCGTTCAAAGACCGATCTAAGTCCCTCGAACCTTCAAAGACCAGAGTATAATAAAATAGCCTCCAAATTTACAGTCTAAATCCAATAGCCAACACTAGAGCATCTCCGATGAACACGAAAATTACTACTCTAAGTTGCCCATCATTGATAACTATCAGAGTGATAATGAATTTGATGTTAAGTTCACAACAAGGACAAAACAAAGCAACAACACTCTTCAAAAAGGAGAAACCTCTGTCATTATGACAGCGGTTATTTTTGTTACCAACTGTAGAACTCTTTTATCTTAAAACTTGCCCAAAGGGACTTAGATCGTTTCTCCTGTGTGACCTTCATTTTTGAGAATGTGTAACATCCACAAAAGTAGCTTTCTTATGTAAGAGTCGCACCTTCTTGATCGTATGTTACCGCTTCGGTTGTTTGCAACAACTGAATAGCCTTTTCGTATGAATTTAACATAATTTCTGTCGTTTGTTTGTGAACATCCAACATGTTATCCTCAGCTAACTCAAGTTCGGATATAACCTGATGGAAGTTTATCATCTCGGGCGTCATGTCGGCTTCCTGATAAACAAGTAAGAATCATTCTGGTACAGCTAAAATAAAATTGAAATCTCACATTAAGGGACTGTAATTGTAGGAGATTGCCGTCGTCTTCCTGTTCCGGTTCGGATCCCGTGTTGGTTTGAAGATCCCCGCCTCCTAATTCTTTCACTCTATCTGCATACCGTAAAGTGTTAAGACTGTACTCACAGGAGCTGACACCGGGTGATATCATTGCAATCATACACGTTCTCGAATTAGATCCGACGAAAGAGTCCCTAAGGACTTGCGTCAATTTGCTCACTCTAAATGGCAAGTGGGCTCCTTTGCGGCCCAAAGCCCTGATACACTCCTTTAACGCTAAGAGGGATTTGTTGATTTCAGCACCTTCCATTCCTGAAACAATGCGATTGCTGCAGAAATTCGAAACAAGCTACAGAATTTTTCAATTAATATTACTCGTTTGTCGGTTTGCCGATGATGTATCGGCCCCTCTTTCGTTCCCAGCTAAATCTATAAGTGAGAATTTCCCATGTATTTTAGACATTGTATTGTTGGACCTCAAATAAATCTGAAATACCGCGTGAGATCGTGACGAATTTTGATTAGCGAAGGTTTGTCCTGATGTACGCGCTTGGTTGCCTTGCTGAATGAGTTTCAGCACTTCGTCCGTCGCGGTGACCACTTTCTCAGTTAACCCTACCACTTGGACCTGCTGCTTTCCGTCCTCTAATATTCGGAGTTTGGCTTTCTTGTTCAGCAAGTCGAATACTTTGCCCGAATATATTTCAAAGAAACTAGACGAAACGACTAAATTTAAATGTCGATATTTCGACGACTTCGCCAATCGGAACACATCCGAAGCGACCATCGCATATATGCCTTTGTGACAATCCTGGTTCTTGCCGTTAAAGTCTCCACCCATCGTGTGGGTTTTGCCGGAACCTGTTTGCCCATAAGCGAAACACGTGGCAAAACCACCTTCGAAAATTGTTTTTATCAGTGGCTGGGCGGTGTAACTAAAACAGAAAAACAAATACTCGAAACCATTCGTTATTTTATAAACGAGTACCATGTTGTAAGATTTACCATGCGCCGTTATTAACTAATCAATATCCCCAAGCGACTATTACAGTTTCAAAATATTTGGACACCACAGTACAAAAAATAATAGAAATGAGAGATCCGCATAAAAATGTAAAATGTACTCCGGCTCTGGGCAAAAACACGATAAATTTAAGGAATCTTGTGCCAAAGCGGGTAATTAATGTTTTATGGCAGTGCAAATGTCAAGGGATGAGATTCGACCTAAGGGTCTTCTAGTAGGTTGAACAAAATTGCGTACAGGATGGCCCGTTTATTATGGCAACTAAAAGTTGTTTTGATTCACTTTTCACTGCTACTTTTAAAATATTATATTATTACATATATAATATGTATAATAATAAACGGTAGGCCCCGTACAACGAACTCTGGCTCTAAGATAACAACGAATGATTGATGTCTGATTTATTAACATCCAATTAGAGAAGCAGTAGACAATTAAGTCGATCAAGCATTATCTATAATGGTAATATGGGCTTACCGATAAACTAATTCGTTCGAGCATGTTTCGTCAAAAGCGTAATCGAATCGAAACAGCTGGTTTTCCAGGTATCTTGTTAAATCTACTTTGTTCTTGGGCTCGTGAACGATGAGTTGATTTTTGCTTGGTATTGTGATGACGTCGACTTCTTTCCTCGCCACTTCCTTTTTATTCAACGGCCTTTTCCGGACGCAAACTGTAATCTGATGATCTTCTACGGGATCGTTTTCTGACAGGGGTTTGATCTCCAAACCGCGTCGACAATCTCTGTAAAATTTTGGGTAATTTTACACAAGTAGATAATTCGGACATATAAATATTTTACAACATGCAAGGACGGATATTTTTCAGAAAGATTGTCTTACGCGATCATATTTAATAATTCCCAATGAGGGTTTCCCGGATCCATTTTCAAAAACGCTTCCTTCGCCTCCTTTTCTTCCGCTTGTCGTTGTCGTCGTTCCTCTCTGTTTTTCTTTAATTTTTCTACTTCTTTTACTACATTACTTCGTCGTGTATTCTAAAATAACATTGTAAACCACTAGTATCTAAGTTTAAAAAAAAAGGGTGTACTTGTAAGTTTGTGTTTCTACTAGTTGGTATACTCGATTCTTTTGAAAGTATAGAGTTTTCGGATGCAGTTGTTGACAGAGCATGGCCGTTATTGGGTAGCGTGGTTAATCTAGGTTGATTGGCGGATCTTAAGACGCCTTAAAATTAAAATAAAAATGTGGACAAATTTAGCATTATAGGATAATGGTCGTCATACCGTTGTTTGGTTTTCCCGCTATTTGCCTGTGTGTGGGATTCTGTAAAACACAAGATATTTCTTAAAATATCAACGCCCTAATAAATAACTAAAATTAAATATGTTATCGTTTTATAGAATGGCGGTCCCCCATAAAACACGCAGATAATTTATCCGCTACCTGCATAATAGTAAATCAACGTGCAAGGGAACAACGACAATAGCAACATTTATACTTACTGAATGGGTTTATATTAAAAAATAAGCCGGGGTTATTTAAGTGAGTGGAGACGTTTGACAATAAAACCGATACGTCGAATTTTTTACTATTTTAAGGCAATGGGTCGGTGAATATTTTAGTATCTGCAATCGACCACAGGACTGCACTGTAAAACGTTTAATGAAAATCAATCTTCGTCGTTCTTGCTTCAGCGGGGACCATAAAAAATAATTTTATTACCATGCATCACGGCAAGTCTAATCAATTGTTTGTGCTATTATAAAACTAAATGCCCATATTTCTATCCCTCGTGTATGTGTGTTGACTCAAAACCACACTTGGGGCTAAAATTCCTCGAATTTCTATCGCATGTCGAATTAGATAACAATCCAATACGACAGCAATAATGTTAATGTTTAAACCGTTTGAAACGATTTTTTGAAAATGGTCGGATAACGTAACCCATACAATTATAAACAACAACAAATGCAATTACCATAGCAGGAAGCCAGTTCGGTCGATAAATCAATGAAGCTCCGAGAGTTACAAAGTAAACTACACTTTGATAGATTTTCAATTGTTATCGTTTTAAACCCGATCGTCAATCATGATTTTGAATTTTATCTTAATAAACGTCACTGGCGTAGTATCACATCGACTATCGTCAAATGAATTTGAAATCGTAAAAATCCCTGTTGCGAACAAAACACATATTTTTTAATTTGAACACCTTGAATCTAGGAGAACTGCATTCCCGGACCTACGTTGAAATGTACGTTTTGGTTTGCTTAAAATCGCTCAAGGAATCTCCTACTGACAAGCTTTCCCATGTACTATCAGTACTTAAGAAACACCCTGTATACATAAATTTATAATTTTGTACCACAACACCAACGTAAAAGGATCTAGATACCGAGACAGTAGTTGTGTCTGATGAGAATTGGTTACTGTTGAGGTCGTCATCACTCTCGTCGATTTTGTGGGTGTACCTGCCCGATTGAGCCATAGCAGAGCTAATTTCCTCCTCCGAAGACCCAGAAGAATCCTTTTAGAGCAGCGCAAAAAATGTTCAAAAGTATACAAATTAGTATGACACAACCTTTTTAAAAAAACTTTCATCTATATGAAATTATTTATATAAATAAACAGTAAAATTTTAACAACAACAAAAGAAAAACAACAAGGATATATTGGATTATAAGTACGCAACAACAATCAACCCGAAACTGTGCAACTAGGTGAAACGTTGCCCTTCAACTGGGCAGTGCGAAGCTTTATTTCAAATTAATTTGCTGTATCGAAAAATGATAAATAAAATCGATCGGGGTATTTTCAAAAGCCTTAGCATTCTGTGCCAGGCACGATTCATCAACACATATGGTCTGCAGTCTGAACGATGAAAAAGGTTAACGACTTGAGAACATTGGAATTTTTGATAAATAAATAAATAGTTAGGAATGACACACTCAAAATTCCCCAATAATAACTTTCGATTTTAAATAATTTTTCTCTATTTGTAATGTCAGTATATCAAAAACCATTGCGTCAAAAAACACGTATATAGCGATAAATCACAATCGTAAAAACTTACGCATGGATAGGAAGTATACCACTCACCCTCTGTAATTTATTGAATTTCAATTCTTCACCGGGTTTTAATATAATAATATCCGGGTTCAGAGATTCTATGGCGTCCATGTCGATTTCTTTTCCTTTCGTTTCACCCTGCTCAAACCATTCCACTGTGGCACAACGCTGATCATTGTTGATGGCCGCTACCATAGCCGAATGTATTCGACCTAGTAGAAAGTTGCGAATTTAGCAATAACATAAACAATATACATGGATGGATAACTTTTTTTACGAAATTCCTTTACGCATATAGAAATATATATAAGACATCAAAGTGCTGAAACACCAATTCAATAAAAGGAATCTTGCAAATCAACAATTATATTTTATTGGTCTTTGATATTATTTTTTAATAAAAAATTAAAAACGTTGAGTCAATTTTAATTTACTAATTTAAATTAAACTTTAAAAAGCTTTCTGTGGCCCGTACTTTTTTTGCCGTCATTAGCCCTCTGCTTCTCGTATCGGGTGTGTTTGCAAGTGCGACCACCCCCACTCCTACGCCCATGGGCAGTAAATAAAATGAAGGCTAAATTTGCACCGGATTAATGCCAAAATATTCCAAAAGGTTAATCGTATTTTAAGCTCGCATTATGTTATTTTTACATCCCTTGCAAGAGAACAAAAACCGGTACATTTATGGGAAGATTCTTAACTAAATTGTAATTTGACTCTAATTTCATTTAAAATAATTACCAATTAAAATAACGTTAACATTTTTATCCACAAAAAAGACTTTTTTACTATATCCATTTTAAATTTAGAGTAAATTTGTAAAACGGTCACTGCATTAGTCTAAAAGCAGGCGTTATGGCCTTGTCATTACAGAGTTCAACCCATATAAGGGAACCATCGGATTGGTGTTTACGTCATTTCGACCTCGCGGAGCGTTGGGTACCATTGGAAGTACCGCGAGTGCAACAATTATAATTAACGCACAAAAATGAAAAGCAATTCGCAACTCCGAAATAATATTAATAAACCAAGAAATAATAAGCAATGTCCAGCACACACAGCGTGTAAATTTTATGATAATGAAAATAAATAATCACTTTCTTCAAGCGCGGCAGCCCCAGGTGCATGACTCACACAAGTTCAAACCATTTTGTCTCATTCTACATTTGCCGGTCGACATAGTCAGTTGGTGAACGCGATTTTTTGCTATTGCTGGGTCAAAATGCGTTGAAACCCCCGTTCAAACTCTCTGCTTCACGCCTGATTAATTTTTTATGTTTTTTAACTTTTTTTTGCATAATGGCAGTCCATACTATTTTTGCCACACTCTATACTAATAAACAAGAATACCTTGGTGTTTACAATCTTGGTGAAGTAGGTAGATATCGTAAAGTGAATCACTATTCATCAAAACCCACATAAATATGAAAACACATGGTCAAAATTATATGCAGAATGAGACATAATTAATTTTTATGTTAAATTTGTTATACGGTTTCGGAGAATATTAGGAATCTGATATTACATACCGAGACAATTTTCTTTATATGATAAAAGGCTTCCAAAGAAATGTTTTTTTTTCAAATATAATCATACAAAAAATGCCGTTGTCACAGAAAACCAAAAATAAAACATACAACAGAAAGAAGCGGAGTTTTAATTTCTTAAAACTTTGTTTTACGTTAACGTTTTAATTTACTATTTAGAGGCTGCGTCTCTTAAGCAAAAGAGATCTTTCTGCATTGACATCAGGACATAACCTTTCTTTAAACAATTTTCTGTTGTAACATGCTTCAACGGCTTGTAATTCACTTTGCAGAACAATACAAATTCTTAATATTACAATAAATTTCTAGGCAGGCACACACTTACCATCGGTTCTTTTTATGTTAATACTTAAACCAATTTGAAGATATCCAGATGGCATTTCCATAACTAAATCACGAGGAAGATATGTGAACTATATATTTGTAAATACGGAATAATAAATAAATAGATATTTTATTATATTTACAGCACTATTTAAATTGTTTAACAACTTGCACTATTCAACTGACACAAGACAGATTTCAACAAACGTACCGTACGCTACACTGTAGACATTTTGAATCGCGCATGCTTACAAACTCAGACCAAGGCGCTGGGTTTAAATTCGAATTTTGCAACCGTCACAAACCACAGCTGATTTTCATTCATTATGACAAATTCATAACGCACAATAACATATCCAAACTACATGTGTTCATGTCCGATTATTATTAACCGCAGAAATGATTAACGCAATGAAACGCTGCATTTTATTGATTTGTCAATTTTAATTTACTTCAATTGTCATGGCAACAGAAATAAAAACTGCTATATGTTAAATTTTATATTATAACTCACATTTACAATTCATTTAGAGAATGATAAATAATATTACACCTTGTTAGAACATAATTTTTGTTAACACAGTTGATATTTCAATAGAATAAAAAATTACACTTTATTGTCTGACAAGATACTCCCAATCAACAGCACATAACAAACGCGCATGATTAGAAATCTTTTCAACAGTTATTGGTTATTTTTTGAAACTTTCAATATTATACAATCAAAATATTTTAAGTAAAAAGCAGCAATCAGTCTAAATGGGCCTAAAATCACAGCCTGTAGAAGTACTCCTAAGATAGATTTGTAAGGACTCATTCCAACACACAGGGTGGTCAAAAGAAAGCTCTCAAACCCTAAATAGCTGAAGAATTGACCCTCCTGAAACGAAAAACGCACTTTAAAAGCTGCTAATAACACCACCATTACTATTTTTATAATAAAATATGAGTTTTTCCTCTACCAGAGCATTTTCCATAATTTTCTTTGCCACAGTTTCTGGTTGGTAGAGTCCAGCCACTTCTGAAATGAGCTTAGTTTCCACTGGTTTGGTTTGATTTTCATTGTCAAATCCTGGGGTATCAGTATCTGGAGGAAGAGCCAATGTTATTGAAATATTAAATGGCTTAACTTCCATATTTAGAGACTCTGCTAATCCTCTAAGGGCAAACTTGCAACTTGAGTAAACAGAATAGCCAAACATTCCCATCAACCCTACTTGAGAAGATGTTAGTACAATAATTCCTTCGTGCCTTTCTTTGAATCTAGGCAGAACCGCCTTAGTAGGGTATAATGTGCCAAGATAGTTAACATCTATAAGTCGCTTTATGTTACTGTCAGAAATATCTTCCAATTTCCCGCATACTGCAAAACCAGCACAGTTCACTAACATGTATATAGGTCCTACTGTTGTCTCTAATTCCAGTATATTATTCTCCACCGCTTCGCGATGAGAAACATCCACGGAAACACGTGATATTATTTGTTCCTCACTAATGATATGCTTTTTAACTTCTGTCCGAGCTTCTTCAAGTTTTTCCAAATTCCTAGCAAGAAGAGACACATGAGCACCTTGTTGGGCAGCCAGAATTGCCATAGCTTTGCCGATCCCGCTAGACCCTCCAGTAATAACAACATGTTTACCCTTGATAGACCTCTTTGGATTCTTTTTTAACAATAAAACAAATATGAAACTGACAATTAAACATAAAATAATTGAATAATACATCGTTACCGAATATCTAAGACTACGGCACCTAAAATATGTAAAGTCTTAAAAACGCATCTCACCGGCCTAACAATCATTAACCTAATAAATCAAGATTTGATTGCAATTAGATATATTGTTTCTCTCACGTGCGCACGTGACGTGCAACATAGAGTGGGGGTTGCAAAACACCAATAACTGCTAGATACCAAATGAAACTCTGATCACAGTTAAAAAAAGTTGATTTGTTTCAGAGTTACCAACTAAAATATATTTTTCTAGGGACTACATAATGCGCACCGGCAACAGTTCTATGCACGCGCAGCTAAAATGGAATTTCAAAATAAATAATCTACCATTTCCCTTGTTCTGTCTTCTTTTATCTCAAAAATTAAGACTAATTAACACTTTGAATTGAAAGCGGAGATTAGTATAACTTTGGGGTAATGTAATAAAACGCCACAAAACTGCAAACATGTAATAGACAATAAAACAATTGCATTTTAAATTCTAATTAAAAATTATTGAAATACTGACTTATAATTCAATGGCATACTTGAACATCTAAAATTTTATTCAGCTAAAACACTTAAACTAGTTAAAACTATCATTAAAAATTTTGATTTTTATCTCAATACATAACAATTATATCGACTAAAAGCTTATTAGAATCAAAGAAATTCTCATATTTCCACATACACAGGGTCCATTTAACAGTGATGCTCATGGTGTTAAAGATAATCTAAGCTGCATAATAACAAGAACAGACTTAAAATCTTTTAAACTCATGGTAACTAACATGGAATGATGAAAGTATGACAGGATAACTTAGTCTAGCCCATTTGGAAAAGCTTTAAGAAATTCTTGCTTTTCTTAAATTTGATGTTAGCTTTTCCACTCTGTTGATGACTAGAAAACTACTTAAATATATTTTAGGTTGATGTAACACCTTTTCTCGCCACCAGTAAACTTAAGGTTGGATTCTTCTTGATGTAGCTCACTGCCTTTTTATGTGTTACCATTGTAAAGTCATATCCATTGCATTGTAAGATTTTATCGTGGACACGTAACCCAGCTCTAGATGCGGGACTTGACTCGTGTACTTCTGTCACATATATGCCCTTTAAAAGAAACAACTAATTTACCTCAACATATTACTACTCTCAATAACATACATTGTCCGTATAACCTTGTGGACTTTTGTGATAATCTTGGTCTATTCCGCCACCAATTTTAAATCCGCATCTCATCGTATCTCCAGATACCTCCTTGTGAAGTGTTATTGGAATCTACGAAATATACAATGTTATGAATGAATTGTTAATTAAAATCAAGTGAATCATAAACCATAAATTTATGAATGAAACTACACGCCCCACAACCTATACTTACGCTCAAACACTCCATAGCCGTACCGGCTTGGTGTTGGAATGCCATTTTCGCACACATTTTGAAGTGTTAAAAAAACACTAAAGAAAAATTCAATGCTAATCAATTTTAAATATTTGGCACAATTCGAGCCCAAGCTTTATAGAAACTTCGAGCAAGTCAACAGTTGTCAGCTGTGAACCTCATTGATGCCATGTGTTAGTATACAAAAAATAGCACAGGCGTATAATACCAGAGAAAATCCCTAGCAATAAAAATCTTACGATTCTGGGCTTAATTCCCAAGTCTGGCAACAGCGAATGGCTTTATTGATTACCAAAACTTCCTAGAGGGCAGCACCAACCAGTCATGTTGTGTGACCAAAGTCTAGCCGTCACACCCGCTACATGTACGAAAATGATAACTAAATATGCTGCTCCCGTGGTGATGGCTAGCGTACGACGATAGAACTTGCTTTTCTATCCTTTTATACTATCCCAATGCATTGATAAGGAGACTCCGTAAATTTATTTACATAAACATAACCCTGTCATGTGTATTTTTTCAAACTTTAAAAACATAACTTGCCATCGTTTTGCTAGATTATATCGGTATTATTCGCACACAATATTTGCATTATCGTCAGGTATTTTTTAATAATCGTATTTTATTTCAAATTTAACTATCATATGGCTTTTAGGCCAAGGAAAATGCGGGGTTGCAGTAATACGAGTATCCGGTCACCTCTCTGAGACAGCTTTGAAAGAACTTGCCTCTTTAAAATCATTACCACCACCAAGAACCACTCTACTGCGTAGTCTGCGACATCCTAAGTCAAAAGAGATTCTTGATAGAGGTCTTGTTATATGGTTCCCAGGTACTCCAGTGTATTTAGCCCCATGACAGTTTCTTATTTTTAAACTGTACAGGTCCAAGGAGCTTTACTGGGGAGGATAGTTGTGAATTTCATGTCCATGGGGGATTAGCAGTTGTAAATGGAATGTTAGATGCACTAAGCTGCATACCAAGCTTTAGGTTGGCGGAACCAGGGGAGTTTACTAAAAGAGCATTCCAAAATGGAAAGTTGAATCTTACTGAAGTTGAAGGATTAGCAGATTTGTTGCAAGCAGAAACCGAGGCCCAAAGAAAACAGGCTTTCTTACAAACCAATGGATCATTAAGTAAACTGTATCAAAAATGGAAGGCTGTTTTGCTGAAAAATGTAGCACATATTGAAGCCCATATAGATTTTGAAGAAACTGAGACTCTAGAACATGGATTGATAGATAAAGTCACTTCTGAGGCTAAGTTGCTTATTGAAGAAATTGAGCAGCATTTAAATGATGGACGGAAAGGAGAAATTTTAAGAAATGGTGTAAACACTGTAATAATCGGGGAACCAAATGTGGGAAAGAGCAGTTTGCTGAATTCATTGGTTGAGAGACCCGCATCTATTGTCACCCCTATTTCAGGAACCACTAGAGATGTTGTAGCAGTTACTCTAAATGTGAAAGGCTACCCTTTGGTTTTATCAGATACTGCTGGTATAAGGACAATCAGTGATGATATAGTGGAGAATGAAGGTATTAAGAGGACTTTAAAAAGTTATAAGGAATCAGATTTAGTTATACTGGTGGTAGATTTTGAAAAATATCACCAATGGGCTATAATCAATAACAACGCAATATTTATGAATTACTTGATGTATTATGTAAGGAAATTAAATGTGGACGATTTAACTAGTAACAGTGATAAAATATCAGACATGTTCACAAAACATTGCATAGTTGTGTTGAACAAGTGTGACTTGGATGAAAACAATATTTGTGATAACTTGCAAGATGGCATTGTCAAAGTTTCTTGCATAAATAAAAACGGCCTTAGTACTTTAGTTGACTGCCTAGCTGATAAATTAAAACTTTTGTAAGCCAAATTTAACATTTACTACATAACAAAAAGAAGACGCAAATTTATTGTAGGTGTGGCGACCCATCTCAGGAACACCCCAGCATGAACCAAAGGAGGCATAGACAACAGGTAACTGAATGTCTCAGAAATTTGAAGTTATTTTTACAAGAAATGCAATCTGATACCCATTCACACGACGTGGTCATTATGGCAGAATATTTAAGAAAATCGCTAAGAAGTTTGGGCAAACTGGTGGGTACAGTGTCTTCAGAGGAGATACTTGATGTTGTTTTTTCACAGTTTTGTATTGGTAAATAAAACATTTAAAATTTTGCGCGTGTATTCATTATTACCACACTATGCATTTTAGTTCTGGATTCATTGTGCTATTTTTTGGACAGTTGTAGGTTTGCGAAAATTCCTCAGAATTGCTCAGTGCTCCGATCACCCTGCAACAAATTTGATTAGTGCTGCCATCTTCGGTTTTCTTATGCAGTTTCCGTTAAGTTCAATATATACTGTCATCGACGACAGATGGCAGGTATGTACTTGCCTAAACAACCCCGGCGAGTGAACAGATGTTTTAATACGGTTTCTAGCTGCCTCTTTTCTAAGTTTGCCACACCAAACCTGGGCAAAATTTAAGAACAGCAACTGTTTTCCTGTTAAATTTAAGCCGGGTAACGTTTCATCTGCATCTGAATTTTGCATCAGCCACGTGTTATAAGCCTAAAACAAAGAATTTAAACGCCGTATATTTTTAAAAATTTCCAAAAAAACCTCAAATGATTGCCTTAGTCCGCCGTTGTCGGCAATGTTTTCTCCTTGCGTCAAAAGTCCATCTATTGGTAACCCAAGGTCGGGTAAACTGTATTTACTATACTGATCGATCATGCATTGAGATTTTTCGTTGAATTTTTCTATAGTCGGTTTTTTCCACCACAAGTAAAGATTGCCCTCGTGATCGAATAAACGTCCTTTGTCATCGAACCCGTGAGCTATTTCGTGCCCAATGACGACCCCAATACCTCCAAAATTTAAAGCCTTGGGGAAAAATTTGTGATAGAATGGTGGCTGCAGAATGCCGGCGGGAAACACTACGAAATTCATGGATGTAGCGGATTGATTAATACTCTCACTTTCGATTTACTAATTTCATTTTCGGTCCTGCTATAATAGGCATTAACTACTGCGGGAGCGGCATTCCAAGCAGCCTTATCTACTACGGAGTTCACCCTCAGTCTGTCTCTGTTGTTGGCGTGCCGCAAAATACTCAGCATGTTTTCAAAAAAGTAGTCGGGATGAATTTCGATATCTCCGTACTTACAAGCAAGTTGACTGTCGTTGGTTATAAAATCCGGATACCCAATTTTAAGGTTCATCGTGTTGATTTTTAACTTTGCGAAATTTTTCGTATAACGGTCGAGCCAAGATTTTCGCAGAATCATATCTCTGAAGGTTCCAATTAGAGTCTTAGTCATTTCTGTCGTCTAGAATCAAACATCGATGAAGGTAGACAATTATTGTGGTGGCAATACAAATCACATACGTCTGTTCTACTGGTTTCATCAAAATAATGTTTGACGAATAAAGCACCCAGCGCCATACCCATATTTGAATTGGTCTGTGCCACGCAAAATACCCATCTGGGTGGTTGACTTTCTCTTCCAAAAAGAATAAAATAAAATCTAAAAATGCATTTAACTTAGACGGACAAATTTCTCGATAAACACGGTGTCCCATTGTCTATCTGTTATGGAAAACTTTGAGTTTTTGAGGTAGGCGATTTTTGAGGGTGGATTCGACGTTTCCGGCCCGAAAAACCCCCCTACGCCGATTTCGAGCCGATTCGGCCGGCAAACCTCCGAGATAGCAAACTTTTTCAACTTTGAGGAGGCGCCCTCAAAAAAAAAGCATAGACGGGGTATAGGATATGGGCCTTCAGAATGATGCCCGAGTATAGGCGCGTCGACGTAGGTACCCAGTTTTTCGATCCGTCCCATAGGAGACGAGATCCTCTCGAACCTCAAGACCTCCTCAATTTTGAGGGGGGCCCTTTTTGAGGGTTCCGGTGCGCCTCGGGCCCCTCTACACGCGTATGCCCTCCGCGCCCCGGTCCGACCTCAAATAACTCGGAAAAACTCCAAAAACCTCAAAATGACGACCTCCTCAAAAGTGATTTTTTGAGGTCGCCCCCTCATCAAGATTTTTTTCTGAATCCGACGAAGCGAACCCCGACCCCCCAACTCTTACCGTTTCCGAGATAGCCCCCCCGACTTCCTCACCTTGCCCCCCAAGGAAAAAAAATTACCGGTTTTTTCATGTGGGGGCCGGAAGACTTTGAATCCGGTTAAAGCGGAAACGAAAAAAAAAGCATTGCAAATTAAAAATACTTATAAAGACCATGAAGTCTCAAAAAAATATCAAAATTAAAAAAAAAACAATAAATGTTCAGATTAGCGCACATATACACAATATAATCCAAAGTAATTCTAAGAAAAGATTGTTATTTTTTCAACATCGTGTATTTTTAATAATCGAACTTATTATTATTCTTATTATTATTACACATGAAATATGACTAGAATTTTCAGGGAATCTAAAAAAAAAACAATATTCTATAAGGTGATCCATTTAAACTAAGAACATTTACACCCACATCCGGTATATCCGGATGTGCCGCAACCTTAAAGCTATTTTAAATCCAAATTTTCTAATGTTTGCTACTCATAGGTTTTCCAGAACAAATTGACGAAGTTCCCGGTAGTGTACCAAGGTGGTACGTAACCAAACTTCAGAAAGTGATTGTTTGAAGCCCTTTACGCAAGTAATAGCCCCTTTGAAAGTCTGGCTGCGTAATTTTTATAACGCACTTACTTTTGTTTGAGCTCGAGGAATCTGTGGTCTAAGTTGTTTATTCTGTGCCTCACAAATCTCCACATAACATAATTTTGAATGATTCTAAAAACCATTAGAGATTGCGTACTTATCAATCTACCAAAAGCGCTGAAAGCTTAATATCTTAGGAAACAAAATTACCTGGGGTTGGTCTTATTTAACAGAATAAAAAGTTGTTCTATATATCTTGCGCAATAGCATGCAACTGGCGTTTTCAAATCAATGTCTTTACCTAAAACTACGCCAAAATAGAGCTTCCACGCAAATTTTGGGAAATGTTTAGCGAAATATTCGATGTCAGTCCGCAAATATATCTCCGTTATGTTGCGTCTTTCTTCTGCGGGCGCCATTATCTAAAAAAGTTCTGCGGATAGTTCGAGTTTTGCTCTTACATTTAACTTACTGCCGCAAGTTTGGTTTCGAATGCGATTATATCGTCGACGTCTTGCGACGCGACCTTCGGATGGGCTCCCATTAACTTTGCAACTGAGAAAATAAAGCTTCTGTATGCTTTAAGATATTTTATATTGGTCCTATCCAAATAATACTCTCTGGATGGTAGTCCCAATGTTGTTTGGTCAATCTAAAATCGTCATTTTGCTTGACCGGAATACAGATATAGCCAAAATTAATTACGTGAATGATGTATTTGTCGGAATTTTTTATATCGGGAGCTATCCACTGTGTAATTAAAATATCGTTGTTAAGCAATCTTAATCTGGATAATAAACCCATTAAATCGAAGTCTGATTTTTTCCAGTTGGGTGTGATTACGGGCCAGCCGCCCAATGCAGTTAAAATATCCCTCAATGGTCGGTCTCCTCTTACATTAATCTTTTCTTCGTGCATGCAAGACTTGTAAAAATTTTTCACTTTTATCGTGACATCGTCCAGGGCGTTAGCCGAGTAATTCTCATGTAGAAAATATTTAATAGGATGGTTATGATGGTGGTCGTATTTGGTTTGATTTTCCTAAAATTTGACAAAACGCACAGTATGGCCCATTTTTGCATTTTTAAACAATCAATGTAGTTTGGTTATGAGTTAATTTATGGAGAAATGGGTTATACAGAGCTTTTTACGTAGGATCCAGCGGAGTAGTTTGTTTTCTTCTTAAAATGGGACATCCAGTATGTCCTTTATATATGTATGTATTTTAGTATTGTATGTTGTATGTTTTTTTTTTGTAAGTAGGCCATAGAAAATATTTTTTTTACATAAATTATATAATTCATTAGAAAAAAAATTTTAACCTAACACCCTGTATGTTTTTTTTGAATACATTTTTTAATTTGTACTATGAGTTTTTCAAATATATATGACGTATGAAAACTGTTTAATTTTTAATTTATTTGAACATTTAATGGAAAATACAGATTTTTTTTAAATAAATTCCACAATTAAAAAAATACTAACGTGTCAAAATAAACGTGCCCATTATTTAATAATTGTTTTTAATGGACACTCTGTATGTTGTTTAATCATTTTATAATGTTTATTATTAGACTTTTAACAATTATTAACGCTTTTTAATTTTTTAATTTAATTTAAATATTTTTTTATGAGTATTTTTAAAATAATAATTATACAACCTAATAAAAAAAAGTTTCCCGTCAAGATATTATTTGTTGACCATTCTTTCATAATTGTTATATTATGAGTTAATATGGGCCATAGCATAGAACGAAAATACAGATATTAAACCAAAATATGATATATAAACTTAGCTTGCCTTTTTTTATGGAACACCTTGTATATTAATAATAATAGTTACGTTATCAACTTTTCAAAAATATGTAACATATGAGAGCTCAAATACACGCGATATATTATTTTATATTTTTATGACACTAACAGGACAATAGGTACTCGTTTTCCTAATACACTTTAGTAAAATAGTGGTGACATTTTGTAATTATCATATATAATATCATAATTATGGTGTTAAACCAAAATATTAGAATTTTAATTGCATATTTGTTTCACTATTCTGTTTCAATCAACTAGATGTTCTATCAGTTATGACTAGCGTATGATATTGATTTTTAATGTTACGATGGTTTCATTCATTCGTTCATTCGCACCATAATTTGTGAGTATCAGAAGAAAACTGACTACGTCACTGGATCCAATGTAAAAAACCCTATCCAGATTTCACCTTTTCAGATGATTCAAGGCATAATTAAATTACAAATGGTGTCTAAAAATGCAAAATTTTTGCAGAGTCCATTCAGAACTGTGATGTAATCACCTCGCTATCTTCCAACAACTTTTTGAGGATGTGATCCAAACTATCCCTGACCATTTCGAAAGTATCGTAGACCGTTTTATCGGCAGGGACGTCGTAAAATTTTTTCCAATTGCCGCAAGCGTATTCATAAAAATTGTCGCAAGGATCCACGTCAGAATTCATGTACTTTTGCATTATTTTACCTAAAATTGCGAAATATTAATTAAAATATTTGCATCTGGTAACAATTACTTTGATATTCGCGGATTTCGCCGTAGCCCTTCTTCTCCGTCCAAAAACGGTGAAGGTTTTCGTGAAATTCTTTTCGTTGTTTAGCCGCTATTCCTCTCTTATTTCTGCTGACTATGTTCTTCCCACACTTCTTGCTCAATATTTCATTTCTTTTTATCCGCGTTTCTTCATTGACGCCGAACTTTAGGATTCTATCAAAGTACGTTGGATACTCGTTCCCGTAATCAGATTTATACTTTATGTTGTTCTCAGTTACGACTCGAGTCTCTGCAAATGATTCTTCACCCTCAGGGGTGTATAGAAGACGCATATAAAGTTTGTAACAACGTTTCGGAAGGTAGGAAAATCTTTCGCGTCCCGGTATGTGCCTCTTCGTCAACCTATTTATTTGCAAATTTGATTTTTGCGTTTTAGTACCGGATGCGACTAAATCGTGAGCGGTGCTTTGGTTAGTATCAACTGCAAATATAAATTTTAGATGATAAGAAGTGTATGAATTGTTTAAAAAGTTAGCAACAACCCTTACCGTCTGAAAAATTGCCATTTTGCAGTGTTTGTCGTGTGACCAAAATTATAATAATAACCAACGGTAGCAGTACCACCGGTAAAAAAACTAATTTCTTTAGTTTTGATTGCCATTCCTTTTCCTGCCCAACCGACCACCTAAAAAATAAAAATTCAAATAGAGAGAAACAAAAATATATTGTTATTATTAATTATTATTGATGCGTCAATAATGTTGGTAATAAAATTTATTTTTGAAAACTGCCTATGCTCCGTTTCTTATTGCGAAAGAGTTATAAATCAAAAGCGTAGTATGATGATTGTTAATGGCCTCGAGAGTGGTAGGTAGATGGCCTGTGCCTTAGTGTTTAAAATTAGAATTATAGTTACTTTCCCTCAGTTGTTGGCCACGTTCGTCCTTGAAAATAGCTACTGTCCTAAATTTATTTCTGAGAAACGGTTTAGTCAAACTTCGCTTTCTATTATTATTATTATATATTATTATCTCTGCACTCCAATGAATATAGTTCAATAGTCTACTCGGAACATGTTGACTAACATTCGCAAGTGAAGTTGTATTGTAAATAGTAGATTTTTTTAAATAATAATATTTATTACAATTTATCTATTTACATATTATTCTTACTTTTATGTAAGTTTTTATTTACTTGATTATAGAATAATTAATATATTAGCTGCCCATCTCTAAAATTATACTCAAGTATAATAATAATTATTATTATATTATAAGCATCATTGACATAGTCGATGCAAAATGTTTAAAACAGTAAGGACATGTGTGCCGTATGAAGGGGGAAAGAAGCCGCATTGGGATGCGAGAAACCACAGCAGTGTTGAAAAAAATTGCAACATACAGGGTATTTAAAAAACCGTCAGCAATATTTAACGAGCTGATTCCTTAAATAAGGAGGAAGGAAAAAGATTTCCCATAACCGTAGGTCCTGAAATGCATTGTTTCCAAGATACAGGTTTTTTTAAAGGACTCTTTCAATTTTTTCCTGTGGGGTCACCTAAAGTCCTGTGTAAAATATGTGACCTCAGGTGATCGGATTCTTGCATCCGAGCTGAAGGTGTGAAGTGAGTGACCACTTTCAACAGTTTTTGTTAAGTTTTCGTATTTCGAGCGAAAAAAGGCAGTTTTAGTCTCAGGGAAGCGTCGAAATGAAATGAAAGTCAGTGGCGCACGTTTTTATCAATAACCGCCACTGTTTAATTTTTATTCATAGAGCCAAATCAGGCTCTTATCAACAAACAAACACAAATCCTTAATAAGATATTTGAATTATTTTAAAAACATTATTTTTATACATTTACATTTATGGAAACTTTTTTCATAAAATAATCAAGCTGTATATAAAACTATATAAACTAACCAAAACTATATAAAGTAACGCGGCCATCATATTACTTTTATTCATTCGTTTTTCCATTGTATGCAAATTTGTGTGACCCTAATTCACGAACGATTCGACGTGTTTAGGTCTTAAAAACTGAAATACGCAAAAATATTTCAATTTTTCTGAACTTCACGCGTTAAGAAACGGAATATAACAAATCGTATCATGTTTTATTAAACTACGCTTGCAACAATAATTAATTAATCAATTTAAATGATACGTTCAGGGTTGCACGAGCAGACACTTGACCTCTTTCGATTGCCCATCCGACCAACGCAAATAAATAAAAACGTAAGTAATAAATAACACTGTAGCAATAGGAACGAGAGTGCGTGTAAATAAATTCACATTACTTACCGAATTCTTCCATTTTCTTGCTGAGTCAATCGGCAAGAACAAAATTTTTTCGATGCTTTTTCCTCCATTGACACCGAAGCTCTCTCACAACAAAATCCACTCCATTAAATGAATTCGACCTTTAGACAATTTGTAATTGGGTCATTTTGATTTAACTAAGGCTTATTTTCGCCTTTTAGCATAGGTGCTTAAGCCACATACCGTGAACTTAAATGTTTAGAATCGCAAGTTTGACGAAATAAATTTTGTGGCTCACCGTATATTAAGAAAAAAAACAAAGTTGGGTTTAAAAAGTAGCGGCTTCTGAAATTAAAGCTCGCGTTATGCGTCCATAAAGGCACTCAATAAGAGATGAGGCGTTAGTTTAAAATAAAAGCATAGGCTCGGTAAAAACAACATATGACAACCAATTAGGTGGGCCTACAAATTACCCAGCACCGAAATACGGAGGTGAGCCGAAAAAGCCGATTTTATACCCCATATAGGGACAGGCCAATCGGCCTAAGTGCTAAATATACCTGCGAGATAACCATCGGTGATGGATCGGATGTTAGATTGCGCTTTCATCGCAATGGGTTTGGTAAACATTAAAGAACATCGGTGGCGGTTTATGAACAAAAACAAATTTTCTTTTTTTCCACCAAATCTAGGAAATAAAATGTAAGACACCACGACATGGACATATGCCCATATATATTCGCACATTATGTATACAAATTTAAGTATATCTTACTGGCTGCATCAAAGGGTAGTTTGTTACTTAAAAGTTGGGTAAAGTACCAACCATTAGGAACATATCGCGGTGCAAACAGAGCGGGAAAATAAAGTTGTTACTTTTTAGCTTTGAAACGAATAAAATAAGGCCAAAACAATATTTTTTTAATTTTTTGTTAAATGATTGAATTAGATTACCCCTATCTACCCTTTAACCAAATTTAAAGACAACAGTCAGCCAACATTTTTCAAATTATCTTCTAAACAATTACATTTAAAAAACAATTTATTAGTAATAATATTTTATTGTTATATCTATTTTCGTTTGTAAGATAAAGATAAAAACATTGTTTTTCCGCCATATTTGTGACACGATGTCTCCCTAATGGTGGCTTTTGACTCAACATATGTATAAGAACGTGCCCTTTATTTTAAACAACAAATGACCTCTTTGTGTTGTTCGCATTTGTTTTGAAACACTCTGTAGGACAATATATAATATTTCTGTTTCGAATAGGTTTACACTATCTACCGAGAGGCACATTTTAGTGGCACTTTATCTGGCGAAAATTAATTTTGCTACATCTTTTCTAAGTGCTATACAGTTTTTTAAATACCATAAATAAACAACTGAAGATTTGCCCATTTTGTTGGTCGCGCAGGAAGAAACCTAAACAAATAACTCAAAATGATTCCTATAATAATAATTTTCAACAAAAACTAATTTAATTTAGAGGGTAAAACGTAGCATTTTAAAATTTTAAGGGTCGACGCCTCTGAACGTTGAAACTGAACGTGCATTTTGGTCTAAAGCATAGGTGATGCAAAGCAAACAACGGGTAACTTAAGATCGTAGCGCTAGGCAATTGCTTGGTAGCAAGCTCTCTTGAAAATGTTTGTTGTAAGTGACCTCCCAGCATAGAGAGGAAGTTATCTGAAGTGGATATCCAAGCACGGGGAGTGTCACTATATATACGGAGATATTTTAGCTAATATTGACTTTTGCCGCTAGACGTTGTATTCCATACACCTTTAGGTGTTGTGTGCCGTGTATGCAAATAACCATTCCGCCTCCTTTCCTTTTGTTAATTTATACTTAAATTCCTTGGAGTTATGTACGTGACGAAGATGTTTATTTTTATAAATATCGCATGGATCATTTTAACTATGAGTGCGACCTCTTCAGCACATAACACTTTTTCCCCTAGAAGCAAATATGTATTTTACTATTTCTACGGTTGAAATTGATTTGTTTTTAGGGTAATTTCTTAAAAGCAAAAATTCTAAAAAGTTTCTCGCGTTATTCAAAAAAAATTAAAAATTACATTGCTCTCATAGAGCTACGCTAAATTTACAGGCGTATTTCAATGGATTTTAGTTTGTACCGAAATGAGCCGGTTCAGCATTTTAAAGGATTTTTCTTCCCTCTATTATTTCCATGATTTTCTCGCCTTTTTAAAGCTGGGCCTGTTTAGCTGTTAACTGATTAAACTACCCAAACTACGTTAACTCAGTTAAATAGGAGATAACTAGCAATACATTTAAAATCATCAAAATTTAGCTCCATTTGTGAACATCGATATTTGTGAAGTTCAGATTTTTTTTACAGCTAAATGTTTGAATTCTTTTAAAATTTATTATATCAAGTTCGGTGTGTACAACAATGATGTAAACTACTATTAGGATAGGTACAAGTGAACAGGATTACGTTGACAATTTAAAAAGCTTATTATGGGCTTTTATTCCCCTTTTAACCACCTACGAGATCTTCGATATTATTTCTCTGGAGACGTAGTATTACGCCGGCCGCGCATTTCCCACACTAAACCGCCATTCGTCGGATAAATGTGCCTTAATTGGATTAGAAAGTATAGAGAAAAATCCCATTTTTATTCACATTGTGTTTGAACAAAATGGCCAATTTGTTTCATGGAAATAAAACAAACGACCGAACAAACGAAATTATCTCTGTAATACAAAATGACAACAGAATCGAAATGAATAATTTACAAAAATATTATTTGTACGTTTTAACTTCTCTTTCGCTCGCTTCATAGGCGCACGCTTTGCTCCAACGTTTATATTTTAGGTTGATATTAATTAATTTTATAGATTTTGCTGGAGCCTAAATCAACTCCTTTATAGTAGGGGAATGTTCCTAGAAGTACATTTGGAGTTTTTATTCAATTATTTATTAGAATTTTGAGAAATTTCGAAAAATCCCATTAGTGACCAAAGAGTAGAATCTTCAAATTTAAAGTGAAAAATAAAATGAATTTGGAAAAACTCGACCAAATTGCTAGCTTTTTCAAGCCTCGCATTTTTTTTATCAAGGATGAGAATATCGACGGCAAACCAAAAAAAAAATACAATTGATATTTTGGTGAGCAGTATAAACCAAATCAAGAATTTTGATATCCAGGATCCATTTTCAAGCAAGAAAAAAAAGATGCAAATCCGAATGCCCCTACCACTGGCAGACTTTTTTTTAAAAGCTGGTATTTCAAAAATTTAAATTCAGCTTTGGCGGAACGCGTCTTTTTGATGTTAGTGCTGCCTATTTAGGATGTTATTGAATTATTCAGATCTGTACCGTGGTGTGAAACAGCGAATAAACGCGTAATAATGTAAACCTCACTCCTAAAACCCGCTCGGGAAGGACAAACTGCACCGGCGTACCATTTTCCAGAGATTCTGTTCGAAACGTCCCAAATTAACATTTTTTATTGCTGTCTGTAATGGGTTATTTGGTAGCTATTCCTTTTAATTTTTCAAATAACCTGAAACAGCCGGTTGTAGTGTTGGACACAGAACAGAAGAAATCAAATAGATTAAATAGGATAACAAAATGTTAAAAAAAATGTTGCCGGATATCCAACAACCGATTTCAGACGTTTTTAATGTGCTGATTCCAAAAATGCCCAAAATTGAAGGTTAATTGATGTTAGTTCTGATGAAAAAATAAACAAAAACAAAAAATAAATGTATCAAAATTTCCTACTTAAAATTGAATTTCAATAAGCCAAGGTTTCGTCATTGCACATCATCTCAAGGCTTTAAGTTGAGATGGAAAAACTGAAAGCTTTATTTGATGGTTTTAGATTTTAGATTTAGACACCACCGCAAAACAAGCGAGAGGGATTTCCTCAAAATGAAGGGGTTACTAACTGCTATCTATCTCTTGAACTAAGAATACGGATGAATATGGAAGGCTAGACTGTTAATAGAGACATAAGCAACCGAATTCAATCCTTCGAAATGTGGGTGCAAAGACACGGATTCTTCGGATTTCGTCGGTGGACAAGATCAGGAACGAGAAAGTTCTGCAAAGTTTGAAATTACTGACACAATTAAGAAAAGAAAATTGGAATTTCTTGGCCACGTTTCTCGCACTAACAAATATAGCATTTTACAAGTAATAATGCATTGGAAATCCAAATTGGAATGGTTTGGGCTTTCAAGCAGACTCCCAAGGAGACGCTGAATTTAGGAACAACAAGAGTATAAAAGTTCACTGCCTCCACAACTCCCTAGATCGCTTCTTTTTTTTTTTGTCTGATAGACACAATCTGAGGGCTCTTTCGGATTCTCCACCCAAAAATTACCCAGGAACAGTTGAAAAACCGCAGGCACCAAAATGATTACTGGCCTGTGATATGTTTATCAAAGTTGAGTTTTTTTTGTGTGGAATGGTGTGTTATTTTCCCCACCGATCCGAACAAAATTTAAATATTACTTATTTCTTATGTATTCCATAGTCCCAATCTTGTGTTCTTTGACAATTTCATGTAACTTTTATGGTGTTGTCTGCCGCAAAACCGCAAAAGACGAGTCGAGATTTTCTTAGAGGTTAAAAAGCATCATGGCGCCAAAGAGAGCACAGGAAACTTTAACACTAAAAGAAAAATACGATATTTTAGAAAAATTATAAAATGGTGATAGTGGCAAGGTTTTGGCTAAAATTTGGAGTTGGTACGTCGACTATTTCGGATATAAATCAGAAATCTCGGCAAATAAAGAGCTGTGTATGTGTATGTGTATAGCTAGCATGAATTCTTCAGTATGTAATGTAAATTTTGTTTTGAGAATTTTGAAATGACTGAAAATCAGGATCAATCTGAGGGCTCTTTCGGATTCTCCACCCAAAAATTACCCAGGAACAGTTGAAAAACCGCAGGCACCAAAATGATTACTGGCCTGTGATATGTTTATCAAACGTAACCACTTCTCCGGAGAAAAGTTAGGGGTCGTCGTGCAGTTTTGCTAAGCAAGAAGACGAACAGCGAACTGTGTTTTGTTACCCTCTTTCCTTTGTCGCGCTGTACCACGCAGTGTTGTTAGTTTTCGAGCTTCCAGAAACAATTTCTTTCTTTTGATTTCGTTTTCT